CATTCAGCATTAGTTAGTTACAGTTTGAAATCATTAGCTTAGGGAACCTTTGTTTCTTTGGTACTTGAGGAGTTCACATTCATTACCAAAGCACCCATCATATTTACTATCATTGTGCCTGAGAACACCAATCACGAGCCCCATTAGAAGCCAGTGCACAATACCCAATTCCATCTCCAAGTCAAACTATTCATGCATATCAAACACTGTTTCTCGAACTTGGCATCTATATGTGGGAGTCCATGTCATTTATCATCCTCGACCCCTCATTGCTCTGAATATTTCCCTATTGGAACTACTGTACATGCATGTGTTATTACTGTTACTTTGAACCACCCGCTCCTAGTTCCTTACTATACATAGTCACGTCCTTGTGCATCTACCTTATACTGCCTACATATGCCTACGCCCTCGTGGGAAATAAATGGATTCAAGATGTACTTACTCGCCATTTGACACGCACGCAGCCATCACATTATCGGAACTCACCAAGGCACATCGACTGCACGCAGCACACGTATGCACGCTGTCCCGAGAGACCCAGTGAGAGTGGGTCCCAGGTGCAGTCTAGTGGGAAAGGGCTTGCATGGCAGCTGTGAGTCGCGGACTCACAGATGAGGTGCTCGGCGCCCAGTTAGTCAATGTCAGACAAAGTAGGGTACGTCCGATTGGGACGTCGCAACGTGCGGGCAAAGACGAGACATGGCTGGGTGCACCGAAAGTGTACGCAGCCATACCTTGTGTTCGCCACAGGACGGTCGGGCATGTCGGACTGGTGACGCAGCAACAGCCGGGGCTCGGCGCGCCGACGACGGGGGTGTGTGGCCACAGTCCCGTCCTTCGCAAAGCGCTGTCGAGAGCGCCGCGTAGGCGGCAGAGGGCGGGCGAGTCGCCGGTGTGAGTCGGCGACTCACACCAGTCTGCCAGGCGAGCTGGTGATCGCGGAACAGGTGCGCGTGGGCGCCGAAAGAGACGGGTGGGCCGTGTGCGTCGACGAAGCACACGCCGCGTTCCTCGGAGGGCGGTAGATGGCGGGGTGGGCGGATCGATGGCCATCGGGTGGTATCGATGGCCAGTGGGTGGGATCGACGAGGGCGCGGGCTTGGCGAGCTCGCGGTGGGGTGTGTGCGTCGGCGAAGCACACCGCCGACTCGTTCGTCGGGTCGTAGATGTCGGGGTAGGTGGGATCGACGGCGAGTGGATGGGCTCGACAGGCGGGCAGACGGGGCCAACGGGGATTGGCGGGCGAGGTCGGAGCATAGCGGGTGCGACGTTGGACGCACCCCTACACATAGGGCAGCCGTGAGGGATGGGGAGCGGTCCGGCAAGCGAGAGTGGGAGGGTAACGAGCCGGTGTGAGTCGCAGACTCACACCGGCCTGGCGCACGGTGGAACGGGCGGCGCGGATGCTTGGCGGGTGCGGAAGTGGACGCGTGGGGTGTGTGCGTCCGCGACGCACAGCACCGCCCCGTGCGTCGGGTCGTAGCCTGGCCACGTTGGAACGGGCGGTGCGGATTCGTGGCGGGCGTGGAAGCGGACGTGTGGGGTGTGTGCGTCCGCGACGCACAGCACCGCCCGTGCGTCGAGTCGTAGAAGGCGGGGAGGTGGCGGGATGGTTGGCGGGTCGGCGGGCTCGGCAGGCGGGTCAAACGAGGGCGAGCGGGCGAGGTCGGCGGGTGGGGGAGTGCGTCAGCGGGGCCTCCCGATGTGTGGGGCAGGCGTGACGAGCGGGACGGGGCTTGGCAGGCGGTAGAAGGGGTTTGAGGAGCCGGTGTGAGTCGCCGACTCACACCGGCCTGGCGAGCGATGTATGGGGCGGTGGAGGCGCGCGGTGGGCATGGCGGCGAACGCGTGGGGCGTGTGCGTCCGCGACGCACACCGTCGAGCCGTTCGTCCGGTCGTAAACGGCGGGGTGGGCTGAGATCGACGGCAGGTGGGCAACGAGCGGGCGGGGGGCTTGACGAGCGGGCGGGCCGGTCGATCGACTGGCGGGTGGGCTCGGCGTGTGGCGGGGTGCTCTGCCAGCACACCCCTGCGCGTGGGGCAGCCTTGAGGGCGCGTGGGTCCGGAGGGCGTGCGTGCGGCCGTTGTGAGTCCTCGACTCACACCGGCCTGCCGGGCGGGCTGGCGGTCGCGAGACGGACGGGGTGGCGTAAAAGCGGACGCGGGGGGCGTGTGAGTCGAGGACGCACATCCCCCGCTGTTGCGAGGGGCGTGGATGGCGGGGTGTGGCCGTGGAGGTGGAGGTCGGCCGGATTTGCGAGCGGGCGGGCGGGAGACGGCGGGATGGGTCAAACAACGGGCTACTCACCTTGTAGCCCGTCCCTCTCGTCTGTCTAACCCTCCTCCAGTCCTCCTCCATCGAGCGCGAGCCGCCATTGGGCGGTCTCGCAGTCCGGCTCTTGCTGGCCGGGCCACGTCGTGATGACGTGGCCTTCCCGCGGGTGTTTCCTCGCGCGGGGCCTTGCGTTCGGTACCGGGGCGTGCCGCGGGCTTGACGGCGGGGTGCGGGGCCTGGTGGGACGCGACAGGGAGGTGGGGAGGAGGTGGGAGGGGATGGAGATGGCGGTAGGAGGGCATGATCGAGCGAGCGCCCGTCGGTGGCTGACGGGTGCGGGCTCGATCTCGCCCGCCTCGCCGCTGTGAGTCGGCGACGCACAACGCCGCATGGACGTCGTAAGCGGCGACGTCGCGGGTGTGCGTCCTCGACTCACAAGGAGCACGCGTGCGCTCTGCACCGCCAGCAGTCACGGGCAGGTCGTCGGGTGGGCGCTTGTGCGATCTGGCGCGAGATCGGCCGGCCCTCGCCACACGACGAGCCCCCACTGCCGTCCTGTGCGTCGCGGACGCACAGCAGGGCAGTGGGGCCTGTGCGTCCTCGACGCACAAGAGGCACGCGTGGTCCGTGCGGCGGAGAGGGCAGCAGGTGCACCCGGGCGAGTGGCGCCTGCTCGATCGGGCGTGCGATCGGCGGGCCCTCACCACACGACGAGCCCCCACTGCCGTCCTGTGCGTCGCGGACGCACAGCAGGGCAGTGGGGCCTGTGCGTCCTCGACGCACAAGAGGCACGCGTGGTTCGTGCGGCTGAGAGGGCAGCAGGTGCACCCGGGCGAGTGGCGCCTGCTCGATCGGGCGTGCGATCGGCGGGCGCTCCCCGCGGAACGAGCTCCCACTGCCCTCTTGTGCGTCGCGGACGCACAGCAGTGCACGGGGCCGTGTGCGTCGTCGACGCACAGGCGGCACGCGTGGTCCGTACAGTGGACAGAGCAGCAGGTGCACCCGGGCAAGCGTACGACCTGGCACCTGCCCGATCGGGCAGGCGATCGGCGGGCGCTTCCCACGCTACGAGCCCTGCTCTGCTGTGCGTCCGCGACGCACAGGAGGGCAGTGGGAGGGGCGCGAGCACGTTCCCTGTGCCTGCTGTGAGTCCTCGACTCACAGCACTGCAGCACGGGCCTGCTCAGTCTCTGTGTGCACGCTGTGAGTCGCGGACGCACAGTCACGTGCCCGAGCAGTGCGTGCGGTGTTCCGGGTGCTAAAATTCGGGCGTCTATAGGGTTAGCTAGGGTTTACAGGGCGCCAAAGCACCCTGGGTCGTCTCGATTGTCCCCATAACCCCTACCGATGTAATAAAGGTGTGGTACATGCCATAATTCTTGTCCAGTATTTCTGTGTGATGAGTCAGTATGCTGAATAGACTAATTGTGATGCAGAGAACATACTGTGCCAGTAATCAACAGTCTCCCTCACCAAGCACATGAGACTGATAGTGGACCGCGCGATGTGCGTCCATTCATCACGATCATGAGTGTGGATGCGCAATGATTCGGGCAATCTGGGGGTGCTCCAGTGCCTGTACAAGGGGGTGATGAAGTTGGCCAATGCGATCATGACCGCTTCGAGTCGATCGATCTCTGAGCGTACATAGAGCATGTTGAGGGGTTGCGGGTCGGTGATTGTACGGACGCATATGATGCGGAGCCACTCCTTCATGTGCTCGTGTCATTTTTGGTAGATCTCGTAGATGGTGAGCGGGCCGTATGCGGGACCGACGGGAACGAGCGATTGCACGAATTTCTCCGTGTGTTTGTGGATCAGCCGGACGAGCACAGCAGCTTCGAGGACGACACGAATCCGGTCAGACCATGCTGGACGGTCCATGGTGACTGGCCAGCGCTGAGTGCTGTGGTAGGGGACATGGTGAGAGCAAGAACGTACCTGGCGCACACAGATGGTCTGTGGATCAAAGGGAAGGGACTGATCACACCATCATGCAAACAGATGAGTCACATGTGTGGAATATTATGGCACGTGACAAGGAGGGCGCGCGCGGTCGCGCACGTCCTCCTTTGACATGCATCAGGGGTGCGCGCACCATGATATGCATGCCCAAATACACCTCGGTAGGAGGGCGCGCGCGATCGCGCGCGCCCTCCTATTTAGCAGATATATGTGCACACACATCGTATACGTTGGCAGAATAGACGCCGGTACACATGCCATGTAGGAGGGCGCGCGCGATCGCGCGCGCCCTCCTATACCATGGATCATGGGTGCACGCACCATCCCATACATGTCCAGAATATATGTGTTTAGGGATACACCGGCCGGACTGTTTGAACTGGTTTGAGATACGCTCGGCCGGCTTGTTAGAAACCAGTCCGGCCAGCCTGTTTGCAACGAGGAAATCACAGCTCCAGCCGGAGGCGGCTTTACCGTTTGCAACGGTCGAAATGCACTCCGGCTGTACCGTTAGTATCGAGTAGGTACCACTGAATAATGTGTTTGCAGGGGCTCTGACTGGGCGTGTACACAGGTTGATGCGAGGCTCGGAGCGTCTCAGGCCTTGCTACACCGTGAACCGCGTCGTCCAACAAACGCAACGACAGTCGCAGCTGCCGACGTGGCTCCACCTGACCCGGACACACGACGGGTGTGTGCGCCGCGACGGTCGCACGTCGTCTGGCAGCCCGGGACCCGTCGTGACGATCATCTGGACATGCACTCCAGCCAGAGTCGAACGGCGGGTCAGGCAGTCAGCCGCGGTCGCAGCCGCAGCTGGTTCGTTTCGGTCGAGGTACGTTCTCTGGTACGGTTGTCGCGTTCACTACTGACCTCGACGTTGCAGGGCTGGATATACGATGGCTATGTTGATGTCGAGGGCGAGGGGCGTGCGGATGGCCGTAAGATTAGTTCGAGTGCAGCACGGCCGCAGAAGCGGCGAAGCGTGAGGCTGAGCTACGAGCCCTCTATGTCGTTGTGCCGCCTGGTGACGAGGCGAAACCAATATCATGTCCCATTTGTAGGGAGCCGTTGAAGTCGGAGTTCCTGAGGCGGAACAGGCCATATGATGGGTGAGTGCGCCGCGACGGTCGCACGTTGTCTGGTAGCCAAGGGCTCGTCATTTGATCGTGAATGCTGGCTGAGTGGTACGTTCCGTTCTCGACTCTTGTGCGGGACGCCAGTGATACTCACCCCGTTGGTCTCGCAAAACAGGAATCCGGTACGACGCTAGTCATTAAGAGTGAAGGTGAGTATACATCCATTCCCATCTCACGTCTGCCTACTGACAGCGAGGGGCGCAGACTACAAGAAACCTGTACCTATCGACTACCTCGGGCGCAAGACGAGGCAGCGAGTCAGTACGGAAGATCGACGAACCAAAGTCCGGAATGTACGTCTCTGTCTCTCTATGGTATGCTTCTGATGTTGCTGGACGTGTACAGGTCGACGCATCGTCGAGGAATCGACGATTCGTAAACGCGAGGAAAGGGTGTGTCGGCGAGTGCGTCGCCATCGTCGGCGGGCGGTTCCGGTGTCTGTAGGGCGAGCGGACGTGCGCGTGCCACATGCGTCTGAGAGCACGCGTCCGAGAGCGAATGCCTTCGCACGGAACGTGCAGGTTGCTGCGGGGGTGGTAGCACTGTACGAGTACGTAGTGCGGGACGGTATGTCCCGCCTGACCACGCCGTCGAGTGTCCCGACGTCGCGCGCTGCGAACACGAGATACGGGGCGGGCATCTCGGGAGGTGCAGCACCCCGCGCATCAAGCTGCCGTGTCCCCCGAGTCGATTGACCGCACGGTGACACGCGCGGGGTGCACAGAAAACGGCTGCGAGACGACCCGGTGCGGGAGCAGTCGTCTGCGTGCGGGTCGTCTGCGTGCTCGTCTCGCCGGCAGTGTGTGTACGCGGGACGGACGACGCCGCCTGCGCGCTGTCCATACAGGGGACGGACACGCGCGGATGGTGCCCTTCACAGTCCCAGCGCCGGCGAGGACGGTCGTCTATGCGCGGTTTGCGACGGCGAGGTGCATGGGCTGAGTGAGGCGGGGATCAGGCAGCAGAGCACGCACGGCGGGAGATGGGTCGGCAGGAGGAGCGCGGCGGTGCGGGGTCGAGGCGCTGCGTCGACGTCACGGCGCGGCATGCGAGGGCGAGTGTCCAGCGGTGGACGAGTGGGTGCACGGCCGAGAATGGGACACGGCGGGGCGCCACGTTGGGCGAGCACGGGCCGCCCGATCATTGGCCCGGACGCCAATCTGAGATCGGAGGACCCACTCGTCGCCCGGCTGCGGTCGTCGCCGGCGAGCTCGCCCTGCCCGCCGTCGTCTCCCACTCTGCGCCTCGTCGCCGCGACCGCCAGCGCACACGGGCTGCTCGACGCTGCGGACGAACCGCGGGGAATTGGTGCGCCCGCTGGCCCCACTTAGTCACCGAGTGCGGGAGCTTACAGCAGGCATCTGACGAGCACAGTCATCAGGTCCGCTGCCTCTTTAGCGTCCTCTGTTCCTCCTGCTCTCGATGCTCATGATGCTGCCAGCTTTCTCCTCACCAGCCTACCAGCCTCTAGCTCGGTCCATCCACGGACGCTCCCAGGTGCGTCGTTTCGGTGCGAGAAGGCAGTCCGCCCCGGCCCTGCTCACTCGTCCTCCCAGCCACCATGTCCATCCCGCCCTCGCCCCGCCCGCGTCCATCCAAGCCCTCCCGCGGAGCTCACAGAGCACATCCTCATCCTCGCCGCCCGCGCAGGCTTCCCCACCGCCATCGCTGCCCTCGCACGCACCTGCCGCGCCCTCTCCGCGCTCGTCTACCACTCCCCCGACAACCACCTCTGGCGCGAGGTCTTTCTCTCCACCTTCGACGACCCGCGCCGCGCGCCTGACTGGGACCTCAAGGCTGAGCCCGCGTGGGACTGGGGCGCCGCCTTCCGCGCTCGCATCTGGGCCGCGAGCTTCTTCGACCGCGGGACGAGGACGACATCGGGCGCTGCACGCACGCCCTCGAGACCCTCGTCGACGTCGCACGCACCGCCCTCCCGTACCCGCCCACCATCTCCGTGCTCCCCACGCCAACCCCGCGTCACCGCCGCGAACACGATCCCCGGGTCCACGCCGCAGCCCGGCTTCCCGTCCTACCCCATCTTCCCGCCGTCGCCCGCCCCGATCCGCTGCTCTCCGCGCTCCCGTTCGCCTCCTGCGGCTGCTCCACGCCCGCCGTCCCCGCTCGCACCGATCGCGCAACATCAAGTGGCTGGAGGACGTCGTCGCGAAGGGGCTCCCGCCGTGCTCGCGCGGCGGATGTCCGGGCGGAAGTGGGAGGGCGGGATCATGGGCGAGGGCCTGCCGCAGACGAGGCGCGGATGATGGACGCGCTCGGGCGGGTCGTCGCGTTCACGGGCTTCCATCCCGCGCGCTCGCCTGGCAGCGACGGCGTCCGACGACGAGAGCTCCGGCTCCGAGGGCGCGTCCGAGTCCGACGACGAGGAGAAGCAGACTCGCCGACGACGACGCCCGCACGCCTGGCCGCGGAGACGTTCATCGCCGGCGCGTCCGTCGTCGCGGGATGTCCCTCGACCTGAGCGCGGCCGCGCAGGCCCGCCGCGCGCGCCGCCTCGCCCGCATGCGGGTGTACAACCTCCGCTTCCTCAGCCCGTGGCGCGCCTGGGGCCCGTTCCACGTCGTCGACCAGATCCCCGCTCGCCCCACCCGCCCCACCGGCAAGGGCAAGGCGCGTGCGACGCAGAGGAGGAGGGCAGCTGCGGGCGCGCAGAGCCCGACTCGGACGACGAGGAGGCGGACTGGGCGCCCCTCCCCGAGCCGTTCCTCGCCGGCGCACACGCCGCCGCCCCGCGTGCCTGCCGCGGCGGCGCGCTGATGCCCGACTGGGCGTTCCTCGCGGCGGTGAGGATCGTGGTCGAGGCGAACCTGTGCGAGGCGGTCGGCGCGGCGGAGCTCGCGGGCCTCACGACGCTCGACGGGCTGCGCACGGGCTCTGCGCCGATCGACTGCTCCGGCGGCGGCGAGGCGGGCAGGGCGGGCAGCATCCCCGCCCCCACCGGCGCGCTCGCGGCGTTCCAGGGCGACTGGACGCGTGCGAGCGGGAAGGGGCGAGACGACTTTGGCGGGCCGGCCCCGGGCAAGAGCCGCCCACGACGGACGGCTGGGACTGGGCGGGCGTGACGGGGATCTGGCGCCGGTGCATATGCTGGCTCGACTACCGCGACCTCATCTCGCACAACGTGGCGTTCCGTCCTCTCGTTATCTAACTCTGTCTAATTGCGTCCCCACAGCTCTCGTCCGACTTCAACGACCCCGAGCTTACCGGAAGCCGTGCGCATCGTGCCCATGCGCCTCCGCGTCGCGTCGTACGGCCCGCCCGCCGTCCCCGCCTTTCCCGACGCCCCACGCTCAACATCGAGGGCGAGACTGCCGCCAACGGCGCCACGGGACCGTCCGCCGCCTGCAGGGCACCGTGTCCGTCGTCAAGGACGGGTCCGTGCACTGGCGCATCGTCCTGGTGAGTAAAGCCCGCGCGTAGAATGGAGCGCGTTGCTGATGCGGGCGTGGGCAGCTCGGCGAGAACGAGGGAGACCCGACGGAGTGGGCGACGGAGGGCGTGCAGATCGGCGGGCACACGGCGGCGATGGGCGTGCTCGGCCTGTGGACCGGCTCCCAGCACGAGCGGATGGACCCCCTCGGTGCGTGTTCGTGCCGTCCGACGCGCGGAGCATGACTGACGCGCTTGTTTGCAGGTCCGTTCTGGGCGTGGAAGGTCGGCTGAGGCGCGGTTGTTCGCTCGTGCGTGTTGCTCGCACGTCTCGCTGTCCCGCCCTGTCGTGTCGCGTTGCGTTGCTTTGTTTAGGGCTGTTATCTATACATGGGGACCGTATTGACTCTTCTTTGTCGTGTGTATGTATGCTTTCGTCGTGTGCAATCCGTTGTGGTGCGTTCGACTGCTCGCGTGCTTGTCGGCGTCGCACTGCCTCTTCAATCGACGTGCTACTTGACAACACTGACCGTGATTCGCAAAAGATGCTTGTATGGGTGGATTAGTGGAAGATATGGAATGCATGTCGCCGCCGACAAGTTCCACTGACTCGACCAGGACTACGGTTCTGCGAAACACGCAGCTAATGTGGTTTGCCTATCTACGTATGCCATGTCTGTAGCATAGACTGCAACATGTGCAGGCCGTGCTCCTCCCGCACTAGCCCCCCCTCGGGCCACTCGATGTCGTCATGTTCATCGTGCGGGGTACCTCGCCTCGGCTCGCCCTCCTTGCCGAACTGGTCAAGGTCGATGAACATCGGGCCCTCGTCAGTGCGAGGTTCACGTCCCGCAGGTCCCCGAACACCAAGCCGCCGAGCGCAGTGCCACCGTTCGCCGCCGGCCATGGTGCGAGTGTCCTCCGAGTCCTTACCCGTACGTTACGTGACTGCGATCACGTCGCTTTCCTTGCTCGCCGCTTCGCGAGGAGCGGTGTCCCCCCGTTCAGCACGTCGGATCATGTGTTGCTTGTCTTGCACTGACTGTCGACTCAAATTGAAAGGAAGTGCGGGCCGCGAGAGGGAGACGGGGCACCGCCCGCTCAGTCGGCCGTCAGGCCGGCGTAGTAGCGGTCTGGGTCGCGAGCATACTTTGGGACATTGAACAGACGCGCTACCTTGCGTACGGCGTGTCAAGGGGCGATCTCGTCGTCGCCGTAGTGGGCCCAAGGTAGATATAGTCGTAAGCGTAGTTGATAAGCCGTCAGCGAAGACAGCACCCGAGCCAGGAGGTGAGGACCGGCTATGCCGGAGGAATGCGGACAGCACAACAGTTCGCGAACGTCCTGTGCTATATGGGTCAGGCGGCCAGGAATGCGCATGCTGATCGAGTACTCACCTCGTCTGAGGCGTGAATCGATACGTAGCGACATTCAGCGTGCACCACCGGGTCATACTCGCCGTCCCCGATCTCTTCTGCATTCTGTGATCAAGCGGACAGGCTTTGCAGACGTGTAGAGGTATGCGCGCGAAGGCGACACCGTCAAGCTTGACGTCATCCCTCGAATTGCATATCATGCTCTTCGAGCACCGAATGGTGCAACTGACCGCGCTCAACACAAGTGTTCCCTCTGTAGTTCCGTGGAGAGAAGCCAAGCTACGGTCACGAACTCGAGCGCACGTCATACGCTCGAGGAAGTAGCTGCGTTTTTCGAATGGCTTGGACATCTCCGCTTGGCGAAGACGGGATGATACATCGCACGGACAGTGGAGCAGAGAGAATGGACTCCATTACGCACGGCGTCTGGCCAATCTTGACGTGGATAGTATTGCGATGATTGCAGAGTCGAGCACTGTCCGAAGGACTCTTGCGGCTTCGTGCCTTTGCGGCGATCCTGGTCCTGTAAGAGGCGATACACCAAAACCAAACTGTACGATTGACGTACGCGAGGGACTTTGTTCATCGGCCCATGAAAACGACCCTGACGGGGATCATGGCTCACGACTGGCCATAACGTCATGCCGCACCCCAGCGCACAACGAGCAAGACCGTACTTACGATTCAAGACTGCAATCAATTCCATTTCAGACCTGGGGAAATGATCGAGGTAGGTTTCAATGGCTCCTCCCAAGGCTTGCTTGATCGCGGCAATGGCTTGTTTGCAAGGGACGGTCACAGAACCTACTAGAGGAATTGTCATCGCATGGTTTCAGGCAAGTCGTCATGCGTACCTCGTGAATAGGGCGCGTACGCCAACGAGGCACATTCATACCCAAGTTCGTTGTGTTCACGTTCCGAGTCGCTTTACCGCCTTAACATTGAAGGCCAAAGGCTTGTCCACGTTCAACCCGACGTCGACCCATGCGATATACGGGAAAGCGTCCGGAGCTCGTAGGTAAGCAAACACTCGCCTTAGCTGTGCCATGTTGAAGGTGACGACAGATGAGGACATACCAGGGCAGCGGGCCGCCGCAATAGTAGCGCTCCTCGAGTTTCGAGCCCGACTCGCCGCGACAGGCCCGACTGTTCAAATGTTCATACCGGCTTACGCGCGTGTTTGCGGTGATACTGTATGTCTTGTGCAAGCATCGCATACCCAGGCCTGCAGTGTTCTGGGTCAAAATCTCTATGCGTCACGGCAAGGGAACATTCAGAATATGAAGGTGATAAGTACGTATTATACATTACAATGCGCAAGCCCGCGACAAAACCATACGTTCGATACTAGTCATCTCCGTACCAGTCAGGATGTTCTCCAGCCCTGGACAACATAGTCAGCAGCCGCGACTCGGATAGACAAAAGACACGCACCTAGTAGCGATATGTCGGATGCTGAGGAGGTTGATAATGGCCGTTCGCCTGTTGCCCGGGGAGCGGCATAGGCCACACAGGGTTGTTGCTCATCAGCTGTTGGGCAGCCATCCTCGCCATTTCGGCATCAGTGATCGGCGTGCCTGGACCCCCTTGCTGCATACTCGATGTCGAAGGGTGTGACGGAGAGAACGGCACGCTCGACGGGTGCGTCTGCGAGTTCGGTACGTCCCGCCCCATCTCTCTCACCGCCCGCAGCGCGGCGAGTCGGTCATGAGCTGGCGGTGTGGGATAGGGCGCCGCGGAGTAAGATGGCTGAGAAGGGGGCATAGGCGTGGGCGGGCCACTGGTGTGCGACGGTTGGCGACTCGTATGCGACGGCGGGCGAGATACAGGAGACGGACGAGACGCCATCGCATGCGCTTGGGACACAGTCGGGAAGTCTTCCTTTGCCTCCACCTTCCTCTTCGCCGGGGCCTTCCTCTCCTCGCTATCCACGCTCATCGAGTCATCCTCGTCCTGCCTGCGCTTCCGCTTCAGCGGCCGCACCTTCGCAACCGGTGTCTCCGTGCTGTCCTGGCCCCTGTACTTCTCCAGCTTCATAGACCTAATGAAGTCCCACAGCAGGGCCATCACGCGACCGTTCGTCCGGATGTCGTGCTCCTTCTCGCGTACGTGTTTGCGCATGTCCCGGATCGCCTTCTTGAACGCACTCACACTGAGCTTGGCCTTCCACGTGTGGATGAGAACGACGATCGCGATGAATTCGGCGGGCGCAAGCTTCTTCACGTCAGCCATCTTGAACATCGCCCCGTTCTGCTCGCGCGCGAGCATCAGGAAGATGTCCATTGTCTGGTGCAGACCTGTGGTAAACTTGGACTCCGGCTCCTCGTCGCGCTCCAGCCACTTCCGCAGCCCCTCCGGACCTGGGAAGGTGCTTACATTTGGCCATCGCTCGACCGAGTGCGCCGCGTGCACGAGACACCGGAAGTCGTTCCCTCGCGTAACATCCCAGTCGAGCAGTGAACTGAGCCCGAGCTCGTCGCTTGGGCTGACGTATTGCGCCTGCAGGTCGTGAATAAATTCGCCCATCGGAGACGCTATGGCTTGCAGTTTTTCTGAGAGTGACTGTAAGACGCCACGAGAATACAACGTGATGTGGCACTGCACATACCTGCCAGAGTCAGCGCCATTCCAAGTTGGACGCGCTGGTAAAAGTGGAATGAGACTCGTGAGAAGGCCATGAGAAGGCATGGATGGAACGTACCTGGAAGATCTCCCGCTCGCTCGCGTTGGTGATGTCCTGATACTCTATGCAGACCTATCACCGGTGTGACTTTCCACATCTGTTCGACAATGTGATAGCTTACGATTTGCTTCGCACGGAAGATCTTCTTGTATCGCTCAGGCAGCACCTTGACCCCTTTGAATACGCCAATGTCTTCGTATGTGAATCTCTCGCCAGTGTTTCTAGACGACCATGAATACGCAGGAGTGGCTTCCTGAAGTTAGGGACGCACGGATCTTTGACTATCCACGTCCCATGACGTCAGCGATGTGAGGGGGAGCAAACAGGAGACATACACAAAATCTTGAGAGAACGCCATTAGCAAAGGAACAATACACACGAGCGACGAACACTCACTTCGCCCTGCATGAATCTTGTTTGTGAAGCAGGGATGTAAGTGTACGGAAAAGTGTAGGGCGATGGAACTTTACCTTCGTATCGAGGTCAACCGTTGCTTGCCATCTATGAGATACGGCGTTCCGAACCGTCGTCCCGGTATGTCACCGCTGCTCGCGCTGAGTGACCATGCGCCGCAGAGAGAGTGAAGCTCACAGAAGATAGCGGAGGCACGTAAAAGTTGCGAAAAATAGAATCAATGAGCCCTGTCGACAAGCAAGTTCGTCTGGTTGCCCCCTTTCATACGATGTAACGCACCCATCTGCTTTGTCTCTGGCCAAACGACGTCTGTAGAGTGATGAGCGAACCTATGCGACGCGAGTTAAGATGGCGACGGCGGCGCACCTCGTTGATAGTCAGGGTTGGTTCAATGTCGCCGGCGATCATTTGGTCTGAGGTGCGGTCAAAGTTGATGTGGGTCCGCGTTCGAGACGAGAAGAGACGTACCAAAGAGAGCTTGTGTCGTGTAGCTCGTCGGCCTGGGAGCCTTGAGCGCACCTTTCATCTTGTATTCTCCATCCTCGCCGAGTTCGCAGTGCGTGGTCGGCCAGAACGCTTTGCAAGGGGGACGTCCTCTTCGCCGTCGGAGTAGTCAAAGTCGGACATAGCGAGAACACAAGATGGTGAGTCGAAAAAGAGTGAAGGTACCTATCGTTCGCGAACGATGCAGGATGAGGGCGGAGGAAGAGGTCGCTCGCGACAGGTGGCTCAGCCGCGCAAGGTTCTCAGTCGAGCCGTGGCCAGAGCGCCCACCGCCACACTCCGACTTGGCTGCCGTTGCGCAGACTCTCAACGTTGAGTCAACGCGACCTCTTTGAGTGGGGGACGGCGGTCGCGCAGCCTGGGTTGCTTTTACCACACGTTTCGCCCCTCGGATCCGACTTTCGGGCGAAGTCTCAGCATGCCTGTTCGATTCACCTCCTGCATAACATGCCCCCTCATTACAGCTGTATCTCGTTCGATGTTCCATACAGCCAGATCAAGGTCGACGACGTCCTGCAGGCTTCCTTCAGCGACTACTTGGGCCAACCGTGCCTCACGGTAGGCAGCGTTGAGGACTACCAGCTTCGTCTGGTAGACTCTGAGGTGCGTATATGCTTTTGAGAAAAGCATGTACCGCTAATGCTTCGGCTGTACCGACGCAGGACGGATGCTCACTTCCAACGACGCCACTGAGTCGCACCGCTATCGACGACTGGTATGAGCTGAAGAGCTTCTCTCTGTCCTCAACAGTTCTCGCGACCTTCGGGGATGGTCGATATCTTGCGGACGTTGTGGAGGAGTCTGTGGCAACCGCGTCGGACAGTGGGAGGATCAGATTGCTGGCCTTCCTCCGGGGTACGTGTCATTGTTTCTTTGTGTAGTCCCATCTGACACAAACCTCCGATTTTAGCTGACATCATTAAGCTCTACAAGCGCATGAAACAGCCTTAGGTACAGGTACAGGGATTGGTACCGACAGGTTGGTTACTTCTGTGTTCTTCGCACACTATCATTGATTAATGCTCTTCAGACCTTGTCAGCGCACAAACCCAGGCTCCTTTGTCGCTTGGCGGTGTTTGCCCCCACGATGATTACGGACCTCATGTATCACTGTACGAGCCCGCTTTCGCCGAGGCATGGGAGTCGCTCAACGAAGCCACCAACAATCCGACCGCTTTCAAGCCTTCCGACGACTTTGACATGGTGTCCTTCATGGCGCGCCTGAAGACCGCCGTCAATGACCCCCGGCACAAGCTGGAGCCCGAGTACTCAAACACTGTCTCGGGCCTTCTCGCCCAATTATTCGACCAACCCTTGTTCGACTCGAAACACGTCTACCGCCAGGACAAGAAGAACGACAGTAAGGGTGACAACGAGGGCATGCAGGATGGTGGCGAGAGCGAGGCAGACGGGCACGAGACGGACGAGCGCAAGGAGCGCAAGGGAGAATATTGACCGAGATTGACCATACCGCAACTTGCCCCGTTGCTAACGGGTTTGAAGTCCCCTATGTCATTGTGGAAGACAAGCTCCTGAACGGGCCTGCAGACGTGCAGTCGGTCTCCACGTATCAACACCTCTACGGGGCGGTGAACCAGGCCGTAAGTAAAAGCAGACTACAGTTGACACTGCTATCCACTGACGTCTGTCTTTGACAAGTACGACTCCATCCGCTACTCCTCTTGCTGTCCATGCTTGCTCGTGGGGATGGTCGGGACCATTATGACCTTCCGTGCGGTATATGCCACCGACATAGTTCATTCCGACCTCCTCTGGGTCTTGGGGCTACCCTGTGGGTCTTCGGCAGGAGTAGATGCGATCGCGAAACAGCTGCACGTCTTCCGACAGCTCGCGCGGGACCTGCGCAGGTCATATGCCAAGCTGCATATCGGCGCACCGTTTCTCCAAGAGCGGGCTTTCTACCACCCCAGGCCTCGATACATTGACAAAACCCTCCGAAGCTACTTCTCTTTACACACCAACTCAGTACTGGTCGGGCGATCTTCCTGGCGACTTACGGTGAAGGTGCTGCAACTACCGTGTACGTAAAGTTCGTCTCAGGGCCCTACGGCGCCGAAGCGCAGGAGCGTCTCGCAGAAGCGGGATTCGCCCCGAAGCTACTTTTCTTTTGCAAGCTCAAGGGCGGCTTGTCAATGGTTATCATGGAAGCTGTTCCCGGCGGCGATCTTACAGAAGAGCGCCTTCAGTCACCGCAAGTCATGGACGATGTCTCCCGAGCCATCGAGGAGCTGCACAGGCACAACCTCGTGTTCGGCGACCTTCGCGCACCGAATGTCGTTGTGGCCGACAAGGAAATGGCGAACAGCTTCCGACCAGGCGGCGCGTATCTTGTTGACTTCGACTGGGCTGGGAGGGACGGGACGGCTCGCTTTCCGTACAATCTCAACACCTCGATTGCTTGGCCAGACGGTGTCACTCCAGGCTCTGTCATCACCAAGGACCATGATCTGGCGATGCTTGAGACGCTCCGCAGCAAGATGGAGACAGACGTAAGGTCTGATGGGATGCGCGAGGAGACCGGTTCGTCGGTGTACTGGTGCGAGTGAGCGTAGCGTCAGCGAGGTCGGAAACACACGGCTGGGAAGTCAATAGTCGGACGCGGACACAAAGGTACTCAGGCAACGTCCTTTCATCAAAGCTTAGGCCTACAGCCCTCAAATTGTACTGTATCAATACATCAATTGATATTCGATCTCCAGGCTACCACCATCTATGCTCAGCGCTCAGCTGACAACTGTCTCGGGCGAGCATAAGCAGGAAGGGGTGGGACGAAATGTGAGCGAAGCGGAATGTTTGCAACTGCGACATGCCCAGAATGTACAAACCTCAGACCCTACAGCTATGCGGTGCGAAGCGCCGTAGCGCATACTTCCGCTGCGCTCTGTGACCCAGTGCGCGGATGAATAGACCCAGTTATACTGGGCCGACTGACAGTATAATCGTTCACGACGTATGTGGTTTCATACGAGCTTGTGTTGCATAATGGACCGATGTTGGACGCGGTGCGAAACACCCCTGCTCGGGCGGGCCTCATCTCCGTTTGACGATAAAGCCAGAACTGAACGTTAAAATTAGACGTAAGTACCGAATCATACGGTGGGATAAGTTAAATCATGCACAGAAAGCCCAAAAGAGTGAGTGTCGTAGTGACAATGAGTCGGCATCTCGAGCCGTTCCAAGGCTCGAGCATCATACCCTAGCAACAGCAACACGCTCACCACAAACCCATCCAACTGACCCACGGGCTCACCGCAGCAGCGACCTCCCATCCGAGCCTCGCCGCGACCACCCCGCCCACAACCTACTCGACTTCCGGACGAGAGGCCCGTTCCGACGCGCACTCAGGCTGGCGCTCGCCCCCGGCGACCCGAGCGCGACCCAGTCCCGCCACGCCGCGTACATCTCGACGACGAACGCCTGGCCCTCGGGTGAGCTCCCACCCTGCGTGTTCCAGTTGTACGGGTCGACCACGGGCGTGAGCCACATCTCCGGGGAGAAATGGCTAAGGCCCGCTCCCCCGCCCGTCGGGGTCGGCACCGCGTAGCTCGCCGTCGCCGTGTTGGAGGGGGCGGCGGAGGTGGCCCTCGTGTGGGTGAAGCTCGTCGCGGGGCCGACGCCGTCGCCGGTGCCCCACGAGGTGTAGCCGGCGGCGGTGCCCGCGGGGCGGAGAGCGCGTCGCGGGCGGCCTCGGCGTTGGGGATGTACGTGTTGACGCCTTGGAGGGCTGCGAGGCGGTAGACGGTGCTCGCGAGGAGGGAGGTGGAGGAGCCGTCGAGGAACCAGGTTTTGTTGTTGGCGTAGTTGTGGAAGAGCGCGGTGGAAGAGTCCTGCCAGGAGAGAGCTCTGACGTCAGTGCGCGTGCGCGAGGGTAGGGAGTGAGTGATGCTCGCCTGCAAAGTGTACATCCCTTTGTGGATCTCGACGATCCAGGTCGAGAGGTCCTTCATTTCGCTGACCATGGTGTCGGCGAATTGAGAGTGCTGGATCGTGGCGAGGACGCGGACCATGCCCGCAGCGGCCCATGCATTACCTGTACAGTATCATGTTCAGTCGTTGTGGTAGGTGGTCCCATACGTTGCTAATGCCCTCGTGGCCCCGGAAACGACTCTATTATCCGACCATTGAAACTTACCTGTTGACCAATAACCGGGATCATAGGCTCCCGTACCGAGCAGGATGTGCTGCCATAGAGGCGTAGTGGTGTTGGAGAGATACGCGCGGTAAAGTTTGACCTGTAGAGTATAGGTCAGCATACGTTCGTGATGGCGCGAGCGGTGAATCATGTGTGATATGATGTAGTCAGTACGGAAGACGAGCAGTGATTCAAGCAGGGCTCATTTGGCAATCTCTTCGTTGTCGAACAGCCGGTTCCGTTCATCAACTATTCGGTGATCTGAGCACGAACGCATACTTGCCTGATTATATGCCTCCTCGACAAGGGACTGGCCGCGTTGCCGGACAGGACACCATAATAAGCGAGAAATGGAGGAATCATGTAGACGGCATCGGCCCTGTGTGAAGCAGTGTTAGCCACATCTCCCAGACATGCACAAACTACTAACCATAACTGTGTCGTTTCAATACGATGACTGATCGCACCGTCGCTAGTGCGAGGCACGACCGTCAATAAATATTCAAGCTGCTCCTCCGCCGCGCGCGCATAGGACACGCCCTGTCCGACCGACGTACCAAACGGGCTGTCCGCAAGCTCCGGCCTATCAAGCTCTGGCTCGGGCGCGCCCGTCCAGTTCGCGATGAGCATTGCGATGCCGATGGACGCAGGGTCGCCGGCCGCGCCGCCCTCGACGTACATGATCGGCTGGGGGCCCGTCGCGTTCGAGCGGTTGTACGCCGCGTTGTAGGCGATCTGGAGGACAGGCCGGAGCGCGGTGTAGTTGTAGGACGAGGAGTTGTTGCCGATAGGAGGCGGGAGGGGGGTGTCGGCAAAAACGGCACAGGCAGGGGCATCGGACTCGACGAGAGCCTCTGCCTCCGTGCCGAGTTCCCATCTGCGGATGTGAAGTGTTAGTCGACGAGGGAAGGAACACAAAGGGAAGGGCCGTACGTCTGCTGTGCGGCGAGCCAGAGATTATCCTTCACGTCGTCCAGTTGGGCGTCGGTGGGGGTGTGTGCTTCGGCAAACCGTGACTTGAAGAACGATGCGCCCAGCAGGGCAGTGGCTACAGCGAAAGTGGGACCGCGCATGAGGAAGGAAGAAAGCGAACTCAGGAGTACCTACTTTAACTATGCTCAGACTGGCAATAAATACGAGTGAGAGAATTCGGCGACTGAGGTGGATGCCAGCAGCTGCTGCATGTCAGCCTCGCATCAGACTGCTCCGATAATTGTATAAACATGAATGTCGCATCTGTGTTACCCGACTGGTCGCTGTCCAGAATGAGTCGGGGTTGTCGGTGTCAGGTTGAAGTGTCATAGAGTGCCCTGATGTGATTCACATGTGTCCGAAGCACTCTATGAGTGCCGATGCGACAAAGTGCGTGATAGCATCTGTCAAAAATACTATATCTGTCACTATGAGACTCACTAGAATTCTGCGTGTTCATAACTGGCCAAGTGCTGTCTCGGTGGCCGTCCTGCGGCAGTGCATGCACTCGCCTGTGATGGGATGAACACAACCGGGTTGCACCTTGACAAGGATCCTTGCTGCCGGAGTATGAGAAGAATCGAGCATAGGAGGTGTCTTACAGACCTACCTTAGTCTACCTAATGCGGTAAGGATTAACCTTGTTGAACGCAGCGCCACGATCGTCCTCGGCACCCCGGCCCGATGATCCCGCGGCCCATTCTCGTCGCCTGGCACAGAACCTCGTCTGCAACTGTTAGACAAGGATATTCGGAGCCAGCGAAGGTTGAAGGGATTGTCGACTCTGCCCACGGGAGACTACTGCAACTGCCTCCACGCGCCTTCTGCTGCCCGTCAACGGCGTCCCAATCATCGCCCGCGCACCCATCGCTTCGTTCGGTCATCAAATGCAAAACCGCGTCGTCTTGCAAGCCGTGCCGTAAGTAGTGGCACAGCCCATATAATGTGCCACTGTTTCCGACACATCTCCCGCCAAGTTGCTATGCGAACATTTTCCCGCTGCGCGTGCAACCCAGCTTTGCTGCTGCCTACCCTGTAGATCCACTTCACGTGCCGGACGACGCAGTGTATGAATCGGACATGGCGTGTGGGTTCATACGAGCTCGGGTTGCGACTGGTGTGCCGATGTTGGACACGGTGCGAGACATCAACGAGACATCCCATCTCGGAGTTCATTGCCTATGAAGAGAAAGCCAGAATCGAACACGTTGATTAGATGCAAGTACCGAATCATACGCACATGAAATAAGTTAGACAGCGCACAGAAAGTCTCCCAGCGAGAAGGAGTCGGTGTCTTTAGCCGTTCATTCAATGTGCACAAGTTAGATTGACATCGCTGAGTTTGTCAGACCGCATCTAGTGTACCATTGGCAACCCAAATCACATCTCTGTCGCTCGTAGCGAATTGCGCACCGAAGGCTGGTGGCCCGAGTCGCCAGCTGAGCCGTTGAGCTCAAAATCGGAATAGACGTGTAGAGTCTCTCGTATATGTCGGCGTACATTCAGTCTGCAACACATTCAATCGGGGCGATCCGAGAGGACATGTCACAGAATACACTTACACAGCGAGCAGTGAGTTGACGTACACTATGAAACAACCCCGTCAATCATAGCTTATCTTCGTCGAAATACTTGACCTACGTGCGCTTCCAGGAATGTCGAAGATGTCGATGATGTATGACCCTTGGTAGAGCTCAATGAAGTACTAGCGGATGTTTGTTAGCGAGTCAGCATATCAGCTCAGCAACTGAATTATTCACGGTGCCAAATGACAGCAGCTGTGTAACCCTGCCGCGGCACGTAAGGCTCCGAGTCATACCACCGTTGACACAGTAGATAGTCACTGACGAAGTGAGGGCGCCACGATTGATGGCATACAGTGTCAGCTGCGACACTATCCCAGCGGTGCTGTAAAGTGACACTGCATGAGCAAAGTGCACCAACTCAGCATGCAGACACATCAAACAGACTACGTACTTAGGAAGCCCACTTCCAGAACCACGGAGAATCCAGCACAGAGACACTGTCAGATACGTATCCGCAATGGCACTTGACAGCAGTTGTATGAGCGACGGGACCTTATAACGATGAGGATGGTTGAATAAGGAGCATCTATGTCAATCCTTACTGTCGCGTTGCTGAGAAATCTGGTAGCATTTGTTGTGGTTGTCCTTGGTGGGATGGTCCAGACGAGATCAGATCAGATGCCAGTGAATTGAAGTAGCATACCTACGATTGATACGTTGTGCCTAGCAAATACATTATTCTCGTCAGAAGCAGGAAACTAGAAAAGAAGTCAAGATTACATACCGATACCGCACGCTAAATCACTACTATTCAATGCAAAGCAATGCGAGAAGAGCCAAACACGGACCCAAAGATATCAGTACGAGGATAAGCTATAACGTAGTCACGACGTGAGAATAGCAGCAACTTAGTTCCATGATCAAAATATAGAGTGTACCGCGGCGAGGATGAGAGGCAGACTGTGTCGTCGACTTTGTAGTTTCATCACTTAGCCAATTCGCGGTTCAGATCATGATATCGGGGATGATATCATGTACGAGCACGTACGTGACCATATAGTATGAACGTAGAAACTTACTCGGCAAGGTCAGCACCAACACATCGGGACACGAGTGACCGCGCACCATTGGACAAGGAAAACTATAATCTCCTGGGTCGAACTGATCAGGCTACACCGGGCGAGAGTCGGAATCTTTCGTCCCGAAAGATTGGGAAAAGAGTTCGAATCTTTTTACCCATATTTGGTATGAATGATTAGTAATATGATTGCAAACATTATGTTCGATCATTGTGTGCACAATATTGGAGACAGATTCCTAAAAAGATTGTAGACATTGTTTTGAATCATTCTGTGTGCAGTATTGAAGACAGATTGGTGTAAAGATTGGAAATGAGTTTTGGTCATAACATCTCTGATCTTTCAATGTAGAAGCTTGCAGAAAGTTCTCAGATGCAGAATGAATATTTTGGGCCAAATTGATTGTGAACAGACATCAAAAGGATTGCAGAGTGATAAGTTACAATCTTGTTTCTCCATAATCACATCATGTAATATTGACAAATGATTGTGACAGGCTTCACAATCCTCCATGTCTAATGTATTCCAAAGGTCTTTCAAAGGAAGTTTTGAGTTCTGTGAATACTGTCTTTTAGGTATGAAAGATTGGAAAGTATGATTGCAATCCTATCACAGCACATGTGTGCAGAAAGATGGTGATAGGATTAGAATGCAATTTTGAAGCTTGTGTCTCTGATTGAAGTGTAACATTGTTCATGATCTCTCCACAAACTCTTCTCCTGAAATATTGGGAACATTGTACTCAAGATTTGGGCATGAAGTATTGGAAATAGATAGCAGTGGCACACCTAGCTGCAGTGTACCCTCTCAATTCCAACAGCTCACATGAAGAGATACATGAAGTATTGTGACCATGGGGGTGACAAATCATGTTTGTGATCTTTCAGGGAACAAAGATAGTGAATGAAAGTGTGCCACTCCTAAAAGATTGCAAACATGTGTGTGCCACTTGTGAAAGATTGCAAACAAATGGGTGCCACTCAGAGCAGATTGTAAAGAAATCAGTACTGATGCCATCTGGGACCAGCCTCTGCATATGTAAACATGGTCAATCACACTGGACTATGACTTGGATAGGCAGACAAGTCAATACAGTGACAGGCTGACTAATATATGTAGTACATGTATATGTATAAAGCACATACACTGGATAGTACAGCCTGAACATTGGGACAATTAGTGGTGTTGCAGGTGATTGTACAGTGTAATTGTACAAGGACATGTAACATGCTTGTACAACTGCCATGCATATGTATTGCTACTGTACAACTACCTGTGCAACTGTACAAGGAGTTGTACAACTACTTGTACATCTACTTGTACATAACAACTTGTACAACTACTTGTACATCTACTTGTACAGGGACTTGTACAACTACCTGTGCAACTGTACAAAGACTTGTACAGCTACTTGTACAAGGGCTGGTACAAGGGCTGGTACAACTACTTGTACAAGTAGTTGTACAACTACTTGTACAGTGACTTGTACAAGGGCTTGTACAAAGGCTTGTACAAAGACTTGTACAAGGGCTTGTACATGGGATTTGTACAAGGACTTGTACAAGGGCTTGTACAAGGCTTGTACAAAGACTTGTACAAGGGCTTGTACAAAGGCTTGTACAACTACTTGTACAACTACTTGTACAGGGACTTGTACAGGGACTTGTACATCTACTACGTGCAGTCACAGAGCAGTGCGAGCAGAACTCTGAGGCCGGGCAACGTACAGCACGACGCACACAGTGATCGTGAGCACGTAGGGCCAATTCGCTACGTGCACAGACAGCCGATGGATGGACAGCATGCGCGCGCAAGTGAGCAAGCAAGTGGGTGACAAGGCGGGTACAGGGCATGACAACGCCCAGCACGACACGGACACGGACAGTGACCATATGCATACAGGGTGAATACCCTGTGTGCAAACATGGCCGTCAGCAGGTGAACATGGCCATAGGCCTTCTTTAAAGGTTTGTGAATGTGCATGGCACATCGATGACAATTCTTCTGACCATCTTCACGATAAGGCTATAGAGCTCGACTAGTACGACCCAGGCTCCCGACTCGGGCTTTCTCGATCACATCACCAAATATTGTGATGGCACCGGTACCACCAGATGGCTGTTGCGCGAACGCAAGGTCCTGCGCTTTGTCCCATTTGGCTCACCACTTGATAAGGATCCGACCGAGGCGGGCGACTTAAGCTTACTGGGTACTAACACCGGTGATGTGGCTACACCGTTTGAGCCATCAATTGAGGCCGCAGTACAATTGATATCGACCCGTTAGGCGGAGCTGTCATTGACTGCCATCCCGACGCGAGGCATTCGTGCCGTCCCACTAGCCCGAGTGCGCAAGCCTGAGCACAATAACCGAGCACAGTCGGAGGAAGAGGGACAGAACGAATGACGGGTAGGAGTGGTGAACGAAGAGACAGGAAAGCAGAGGCGTGAAACCCAAGGTCGGTCGTTTTTAGCATTCCTACTGACGGCTTCTGTTTTCAGTCACCATGCTCGAGCAAATGCATTGACAAGCAACAACTTGCAGTGCCTATTTGTCCGCCAGTCCCGCCAGTCCGTGCCCGCCCTCGCCCTCTTTGCTTGCACGCCCGCCCGCGCGCTCTCCCTGTCTCCTTTGCTCAGCTTACGCGCCCGCCTGCTTTGTTCGCCCACCTGTTGAATGGCCCGCCCGCCCTGCCTCACATTGCAGCCCATTCCCATCCTTCTCCCTGGCTCGCCCTCGCCCTTTCGCTGTTGCCCTCTTGCTTGCCCGCTTATCCTCTCGCGCCTACCTGCTTGCACTCTCGCACCTACCTGCTTGCACTCTCGTGCCCACCCGCTTACCCTCTTATGCCCACGTGCCCGCCCTCTCGCACCCGCATCGCCAGTCTTTCCTGTATGCCCATCCTCTCGTTAGCTTGCCCTCCCGTTCTCGTTGCTCTTCTCTCGCCCATTCACCCCTACCCTGTCCGCGTGTTCTTGTACGCCCGTGATCGCCCTGTTGCTAGCTCGACCACCCGCCCGCCAACACGTTCTTTCCTGCCTGCATTTGTCCTCTTACCCGACCACCGCCCACCCGGGCCTGCCCTTCCGTCTTCGGCTTCATGCCTGCTCGCCCTCGACTTCTTGGGTCCCAGCAGTTCTGAGGGTAGAGCCATTGAGGTCGACTGTACCTCCGACACCGATGAGGGAGGAACTCAGCCCGCTTACGCCTCGGGAAGCCTGCAAGGTTGCAACGCCGCAGGAGGTTGTGTCAAAGCCAACGATCCCGAAGGAGGCATCGAAGGCTGCAACACCGAGGGACGCTACCGACGTCCAAGGAGGCCTCCCGGAGCCCCCCGAGGTGTCGAAGGTGCTGACTCGGTCAACATGAAAGGCGTCTGCATAAAAGGTGTTAGCTCTGCGTGCCTGCGGTGGACATTTGCGCTGTGCAGCCTGTGCTGCACGTCGCCGTATCCTGTGCATGCCGTCCATCCGTCCTCGCCTATCTCCCAGCTGCTTGCCCTCCCTCGCCATCTGCTCGCTTCCGTCCTCGTTCGCTGTGTACTCGTCCTCGTCTGTCTCCCAGCTGCTTGCATGTCTCTCCCAGCTGCTTGCATGTCTCTCCCAGCCGCTCGCCTCCCCCGCCACCTGCTCGCTCCCGTCTGCGCCCGCCATCTACTCGTCCTCGCCTGTCTCCTAGCCGCTTGCTGCCCTTCACCGCCGTCTGCTCGCTCGCGCACGCGCCTCACTGTCCGCTCGTTCTCGCCTGTCTTCTAGCTGCTTGCCTGTCTCTCTAGCTGCTCGCCCTCCCTCGCCACCCGCTTGCCCTCCCTTGCCGTCCACTCGCCCTCCCTCGCCGTGTGCTCGCCCTCCTCCGCCATCCGATTGCCCGTCCGTGCCCTGCGGTTTGCTCGTCCTCGCCTGTCTCCCAGCCGCTTGGCTGTCTCTCCCAGCTGCTCGCCCTCCCCCGTCACCCGCTCGCTCCCGTCCGCTTGCAGTCATCGCTGCTCGTCGGTATGGCTCTGCGTGTCGGCTGTGTTTGTACGCGGGGCTTTTGCCCTCTGCGCTCGCGGGTGGCGTGTGTTCTGTTGTGCGTTCCTGTATGTCTACTGCCTACTCGCCCTCCCTCAGGCTTGTCCTTCGGCCATTCACACATGGTCCGTTCCTCGGCCATGTTTGCACACAGGGTATTCACCCTGTATGCATATGGTCACTGTCCGTGTCTGTGTCGTGCTGGGCGTTGTCATGCCCTGTACCCGCCTTGTCACCCACTTGCTTGCTCACTTGCGCGCGCATGCTGTCCATCCATCGGCTGTCTGTGCACGTAGCGAATTGGCCCTACGTGCTCACGATCACTGTGTGCGTCGTGCTGTACGTTGCCCGGCCTCAGAGTTCTGCTCGCACTGCTCTGTGACTGCACGTAGTAGATGTACAAGTCCCTGTACAAGTCCCTGTACAAGTAGTTGTACAAGTAGTTGTACAAGCCTTTGTACAAGCCCTTGTACAAGTCTTTGTACAAGCCTTTGTACAAGCCCTTGTACAAGTCCTTGTACAAATCCCATGTACAAGCCCTTGTACAAGTCTTTGTACAAGCCTTTGTACAAGCCCTTGTACAAGTCACTGTACAAGTAGTTGTACAACTACTTGTACAAGTAGTTGTACCAGCCCTTGTACCAGCCCTTGTACAAGTAGCTGTACAAGTCTTTGTACAGTTGCACAGGTAGTTGTACAAGTCCCTGTACAAGTAGATGTACAAGTAGTTGTACAAGTTGTTATGTACAAGTAGATGTACAAGTAGTTGTACAACTCCTTGTACAGTTGCACAGGTAGTTGTACAGTAGCAATACATATGCATGGCAGTTGTACAAGCATGTTACATGTCCTTGTACAATTACACTGTACAATCACCTGCAACACCACTAATTGTCCCAATGTTCAGGCTGTACTATCCAGTGTATGTGCTTTATACATATACATGTACTACATATATTAGTCAGCCTGTCACTGTATTGACTTGTCTGCCTATCCAAGTCATAGTCCAGTGTGATTGACCATGTTTACATATGCAGAGGCTGGTCCCAGATGGCATCAGTACTGATTTCTTTACAATCTGCTCTGAGTGGCACCCATTTGTTTGCAATCTTTCACAAGTGGCACACACATGTTTGCAATCTTTTAGGAGTGGCACACTTTCATTCACTATCTTTGTTCCCTGAAAGATCACAAACATGATTTGTCACCCCCATGGTCACAATACTTCATGTATCTCTTCATGTGAGCTGTTGGAATTGAGAGGGTACACTGCAGCTAGGTGTGCCACTGCTATCTATTTCCAATACTTCATGCCCAAATCTTGAGTACAATGTTCCCAATATTTCAGGAGAAGAGTTTGTGGAGAGATCATGAACAATGTTACACTTCAATCAGAGACACAAGCTTCAAAATTGCATTCTAATCCTATCACCATCTTTCTGCACACATGTGCTGTGATAGGATTGCAATCATACTTTCCAATCTTTCATACCTAAAAGACAGTATTCACAGAACTCAAAACTTCCTTTGAAAGACCTTTGGAATACATTAGACATGGAGGATTGTGAAGCCTGTCACAATCATTTGTCAATATTACATGATGTGATTATGGAGAAACAAGATTGTAACTTATCACTCTGCAATCCTTTTGATGTCTGTTCACAATCAATTTGGCCCAAAATATTCATTCTGCATCTGAGAACTTTCTGCAAGCTTCTACATTGAAAGATCAGAGATGTTATGACCAAAACTCATTTCCAATCTTTACACCAATCTGTCTTCAATACTGCACACAGAATGATTCAAAACAATGTCTACAATCTTTTTAGGAATCTGTCTCCAATATTGTGCACACAATGATCGAACATAATGTTTGCAATCATATTACTAATCATTCATACCAAATATGGGTAAAAAGATTCGAACTCTTTTCCCAATCTTTCGGGACGAAAGATTCCGACTCTCGCCCGGTGCTACTGTCATCGCTATCTGAGTTGTACATGGACATACGTCGATCATATGCTGAGCCTGTCACAGTCGATGAGATTGGGCGGAGATAGTCATCCACATGAGCGGAAAACCAGAAACGCACGATGTAGGTTCTGCGGTGTCGACTTGAGAGTCATACCATCAAATATTAGACGAGACATACCGTGGAATAACCAACGAGTCTGCCATATTTCCGTGATTGCAGACACAGTAGAACCAGAGGAGCTGTGAGGCGTGCTACGTGTCAACAAATTATGTGACAAAGCAGGTAGTGAAGTACGAACATAGCCGTAGAACATAGTCACCGTCATGTCAAGTAAGCTGTTTCATTAGCTCGCAATGCACTCCGTGCGTGGCAGGCCAGGGCACTGATACGGACCACAAGCCAACGGCCTATTCACCAACGTGAGTACCTCTGAATCGGTACCGAACCCCACTGAATGAACTTACGAAGACTTTCAAGAGCAGATGGTCATCCCGGTAGTTCGAGAGATAAAAGATAGTTTGCGCGATAGTGACCCCAAAGAGGCTGTACACGCGCTGTTCTCAGTACAATCGTCTCAATAGGGTATATGGAATGACGCACGCTACATAGCCGGTCACAGACACGAAGATACAGCCCAAACCCTTCGCAAAGTCGCTCATAGTGGCTCTACGATGCGGGTTTGGAGGGAGTACACCTCAGGAGATGCGAGGCAGCACCCTTTATAGGTTAAAATGCTGTCATAGGCGCTGTTCGGGCCACAGTGCAATCATGTCAACCGAAGACAGCTCTCCGCACGAGCTATCGATATGATATCGAAGTATACGATACGGCAGTGCGACTGTCTCTGGCCGAAGCTGTGCATAAAGCACATCCAGCGCCGATGCCATGAAGAACTCTATTTGCAACTTGATACGGACCCGCTGACATTGTTGTCGACCAGAGCCCTGTCAACATACATCGTTAGCTGCCAGTAGCCGGGACGACTTCGACGTGGCTGGTCATCGATTCGTTCAGGATTCGAAGAGATTGCATACTACTCACTACTGGATTTCCCGAGTGACATCGAGCGGCCGCCGCGGATCATGTCCGTGTCTGCATCTTGATGTATGTCCATCGGTTCAACGAACAGGTGTACAGCCTGCATACCCGCAGTACACGGATGCGGAGATGGTAAGTTATGTGCACTTCCGATAACGGACATAATGAGCGTGGGACTCACCGACAAATGGAAGTGGAAGCTAACTTGTCGAGATGCTAGCCGCACGCTTCCGCAGGCTTCCGCACGCGAACACTGCGTGCGTGAAGCGTCGTGCGTCGACGATTGGACAGGGATATTCCTGCCAGGAAACGACTGGCCTCCCACGGTGCGTCCGTCGAGGCGGAAGCTCAACCACTCCGTGCAACGCGATGCCTTCACTACGGTCCGCTTGCGCTATCCTCCACCCGCCGCCTCGACTCCACGCCCACAATGTCAGAGCCTAGTCCAGAAGAACAAGCAGCGATCGTCGAGCGGTTTCGCGCGCAGCTCGTCGAGCAGGATCTCATTAACGAGGGCGACACAATCGGGACGGACGACTTCACGCTCCAGTAGGTTTCGACAACTATACGTGAAGCGGCAGCTCTGTGGGCTGACTATGAAGTGGGTTGCAGACGATTCCTTCGCGCGCGCGGGTACGATGTGAAGACGACCGTGGCGATGTGGGCAAAATGTCAGGAGTGGCGGAAGACGGCCGAGGGCGTCGGAATCGACGAGCTGTACACGAAAATGGACGCATACGACGTGTGTACCCCTGCCCGCATCCTACGCGTCCGCTTACGCACGTCTCACAGTTTCCGGAGCGTCGCGAGGTATTCAATTACTGGCCGATGTGGTTCCACAAGACGGATAAGGAGGGCAGGCCGGTGAGCATCCAGCAGTACGGCGGGGTGAACATCCCGGAGCTCTACAAGCACATCACGCCGGAGCGGTTCTGGTGGTACATCGTCACGATGTCGGAGAGCATACCGCGCGAAATCATACCCACTGCGTCGCGGGCGGTGGGTCACCAGGTCGACGGGACGTTCCTCATCGTGGACTTGAAGGGATATTCGTAAGTCCATCATCTGAGTGCCGCGGGCGGGCGGGAGAGGGTATCTGATGCGTTTCAACGTCAGGTTGGGCCAGTTCTGGCAGATGAAGGACCTCGTACGCGCTTCGTTCCAAGTCATGCAAGACCACTATCCCGAGATGTACGTCTCGCCCGGTCCCTCCACACCTGACCTGCTCGTCTCACAGCCCGCCGCCCCATCCCCGCACAGGTCCGCGAAGTTCTACATCATCAACGCGCCGTGGTCTTTCACGACGATCTGGTCGCTCCTCAAGCTCTGGCTCGCCCCGCGGACGATCGACAAGATGGACATCCTCGGCGCGGATTACCAGGCGGTGCTCCTGAAGTATATCGACGCGGAGAGCTTGCCGACGTTCTACGGGGGACGATGCGAGTGCAGCGAGGTCGGCGGGTGCAAGTGGAGCAAGCCGATGCGAGATGAGAGGTAGCATACATACTGTATGCGCGTTTGCTTCTGGGAGTCGGTAATCTCGGGCTAGGATGGGGACGCCAATGTTGATGGTTCTACGCATAGGGAGGCATGGTATAGGGCTAGAAACATGACACTCTCGAACGCACAGTTGATTGCTTTCCGGCACCCATCCGTAGCACGCCGTTGCGCCTCTGCGATGAGACGGTCTCGTTGAAAAGTTTGATGAACGCGGCTGCGGACTTCGGCGAAACAGCGCCCGGCCACTGTATTGTTATTCTCGCATCCAAGCATTCTAAGATCTGAGGCCTCAGGCTGAGGGTCCAGCACTTCCGAGTTGGTCTGTCAGTTTGAGAGATTCGCGAAGCCGGGTCTTCTTGATGCCATAGAGTGCGAACGGACAGCGGTTGCTCATAACGTCGAGAGGAATCACTGTTTAAAATCTCGAGTATATGCAGGCTCAGGCAGCGGGGGCCGATGGAAGCAAGTGGAAGTCGCGATCGACGCTCGCGGCGGAGTCGCGCCAGCGGGCATGACTGTGGCGGCGCCTCGCGCCTCGCGTGTTGGCCGCGCGCGTTGAACTTGTTCTTCACAACCATCGTACACCTCCAGAACTGTGATACTTACCTCTACACGTCGAGCTGTACGTACGAGTGCGAGACTAGGTCTACATAATCAGTTGAGTGTTATTTCGTCAGAGACTCGGAGTGCCAGCTTCTGTCAAATACTGACCGAGCCATGCAACAGGAGCGAACGCGACCTTACGCTCGAGTTCCCGGGCTTAACAGTTATCGAGTCCTGCTCCGGTCCCCAGAAATAGTTTGCGAGTAACATTCTTATACATCATGAAGCCCTACATATTGGGGGCTGATCTCGACTGCATACCGAATGAACTTACGGGGGCGTTCAAGGACTGCGCAACTTGGAAGTACCGCTCCGGCTCCTCGAAGGACGCTAGGTGAGGCTAGGTGAACTCTTCGAAGGACTGCGCCCACTTCGCCTTTGAGATCTGTCAAAACAGAGGGCCGACGACAAAGTTTATCACCTCATCGTCTGCGCCATTTATCACTAGCGTCTCCTGGGAGATCTTGTGCAGGTCGTCGAGCATCGACCAGGCATCGACCAACTCTTGATGGTTCCGGTGATCTAGAACTCGGATGGACCGTTCCTGGACACAATTAGTGGATGGTGAGTGCAGAGCATCACCCCACATGGTCGAATACAACGTAGGGCCTTCCTCCTTCGCGCGGAGCGTTTCCTGTGCCAATGGGGACCGGGATGACTTGACTTTCAAGCTCGCGGAAGTCCCATCCCCTTCTTTTGTTCCTCACTGTCCGTCGTGTCGTTCCCTCAATCTCTCCGGCGTCTCTTGAGACTGGCACATCATTCGGCACGCCCTTGAGCAGCTCCTAGGCCAGTCTATTTCTGCCACAGCTTCATCGGCAACGGCGTCCCTACCAGGACCATCCGCTTCAGTCCCTCGGGTTGCTTCGCGAGCCCGTACGACAGTGCGAGCATCCCGCCCTACGAACGGGCTACACAAGTCGAAGCTCTCTGCAATCCTAAGCTTCTCGACGAGGTTCGCGAGCTCCTCGACAAACAGCTGCACTCTCCAGAACTCCTTCGGCCTCTAACGAAGGTGCGTGCTCTGCCCGATGCCGAAGTGGTCGTAGCATATGACGGGGTACGTTCTATATGTAGCTCATAGTGCGTCGTCATATATTGATGCCCGAGGCCAGCCCTGCCGGCGGCCGTGTAGCACGACGAGGGGGCGCTTGTCGCAGCTGAGGTCGCCGCGGGGGCTGTACCACGTCTGGTAGGTCTCCCAGTTGATCGTGAAGATTTGTAGTTTCAGAGTCGCTTGTAACGCCGATGTGCGAATGTCGGGCGGAACGCGCGAGTATTTATGTGCAGCAGTTCAAGTTGTGACTTGACAATGCTTTCTCTCAATGGCAGCGACGTCGCGCGAGGCGGATCTGGGGGGGGGGGGGGGGGCATCATGTCCGTCTTCCTCTGAACCCCGGTCAGAGTACTGCATTTCCCCGGAGGGTCCGGAGCTCTGTTGGGTACGCTTCTGCTTGTTCTTGCTGACTCACCCAAGCATCGCTCCTCATGGAGTGTCCGAGAGCGCCCCGCAGCTTGAGCGCTATGAGACATGAGAAGGGGGCCGATTCGGAGTTCTTGAGCACTGGGCGCGCGTAAAACCTTGCACCGCTCTCGTATAGAGGTACATATCGCTGACAATGCCAGTGCTATGCAGAAATCTTGTGTGGATAATTCATGTTCAGCAGTGCACCGGCAATCGACCTCTCGGTAGCAGGTATGTAGGTAAGTAGTTCGGCCTCCCTCTAAATTCCGTCGGGCGTGCTGATCTACCAAGTTAGCCACGGTACTCAGACAGGGAGCGAGCGCGGGCCTGTCATTGTGATGCATCATCGGCCGGACGACGTATCACATATATTGGCCTCGACATGATGTGCTGAGCAGCACCGGTGCCCTGGCAGTGATACTGTCAGAGTCGCTCTCATCGCACGACAGATCGATTTGCACCCCCATGTCTGCCATTGACACTGCGTTGACAGGATATGCCAGGTACGATTCTAGCCCAATCCAGCCTATCGCGGGCCGCTCCTCAGTGACATTCGCCCCAGCGCTGTTCATGGTTACAACACCCTCGCCACAACGGGTACGTTTCGAGTTCATGTTTCGGTATACGCCCTGATGACTTCGTTACTCTCGCAGTGCTGCTCTGTTATGACTGTCTCCTGAATCTCGATAGAGAGATTCCGCTGATCTGGTCTCGGAGACCGACAATCACCTCCGTGTTCTATGTCCTCTGCCGATATTCCATGGTGCTTTACGCAGTCCTAGGCTGTGTATCGTCTTCGTCTGATTTGGTACGATAGCTCCGGTGTTCACGCCACCGGAGGTCACCCCTGATACTACTCTCTAGACGTACGTTCGACTCTATTCTACGTTCACCTCGATTGTGCTGAACAACGTCGCAGATGTACGGCCGTATCGAACACTCGGCATGTCCTTGGTGTCTTTTTCTCTCCCGTCGTAACAGGTGTGCTCTAAGAATCGTCGAGACCACCACGGATGCTGATCAATCTGACTAGTTTCTGCATATGTCAAAGTCTATGCTGTTAGTAGACGTGACTGGAGGTGGACGTCCATCGCTGTTATGCTGGGGCTTGTCTCTCTCGCCACACATATCGTAAGCCTTCCCGATACCATTTACTCGGCTTGCTTCATCTTCTCCTAGTTTCTCTATGCGGAATCCACCTTCAAGATAGCCACACTTCCCGATTTCGTAGAGTCTTGCATCGAAACGAGAGGTATCTCCGATGTCGAATTGAAGAGGTGCGTGCCACTATCGATTGTTAATCCTTGATTTATGTACCGGGACAGATGTGAGCCTCTGTCAAGTTACATTCTCAGTTCTGACCTGATTATATGCGTAGTAATCATTGCAACACGCATATGCGCCATCGCGTCCGACTTCACCGTGATCGCAGCGATAACATATCACACGAGAGGACAAGGGATCCTCAGTCAAGGCCTGCCTCAGAGCAGACCGTCACTTGTACTCCTCATACAGAGAGATGGTGAGTGATGCCCGGCAGCTCAGGAGAACGAGCCTTCGCTGATTGCTCCAATCAAGGATTTGTGATGTTTGTGTAGGTGTCACAGGGAGCTTTCGATGGCTTTAGACCGACAATGATGATGTGTCTAGGTTCTTCGCTGTCCTCAACGTATTCGCCGTTGCCCTCTACTTCACAGTAGTAAGCATCTACGCCCGTCCGTCACTTCATCATGCTGACAACAGCCGCCATAGCCGTACGGCTGGGCCCTGACGATATTTGTCGACCCGTGAGCTTCGCTGCGCCGATACCGCTCGTCTATAGATCTGACATCCACCCATAGCGCCATCTCCATTATCATCTCACGCAGCGTCTTGCGACTCCTGGCGGCGACCAACAACAGCGTGCCAGACGACAGCGATGACATCGACACGCTCCACTTGTCCTTCGTCCAACCAGAACATCTGCCCACGGAGCTGTCTAGTGTGGTCCACACCGCGAACATGCTCAACGCAGTCGTCTCGCGGATTTTGTCAGAGCCGGACGATATGGACACTACGCTTGCCCCGACTGATAGTTCATGCGAACCCCCGGAAGTGAACGGAGATGGGTGCACAGCAGGTGAGTACAAGCAGCCTACGCTACCGATTTATCTGACTACTGTTACGGCGCATCTAGAGACGGATGAGGTCGAAAGGTACTCGTCATAAGGCAAGTAATATATGCGCTATACCGTCTCGGCGTCCATACGGCAATGCTGACGTGGACTGTAGGAAACTTAGCTGAATCGGGAGCTGTACGTTAGTATTCTCATTTGCATTGATATTGTATGTTTGAGGTACGCCGGTGATGTTCTGCGATGCAAGGGCGGCTCCTGGGCGGCTCAGCAGTTGCTTCGCAGCAGCTGAATATGATGCGCAGATGTGGTGTGGCATTGGTGACTCGGACGCTAGATCGAATGGCTCACAGGGTCGCTCTGAAGCTTAAACAGCATATTGCACGCAGCCTAGAGCTATGTGGCAGCACGTTTATGTGCTGGACGGTTCTTGCCACTCGGACCTCCGAAATGATGTAATCGCTATGCGTGTTCACTATTACTGCATTGAACAAAGTCGTCCGGCTCAACGTCGACGTGTCCACTGTTGTACGCGTACGTGTCCGGAGCCTGCTGGTACCGACTAGTGACTGGTTGACCACTCGCTGTATCTGTGCCATGCAGGTTGGGAGGAGGCGGACGCGACCACGTGATACTTATGTAGTCGCGGTCGCTCAACCGAGCCAACGGTCGCCTGAACCACCACCAGCGCATCTGCATCCTTCAATGCAACTCTCACTATGGCCGAAGAATATCGCGGGTTCAAATTTCCCATTATGTATGCCGATCCTCCCAACAAGTCCGCGACCTCCGTTCCCGGTTCCCTTGCCGGTAAGTATCGGTTCCTGACTATGGCTTACTACGAGTATTTGCCACCGGAACGCCGCCTATGTATCCAACCTTGAAGACGTAGTCATCGAAAAAAATCGCAAACGTGCAAATCTGCTCGATGTTAATCTAGACGGTACGATGGACGTCCAAATACACGAGGTACGATGGCGAGATTGTGGCTTGAGACATCTTACACTTAACCCCTTTCTTACAGTTGGTGGAATCACTTCGGCCTGACGTGAAGACCGAGGCCAAACATGAGGAGACATACGCGGTTATAGATGGCCCCTTCCTCAAGGAGAAGGCATACCCGCTGGATCCTCGGGAACCGTTGACCACACTGGAGGAATTGGTCGCCGTTCTTAGTGCGTCTATGAGCCTTTCATACCTCTCGTCACTCACAACGCCCATAACAGCTGTCGTGCCTCCCCATCGCCCAACGCAATCATTGGCCGCGTTGCAAGTAGCGGGCGAGTCGGTTGCACAAATTCGTCAGTCTACTCCCTCTTTGACTACAGCATACTTTATAGGCCCTTCATCCCTCAGATCGTGAAGGCATCGCCGCAGCTGCTCGGACAAGGCACTCACCTTCGACTGGCGCTACGGCCGTTCGCCGTGTACAACTACCGACCACTCAGTCACCCATCACGATCTATCATCCCGTGTTCGCCAAGTTCCTGCGAATGATGGCTGAGCCGCAAGTCTTTACGCACGAAGAGCTCGATGGCGCTCAGAGGTTCGTGGATTAGGCCGTAGCTTACTACTCAAGTAAAGACAGGCGATTCGCGCGATCGCTCGAAATGGCGATGGCGGTACATCGACAAAGTTTCTCAACAACGATCATCTCCAACGCATCTGGCGAATCTGAAGTAGACGGTGCTGTGTATTCAGCGGTTGTGAATAACAAATTCAGCACAGTCACCGCGTTGACCAAGATTGCGCTCGAGGTGGGCGAAGGTGTCTGCGAGCCGCTCGCGCAGGTAAAGTGTGCGTACGTGGCTCTATACCCCTCTGACGAGGTGTGTGCGTGCTCACAGAACTAATGTTGTCTCTCACTGACATTCTACTGCACCCAGGCTCGGCCTGTCCGACAAGCGTGTTGCTGTCCCGCATTCCTCATAGGGATGGCAGGGCCCAACATCATAGTCAGCGGTGCTGTGTTCGCCGACCAGCTCATCGCACAGACGCTGACGGACTACATCTCCGTCGTCCCTCGCCCGGGGAAAAGGGGCCGCTCCCCGCTTGACGATGCCGGCCATCGCGTCGCGAGACTCTTCCGGGCACTCAAAGTGTGTATCGAGGATTTGAACAGATACTACAAACAGGTCGCACAAGAGGTCGCCCCGCCACCTCCGCCGCCTGTCACTGGTGTCATGGGCAGTTGTGCCTCCGTGAGCGAGTCAGCCAGAGTCGCCCAGGCTATGCGCGTGCCGTCGTATATCGGGCCTCATTTCACGGAATACCTCGACAGCGCTGGGCAGTCGATCGAGCTTGTGTACAAGGAGCGGCTCAGCCCCGACATCACAGGGAGAGCGGTGATCGTCGCGGAGGCAAGACGGGAGGCCGAAACGGAAACGACACCGACGAAGGTGGTCGTCAAGTTCGCGCACACGTACAACCGTGAGGCACACGAACTCCTCGCGGCCGCAGAGCCCCCACAGGCACCTCGGCTGCGGCACTGTGCATACGAGGACAGTGTGGGCATGTGGGTCGTCGTAATGGACTACGTGGAGGGCAGCAAGCTCGGGGAGGTGCAGACCGAGCCCACGCACGTTGCCTCCCTCCGGACGGCGGTGAGGACGCTGCACGAGCGCGGGTTCGTGTTCGGCGACCTACGCCAAAGGAACGTGCTCGTCGTGGGCGAGAGGGTGGTACTGATCGACTTTGACTGGTGCAGGAAGGCTGGCGAGGCGAGGTATCCGAGCGACATCCTTCTGGACGGCCAAATTCCGTGGCACTACAGTGTACGGCGGGGCGGGCTTATTGAGGAGGTGCACGACAGGCATCTTTTCCACATTCTTACAGGAGAGGAGCTGTGACGGACTGTTCATGACATTCGTATATACAGTATGTACTCGTGGCATGGAATGCATATCCATACAGTTCATAAGTAAGTAGTACTGACTCGGAGTACCGTGAAGGAGCCTAGTCGCTTAGTCAGCAACGACGCGCGCGCTCGCGGTTCGCCCACGCGTTCTTCTCTCCTCCACCTCCAGTACAGGCCTCTCCTTACACTTCCACCACTGCACACGATGTCAGACAACAATCCCCGCCCAGCCAAAGTATGGAGTCGCCCCTCAGGCCAGATAGGCCGCATCGGCGGCTGGGGCAGCTCCTCTTCCTCCGCGCAAGTGCCGCTCTCACCAACGACGCGTTTCGCCCGACTTACGCATCGTCTGTTCACAGAGGCAGAGGTGGCTCAGCCCCCGCGTCGCATCTCTGCGCGACGTGGCCGCCAGCGGCCCCGCTGTGCCACCGCCCAGTGCAGCGCCCGCCCCGGTCGCGCACATGCGGCCGACGATGACGACGATGACGAGCAGGAGGGCGAGAACTGGTTTGCGGGAGGCGAGCGAAGGTGCGTACGTCCGTCCATTCGGAGAGTCGCCAGCGCTGATGGGCGCGGGATCCCAGTGGAATATCGGTGCAGAACCCAAACAGGCCGGGCGCTGTCCCCGGCGGAAGCCTAGTACGCGATCTCTTGCGCCGCGCAGCAGAGTGAGTCGCGTTTTCATCTCATGCGGGTGCGTCACTGACTCGCGACGAAGGGCCGGGCCGCCGCAGGAGGATGCTGGCTCGTCGCGCTCATCCGTGTTCACGGGAGGTGGGCATACGCTCGGAAGCGACGAGGTCGACAGCACGTTCATCCCCGACCCCAGCTCTTCCATACGTACGTACACTCTGTACGTCTTCCTCTCTGCAGGTCCGCTCATGCTCCTGTGCAGCTCCCGAAGAAGAGACCGCGATACGGCACCTCACCTTCTGGCGCGACGGCTTCAGCGTCGAGGACGGGGACCTCATGCGCTACGACGACCCCACCAATGCCCAAATCCTCAACGAGATCAACTCCGGGTGCGTAGACTCGACACCCACCCGCAACCGTATCGTATGACACTGACTCGTGTTCACGCAGCCGCGCACCGCCGCATATCCTTAACGTCTCCCCCGGACAGCCCGTCGAGCTCCGCGTCGTGAAGCGGCTCAGCGACGAGTTCGTGGCGCCGCCCAAGGCGCGCGACGTGTTCTCCGGCGAGGGCCACCGCCTCGGCTCGCCCGTCCCGTCCATCGCGGGCCTCGGCGCGGCCGCGTCTGTCGACATGCCGGGGAGCTTCCCCGTGACCGCGACCGGGAGCGTAGGAGAGCCGAGCGCAAGCGGGGCGAGTGTGCGGTCGGCGGAGAGCATCAACACGCGCTTCGAGGTCGACCAGAGCCTGCCGACGACGAGCGTGCAGGTGCGCCTCGCGGACGGGACGAGGATGGTGTGCCGGATGAACCTGACGCACACCGTGGGCGACATCCGCAACTTCATCAACGCGTGAGTGGCTCCGTCTGCTCGGGCATGTGAGCACCCTCTGATCGATGGGTGTGTAGGTCGCGCCCGGAGAACTTGACGCGCCCGTATACGATCCAGACGACGTTCCCTGCGAAGGTGCTGGACGACAACGCGAAGACGGTCGAGCAGGCGGGGCTCGTCAACGCGGTGGTCGTCCAGCGGTGGGTGTAGGTTGCCTCCCAAGTTGGGAGCAGCTGTCAATGAGGGGGTGGTACGTGAAGGTGACGCGTTGCGCTGTGCTTGGAAGTGTACGTATGCAAGGCTGTGGCTGTGTGTATCATAGAGAACCACTATCGGACACTAAGGCGTGGTGTTGCAATCATATAGTGAAGTGTTACCATGTTTGAGTGTATCGCTACTTGGCTGACTGGCCGCCTGGTGGGTGCTCCGTGTCAGTACTTGACGACAGCTCTTCTTTGGTACTTCATGTAACTCGCCTTCTTAGCTTCTAGATGGCGATGGTTTCGCCGGACGGTAATGACGCTGACATGTGGATCCCTACCCTAGCACCAACACCGTAATACAGCAACCAGGTGTTACATGAAGACTAATATATGGTGCATACCGCTATGCGAAGCAGCAGATCTAAGCTATGTACCCCAGTCGATCTGACCTGGCCAAGTACAGTCCATGCCGCCGAGGTACATACTGCAGCAGGACTGCCGTCACGTCCGGACAGCCTCTCGAAGCAGTCACCCCCCTCCAACCAGACAAGTACTGACACACAGACACGATCCACCAGGCGTTTATAAGTCAAAGGCGGTTGGCGGGGTGGTTGCGGTCCACGTCGCGGTCCACAGCGCGCACAGCGTCTGCCCGGCACGCGCAGCTTGAAGGGGCGGCGGCAGGTCCGCTCGGGGCATTAGGTGAGAGTCGGACGATACGCATCCCGTCGTCCGGTCTGCAGGTGTCCGGCCCACAGTTCATCAATATCCCAACGATTACCCCGAACGCGCCCCCAGCCCAGTCACGCTCGTCCACCGACAGCTTCCACCGCCGTCCCCGTCCTTACTGTCCCTGGCGCACCGCTCGCGGTCCCGGTCTCCGTCCCATTCGCCGTCCCCGCCCCCGCCCCCGCCCCTGGTCCGGCGCCCAAACCTACCTGAGGGTCGTCCCCGAGCCCGAGCCCGTGCCGCAGCCCGAGTCGGGGCCGGTAGGCACCGCGCCCGAGACGACGAGGGCGACGTCGGAGTGGAGGTGCAGCGCGGAGCGGAGGTGGTGTCGCGTGTTGAGTCTGGGAGGCAGGGCGTCAGACGTGAGCGCGCAGAGACTCGGACGTGGAGGAGAGGGGGGGCGTACACTGCGAGGAGGGAGTTGACGTACACTTACTGGGGAGGCGGGGGGCGTCAGTGCTGTCTGGGGGGTGGGGGGTGCAAGGAGGAGGAGCGCGTACGCGTGCTGCCCGGGATGCTGCAGATGTCGACGACGAACGAGGCTCCCCTCCGCGATGGCGCTGACGTACTGCGGCGCGCGCGACGCCAGTACCGCACGACCTGGGCGTGAGCGTCCGCGGGAAGTGCAGCACCGGGGTTATGAAAGAGTGTGGGGGACGTGCGCGCCGAGACGTTGTGTGTGTAGAAGCTAAGGGACGGAGCGTCAGTGCTGGCGGGCGGAGGGGAGAGCCGGGCTGGCCGGTTGGCCACCGCTCATCGGACCCACTCGGCCACACCGGGCGGAAAGTGCCTACATCTCGTTTGCTGGAAGACGCCAGACTCACCTCTAGAGCGTGCTCGGCATAGGTGTACCTCAGTTCAGATGAGGAGCACGGTGGACCCACAGCATATGCTCTGACCGGGAAGCGTGCTGTGGTCAGTATGCGATGCCATATGGTCGCCAGGAATGTGGGCGCACGGGGGAACGACGGGTGTGGCGAGGGGATTGTGTCGGCTCTCGATCAAGTAGTACCACTGGCATAGGAACTGCGATGGGTGAGGTCGGCACAAGGGTGCGACGGCTCGCAAGAAGCACGTCGACATTGAGCATTGTCCCCGCGGTATCTAGCGAGCTGCACGCTGTCGGATGTCAGCGCGGCATGCGGGACGAGAGTTGGACGGACCATGGAAAGAGGACCTGTGCCCCGTCCGTCCTGGAGAAGGGACCGACAGACGCCTGTCTGCGCTCGCAGTCGTTCCGTGTTATCCACCGCGGTCTCTTCATGGCCTCGCGCGGCACCAGACGCGCGGCAAGTGCGCAGCTCGGCCGCATCAGCGACGACGCCGTATCGGGCGACGTCACATGACCGCGAAGGCGACCGCCGCGTCGCGGGAACCGGCTCGCCTTCTCGTCATCCTCACCTGCCCGCCCGCCTCGCACTGCGCACTCCTCGCTCGCGACAGCCACCGCCGTCCACTCGCTCGATTGTCTCGATTATCAAGGGGCTGCAAGTGTCGCGCTCACCATTTGGCTGCACATCGCGTGCTGTCAACAACCACCTCTGTGGCCTCAAAGGCACACGTCTGCGTGGTGAGTCGTCGCATCGCGCCTGATCGTCTATCGTGCCCGCGTACGTGCTGCACAGCATGCGCAGAGTCCGCTGTCGCCACTGCGCGACGCCGTCGTACTCTCTGATCGACATCTCTGACCACGTCCTTGCGACAGCCACTCTCCGCCGACCGAACCACCACCCGCGGCCGACTAGCGAACGCGCCGCCCACACATGCCCCCATCCCCCGACTGGACCCGCCCCGGCCCCGGCCCCGGCCGCAACTCGTCCGGCTACGGCGGCAGCAGCGCAGGCCCGCCGTCCACCCCGCGCGTGTACAAATCCAAGTTCGCGCAACGCCGCGCCGGCCGCCGCCTCAGCACCGCCGAGTCGCGCACGTCCTCGCCCACGCCCCAGCCCGGCGCGGACAGCCCCGTCGTGCAGCCGTCCGAGGAGAGCGAGAGCGAGGGCGCGGAGCCGGTGCGGGGGAGAGCGGGCGTGGCGAGGCTCAAGAGAACCGGGACCCCGCGGGGGAGGCCGAGCGCGAAGGCCGGCAGGCGCGAGACCGACGACGACCACAACGACGACGGCGACTACGACGACGACGGCGGCGGCGACGTGGGCTCGGCGGGGCGCGAAGAGGCGCGGGTCTGGCAGGAGACGTACCGCGACATCACCGTCGCGATCCCCACGCGCACGCCCTCGCCCGACGCCGCCCCCCGCCGCCGCGCCCGCTCGCAGAGCACGGCGCGCAGCAACGCCGCCGCGAGCCCGAAGCGCACCCGCAGCGTGAGCCGCGGCAGGCGCACCACCCCCGCCCGCGCCGCCAAGGCACCAGTCTCGCCGGAGGTGCCCGTGTTCGAGGAGACGCGGGGCCGGAAGCGCTCCCACTCGTCCGCCTCCACGCTGCGAGCGAGGGTCGGTGCGGACCCGGCCCCGGCGCGGCTCACGGCGGGCATCCCCACGAAAGTAGGCCCCCCGCCGCGCCGCGCGCGCTCCGCCGTCCGCGCCGCCGACCTCCCCCTCCTCCCCGCCACTGCGCCCGCCGACAAAGGCAACGGCCGCGACCCGAGCGGGGCGGTGAAGATCGGGCCCCCGCGCGCCCGCTCCCGCTCGAAGCCGCGCGCCGCGAGCACCGCGCGCCGCACGAGCACTCCCGCGCCCCCGCGCCCCGCGAAACGCGCCCAGTCCCTCGCGGAGCCCTCCGCGCACCCCGCGACGCGCACCGTCCTCCCGAGCACGCACGTCGCCGCACGCGCGTCCGCCCCGTCTGCCCCGGCGCCTGCGCCTACGTTCATCCCGCCGCCGAGCGGCCCTGCGAAACGACCCCGCGGCCGCCCGCGCAAGAACACCCTCCCGGGTTCGGTGGCGCCGCTTCCCGCGCCCGCGCCTGCGCCTGCTCCGCAGACGGTACCAGCACCGAAGCCGAGAGGCCGCCCGCGCATACACCCTCTGCCGAACCCTAGCACGCCGAACCCGCCCAAGAGGCCGAGGGGCCGCCCGCCCGGGAGCAAGAATCGGCGTAAGAGCGAGGGGGACGTGCAGGTCACGGAGAGGGAGCGGGAGAAGGAGCGGGAGCGAGAGAGGGAGAAGGAGAGGGAGAAGGAGCGAGAGAAGGAGAAGGAGAAGGAGAGGGAAAGGGAAAGGGAGAGGGCGTCGAGCGGGTACGTGCGCTCGATCGTCGACGCGCTGGAGGGCCGGAGCAGCCCGGTGACGAGGGCGGGCCCATCCAAGGACGCGCCGTCTGTTCCGAAACGGAACAACGCGTACGTTCTTGTTCCCTCCGCGCCGTACGATCTGCACTCGGGCAAGCGCGCGGGCGGTGCACGGGGGAAGCAGCGCGCGCGCGGCGCGGAGGACGACGACGGGGAGGTGCGGGAGATACCGGTCGCGGACTACGAGGACGAGGGGCAGACGCGGTCGGGCTGGTCGAGCGAGACGGTGATGGTCGAGCGCAACGGGTGGATGGCCCTTCAGGACGAACTGGGTGGGTTGGACCCGGACGAGCGCGATGAGGAGTCGCGGGTGGAGGAGGAGCTCGTGCTTCCGCCGTCGACACCCGGTACGAGCCGCGCGCAGGCCAGGAAGGATAAAGGCGCGAAGGCGGGTAGGGCGGCGCCCAGTGCGAGAGGTAAGGAGAAACCGCGCGAGGACGGCCCGCCCCCTGCGAAGAAGCAGCGCATTTCGCGCGGACAGGGCACCGCAGAGGGTCCGAGCACCGGCGCCGCGCAACAACCGCAACCGCAAGCCCCCGCGTACCCGGCGTCGCTGTCTGCGCCTACCACCGCCCTCGCGCAGGCGATCAACAGCGCGGGTGTGAGCAACCCCCCGCCGTGGTACTACGGCGCGCACGCGCAAGGCGGCGGCTACTACAACTTCCGCGTGTCCCTCAACCCCGAGAGCCCGCCCCGCCCACAGGCGGCCGCCGTACGCCCGCCCGTCTCCGCCCCCGCTGCACCGCACCTCGCGGCCGGAGCGGCGTTGCCTCTTCCGAGGATGGCGGGACCGGCGGGGCTGGTGCCCGAGTACCAGACGTCCGAGGCGCTCTTTGAGGGGCTGATGGCGCATATCGGGCGGTGGAAGGCGCAGAAGACGCCGTTCCGGTTCCAGGGGACATGGAAGGTGACGAAGGAGGAGGGGAGGGATCTGGACGAGGCGCTCGTGCGCGAGGCCGCGAACGAGCTCGTCTCGTACATCGACATGCCGTTCAGGTGCGTGGCGTCTTTGCTTCTCGTCGTGTGAGGAATGGGCTCCCGGCTGATGTGGTGCCTCTGCGCGCAGCACGAACCGCATGCACACGACGGTGGTGTTGCGCGGGGACACCGCGCAGATCCACCTGCTGTGCGAGTGTGCGGAGGATTGGGGGATGGCGCGGGCGTGTGGAGGGCGCATGAGCATTAGCTTCATGGAGGTGGCAGCGAACGGCACGCCGAGCGGGCAGCCGAACAGGCTGCAGGTTATGCTGGAGATGACGCATTGAGCGGTGGTGGGGTGTCCGATGTAAGCATGCATGTCTTGTGTGTTCTGTAGTGAGTAGTGTACTTGTATCGTGTCTTGTCTGTGCTTGGGTTGTGTCGTGTCCGTCTCACTCGAATCTTTGTATGAATGCCTCTGATTACAGCCGAATTGTATATGCACTCCATGCCACGAGTATATACGGAACAGTGGAGTTGGCATTGAATCTGTCACAACTCCTCTCTTGTAAGAGTACGGAAATGATATCTGTCGTGCACATCCTCAATCAACCCGCCCAGCCGTACACGCCGCGCAGAAGGATGTCACTCGGATGCCCAACGGATACCGCGCCTCGCTAGCCTTCCCCCACCGGTCGAAGTCAATCGGTAGATGTCACCGTCCTATGGTAGGTTCTTTTGGGTGGCGCAGGTCACCGAGCTCGAATCCGCGCTCGTGCAACGTCCTCACCGCCGTCCAGAGGGAGGCGATGTGCGCGGGCTCTAGAGCCGTGAGGAGTTCGAGGGCTGCGCGGTTGTACGCCGGATACACGAACTCGACCAACATATATGTCGTTGTTGTTGTCGCTGTCGTGGTCGTTGTCGTGGTCGTCGTTATGATCGTTCTCGTTTCTGTTTTTGTTATCGTCGTCATTATTGGCGTCTCCGTCGTCCTCGTCGTCGTATAGGCAGGCCCATAACTGCCTATGACACCACCAGCGGGCGGGAGCGCTGCTGGGGCTATCTCCTGTGCCTGTGCGTAATATCGGTTCATATCCTTGGTACACACTTTCAGTGCTCGGAAGAGTCTCGCGACACGATGGTCGGCATCGTCCAGCAGGAGCTCCGGGCGAGACTCCATGACAGAGATGTAGTCTGCCAGCGTCTGTGCAATGAGCTGGTCGGCGAGTACAGCACCGCTGTTGGGTCCTGCCATCCCTTTGAGGAACGCGGGACAGCAATACACTTGTCGGACAGGCCGAACCTGGGATTCCTAGCAGCGCGTCAGTATAGAACGACGTTAACCCTGTGAGCACACACCTCGTCAGAGGACTCATATATAAGCACGTCAGCGCTGTCGAGCTCTTCGTTCGTAGGGACATGCGGCTCAGCTATCATTCAGAGGAACTTGGCGTACATGGGATAACAGATCGTGACGGGTAGGGGAGCTAGATTGAGTGGTCGGTAGTTGTACACGGCGGCATCTGTACGTTTGACCTGGGTCTCAGTACGGTCAGCGGCGTGGCGTCAAGGTCCCTTGTCCGAGCGGCTGCAGCGATGTCTTCACGATCTGGGGAGTGTCATTGGGAGAATGCTGCAGTTGGGTAGGAAATAGACTGACGTCGAATTGTGCAACCAACTCGCTGGCTACTTGTAACGTTGTCAATGATCGCTTTGGGTGACGGGGAGACATGTCAGCTATTGTGGGTGCTGTGCGCGACGAGACTGAGTGTGAAACAGTACATACGGCAATTAATGTTCAACGTTCAACGTTAAGCGACCCACACGCGTCGCGGCGCCAGGTACACGTGATCGCGTCAGTCACTACGATATGTTACATATTAGCCAGATTAAGCTGCATAGTCAGAACACCGCGCGCAGTGGAATGCATGATCATTCAAAAACGCTCATACGAGCAGAGTCAGCATCGCTGTGAACACATCGTCAACAAGCAACAATATTAATCATCGAGGGGCTAGGAACGCCCGGGCCTCCTCCCAAGCCATCCGCTCCCGCTCCTTACCCTTCTCGCGCCCTCTCCGAACCTCCTCAGCATTGATCGCCCTCCAATCCGCGTAGTCCGTCACCCGTCCCTCTCGCCACGCCTTCTCAACCTCCACCGGGGGGCCCTCCCCCTCGGCCGTCCTTGGTAGCACGTCCTCCCCATCCGCCTCCGTCCCGCCCGTCCGCGCCCCCGCGCCAACATCGACGTCGCCAACGGGCACGGTCTTGACGTCCTCGCCGGGGAACGCGTCGCGCAGGATCGTGTCCGCAACCGCGTACGCGTCCATCATCGTGCCCGCGAGCACGCCGCGCGCGCCCACCGCGGCCCACCCGCTCGCGTACACGTTCCGCACGGTCCGCCCCGCCGCGTCGAGCACCCGCCCGCCGAGCGTGCGCAGGTGCCCCAGCGCGGGGTCGTACCACGGCGCGCTCGGCTCCGCGCGGTGCCCGAGGGAGGTCACCACGAGCGACGTCGGGAGCGTAGACGTCTCCCCCGTCGGTACCGCGCGCATGGAGGGATCGAGCATCGTGTGCGCGAGGGTGAGGTGCGCGGGCGGGCGGACCGAGGAGGCGGGCTCGCTGGGGAGGACGAGGCCGGTCGGCGAGCGGAAGAAGTCGAGCGACCATGTCTTGCGCGTCGACCCGGGCTTGTTCTTCGAGCCCTTCTGCAAGAGCTGCAGCGTGCGCGATTGCTGGCGCGTCAGCGCTGCACCGTCGCTCGGCTCCAGCGCGGCGGGGTCCAGCGAGACCATGGACGCGTCGGTGAGGTTCATCATCTCGCGCAGCTCTTTGGTGGTGAAGGCCGCCTGGAACGGGCCGCGCCGCCCGACGATGGAGACGTGCTCGACCGCGGACTGCGCGAGGACATCCAGGACGGGAGTGGGGACGTCGTACTTTGCTAGCTCGGACGGCGGTGTCAAGAGCATGCGTGCGATGTCGAGAGAGACGTTGCCCTGCCCGATGAGTGTGACGTGCGAAATCTTGTCGAGAGGCGGGGTAGGTGAACGAGATGGATGCTGTGTGTACCAGTGAACGAGCGAGAGTGCCGGTACGCAGTAGGCTGATGGTGGCAGCGCTGGGTGTAATAAGGGTACTGTACACCCTGTAGAGAATAGCAAGTGTGTGTAGTGTTGGAGGAGGGACGATAGCGGGAGCGTCACCGCGTCCGGGTTCTGCGAGGGTGTGTCGATGTTGACATTGCCGAAGAAGCGCAGACGGGGATCTTCCGCGGCGTCATCGAATTTGTGGGTGCAGTTCTACTCGTCGTGGTTCAGCATGGCTCGTATGCATGACACGCAGCGGATCTACCTTGACTTCCGGTGATCTGGCGCGACGCCGTATCGTACTAGCCATGAGGCGCCCACAGGCGATCATACATGTGGATCTTGAGCATGGACCCTTGTGGGCTTGCGTGTGGTAGCAAGGTGAGTAGCCGAGATGCCACATAGAACGCGGAAGGGCCCCCGCCTATGATAGCCAGCTTTATGGGTGCCATTTTTGTTGATCTGGTCAATTGCCAGTCAGAACTCAGTCACAAACGCCAGTGTGCCGTACAAGAAACTATACCTATACACTCATTACTGTTCAGTCAGTAGCAACCTATTCTCGCTCACCTTCGAATAGATCGCGTAATCCCGCACGAGCCCGATGAATGGCGCTGAATGGTGCTGGCGAATGTCAAGGGGACTAAATAGGGCCAGATTAGTAATTGGCCGAAGGACGCGTCCTCCCGGGCTGCAGACTGAAGCGGCGTGCCACAAAATTGACGGGGTTCGACAAAGACCCCTCACGTGCGCCGTGTGGAAGGTCTTAAAATGAAATACCCCGGAGTCCTCCTCTCTTTGACTGGGACTTGCTTTGAACTTACGCAACAAATGGGGAGCGCGACGGACAAACGACAAACAACGACGCTCTCATTTGACGCTCCGTAATTGCCGAAAATGGACGCGGCGATAATCGGTCTACCTGGGCGGTGCACGTGAAAGACCCGCGCTCTGTGACGTTCGCCCGACGCGGTCGACACCGACATCGACGTCCACCACCATGTCCTCCGCCCTCGTCGCCCGCTCAGCCATCAACGCCCGCCTCGCCTCCACTTTTGCCCGAGGTCGCTTCGCCCGCTTGCTGCCCACGGTGCGTCGTTACATGCAGAGCGCAGGGAATGTCTGGTCTCACGCATTCGCGTATTTACTTGCCATGCCCGTACGCTCCAAACGCTTCCGCACTGACAACGTCGTGTCGCTGCAATACAACAAATTGATTCATTCTTCGGACACCATTGAGTGCAGCTCGAAGCGTGTCTGATGCCGCATATGTGCCCGGTGGACGTGAGTAACCCCAAGTCTCGTACTCCGCATGTCTCAAACCGACCTGGTATCCAGCCATCTACAAGGGCACCGTGAACGACCCTACCACCTTCCCTCCTCCCTCCAAGTCGCATGGCTCGTACCACTGGGCATTCGAGCGCCTCCTCTCCGCGGGTCTCGTGCCCTTGACCGTCGCCGCCTTCGCCACGAGCGGCAGCAGCTATCCTCTCCTCGACGGCATCCTGGGCGTCAGTCTGGTCATGCACAGTCACATCGGGGTGCGGCACACCTTCTCTTGATCGATTCGCACGCAGCACTTACGCGTGGATTCATCCGGCAGTTCGACTCCATTATCGTCGACTACCTGCACCCGCGCAAGTTCCCCATCCTCGGCCGCGTGTTCACCTGGACGCTTCGCGCAACTACCGTCGGTGTGCTCGTCGGTGTTTACCAATTCAACACCAACGACATTGGTCAGTTGTGTTACTTGGTGTCCTCGATCCCAAGCTAACCGTTGTGCGATGAACAGGTCTCACTGAACTTATTGCCAAGGTCTGGCACGCATAAGGCATCTTTGGTGGCAACGGTGGACATTGCAGAGAGCGACGACGACCCGATTGAGCAGCTAAGTTGCATCTAGATGCACGTTTTCCCCTGTATAGCAGCAAAGCGGCTCGTCAATGTTATGTGCGTGGCTGTAGCGCACGATGTACTTGTGCGCTCGCGGAGATTTCTTGTTCAGCCTCAATATAACGGCCCACTACAACAGCCTCTCGTATTCCGAACACAAGCAGTTATTGGTTCCATATACAACACAGCCATGCTGGCCATGCGCAAGCAGAGTTAGTCTGACATCAGGTACGTGTCTTGATTGCGGTGCTTCCTTACCATGCCTGTCTGTACGGTGAGTTCATTGAGGTAACATATCATTTCAGATTCCCAAGGACGACCGCAATACAAGGGCACCCACCTGTGATGTAGGGACTCATCAAAACGTTCCTCGAGAGCGCTGAGAATCCTGGGAACATTGTGGAACGCGGTTAACGTATTCAGGGACGGATAAGGGCTCCATAAAGCCGCCTCTTAGTGGACGCTATGATATCAACCCACTGGCAGTGCACGGCCTCGGGCGATGTTAAATAGGCTGAGACACCGCTCGCAGAGAATGCAACCCACTCCTCCGCAAGCCACAACAGCTTATCCTACAGCCATGGCGACCTCACGAGGCACAAGTATTGCGGATACGGAATATGCGCGTAAGCGCAGAGAAGTCTACAGCTTCCTAAAGGACCTGAAAAGTCTCGGGTACGATTTGGCCTTCCACGAGTTGCACGGCGTCCAGCTGAATAGTTGCACTAGCGCACAGTCCAACATCCGTATCCCTCGGATCGCCGTTATAGGTGCACAGTCGAGTACGTCGTCGTATAATATGTGTATCGTTGTACAACTCTCATGGACTGAACAGCTGGCAAGAGTTCTCTAGTCGAAGCGGTAACTGGCGTAAGTGTTGCCATGATTTCAGCGCCACTCGCATGTCCACAACTTGGCGCAGATCAATGTTCCTCGCGACAGTGGAACATGTACAAGGTCAGATCCATAGCATTACGTCCGGCGATGGCAAACTGATGAGTGCCGTCCAGATGCCCGATGGAGTGCACGATCTCCACGGAACCGACGGAGTGGTCGTGTCAAGTTTCTCTCGAGTATGACCCAGACGGGATAGAGGGACAACTTCGCAGGGTCTCGTTCAGCCCGGTGCTCAAAGTTCAATCCAAAGCAGAAGTCGAGATATGGATCCGCCGGGCGCAAACCGCATTGCTCAGTCCGCACGCCCCGGCGGACTCCTTCAAGACGAAGACACACCAGGACCTCCAGGCTCTCACCACCTCCGACCCCCAGATTCGCAAGTTCTCACGGGACGTCATCGTGGTCGACATCAACGACCCTGAGGGAACAGATCTGTCCTTCATAGACCTTCCGGGTGAGTGTCTCTGGCTGAGTGTTTACAACAGTGTGCTGGAGCTTATGATTGCATCGCAGGTCTTGTGCAGAACCTAGCCTCGGACGACTTGATCACTCTTGTGAAAGGCCTTGTCCAACATTATATCGCAGACGAGTCAACAATCATTCTCATCACTGTCCCGGCCGCCGGTAGGTGTTTCAACTATGTATACGTTGTGCAGTCATCCATACGAACATCCGTTTTCATAGATGATATGGAGAATCAACAGGCTGCACGCCTGGCGAGGGATGTCGATCCTGATGGAAAACGAACCATAGGTAATGCCATGTCCTGAGGAACCGTCGGTTCTTCGTTGACTAGGTGTGTAGCTGTCGTGACAAAGCCGGACAACTTGGGAGACGGTGAAAGAGGGTTGCAGCAGCGATGGTTGGACATCTTCCAAGGACGATCGGTTTCCCACCAGCTGAGTCTGGGCTACTACGTCGTCCGCCTGCCCAACGATGTTGAGAGGAGCAACAATCTCACCCGCCAGGAGTTGGACAGGCGTGCTCACGAGCTGTTTGCGTCTACGCCGCCGTGGAAGATGCTGTTGAATTCCGGTCGACTGGGCTTACCTAACTTCATCGCGGACATTAGCAAGCTACTCATGAAGATCGTTGAGGAGTCGTACGCCCTCCACTTGTAACTCGGTGGTCGAAGTACTGCTGATGTGTGATGATATAGCATCCCGCGACTGATAGACGAGGCTAACGCGCGGCTCGCGAATGTCAACCAAGCCATCAGTCTCTTGCCCGAGGAGAGGGAGACGGATGCGACGGTCGAAGTTTCCAGTCGGATATCGGACTTCTGCCAGGCCTTACAGAAGGACGTGTATGGCCGCAACGAGAGCAAAGCGTTCGTGCATCGAGTCAAGACGTCTATAGGGACTTCAAAATAGCGATCTATAAGACCCGCCCGGACTTCCGCCCATTCGTGGACTACAAGCAGTATCGAAGGCCCGACGATCCTCAGTCACAGCGTGACGAAATGGACCCAGACATTGATGGCATGGACACCGAGTTCGATGGGGCGCCCCTGGATCTGATTGAAGTACGCGACACGATCAAGAAGTACGCGCTATCTGTGCGGGCAGTCTTCATCCACTGACGTCTTGATAATCATTGCTAGATGTACTGGATGGCAACTTCCCCTCACATCCCGTCGAGGCGAAAGAACGCCTCATCGGATTGTCTGTTGACAAGTGGAACGCCCCGGCTGTTGCGTGCTACGAGCGTATCTGTGCTATCTTGCGCGAGTTTATTAACGAGCAAATTCTGAAGCACTTTGCTCAGTTCAAGCCTCTAGAGTCATACCTCGGGTCGGTTCATCTTTGATTCGACTTAGCAATGTATTGAACTGATGAGGACGCATAGCAAAATCATCAGGGAAGAATGTCTACAGCGCCAGAAGACCGTATCTGAAATCATGCGCGACACCATCGAACGGGAAAAGACCCCATACATCACTCAGAATAACCACAACCTGATATCGGCTAGAGAGGGCTGGCTGCAACACTACCGCGCATCGTACGGCAACGCATACTCTTATTGTAAGTCGCACACGATGAGCACTTACAATGTATGTTATTGCTTACCCTGTGTCTTTCAGCGCTAGTGACAGTGATAAAATCTTATCGACTCGAAGTTGCGTCCCCGTCTCCATCCGCGTCTATTCGCCCGCACGAAGACGAATTGACAGTGATGGCGTATGTCCGCGCCTATGTCCAGGTAGCGTATAAGGTTCGTAGGTGCCATCCCACCTCATCCCACGCACTCGAGTTGGCGTACTGAGCTGCGACAGAGAATAATTGATCACGTCCCGATGTTGATCCAAAAGGACCTCAACCAAGTCTTCGTGGATGGCTTGCAGAAACAGCTCATCAAGAAGTTGGATCTGGGGGGTGCGGATGCGTCGGAACGGCTGGAGAAGCTGCTTGAGGAGGACCCGGTGGTGGCGGCGCAGCGTGTGCAGCTTGCGACGGATAAGGCACGCTTGGAGGAGATTGTAGTGAAGCTGAGCAGCTTCGCGATCTGAAGGGGCGCGATAGACTCGACGCCATCGCAGGTGCAGTAGGGCTGATCATTGTGACTCAGCTTTACGAGCGATGGGCCGACTTTCTGGACGAAGAATGAATATATACACACTATCTTCGTGGGTTTCAGCGTAATCATATGTTAGAACAAGCGAGAAACGACGGTCGACGAGCACGTTTGCCACAGCCTACGTTGTGACTGTCGCCAACTCCCGAGGTCTTGTCATGTAATGCATCTTAGTCCGTTTGTACATTGTATAAGCGTGTCTTCGGACGCCGTATATGTGTCTGGTGAACGTGAGTGTCCTCGAGTCTCGTTCTCCGTATATCTCTGACCGACGTGGCATTCAGCCATCTACAAGGGCACCGTGGATGACCCTACCACCTTCCCTCCTCCCTCCAAGTCGCATGGCTCGTACCACTGGGCATTCGAGCGCCTCATCTCCGCGGGTCTCGTGCCCTTGACCGTCGCCGCCTTCGCCACGAGCGGCAGCAGCTATCCTCTCCTCGACGGCATCCTGGGCGTCAGCCTGGTCATGCACAGTCATATCGGGGTGCGGCACACCTTCTCTTGATCGATTCGCACACAGCACTTACGCGCGGATTCATCCGGCAGTTCGACTCCATTATCGTCGACTACCTGCACCCGCGCAAGTTCCCCATCCTCGGCCGCGTGTTCACCTGGACGCTTCGCGCTGGTGGCAACGGTAGACATGGCAGGGCGTTCCGGCTGTGCAGCTACGTCGCCCCTAGATGCACGCAGCACAGTGGACCATCAAATCTACGTGGGCGCTGTCGCGCACGGTGCACTTCTGTGCTTGTCGACTGTCATTGGACTGGGATTGCCAACAAGTACCACCAATATGGAAAACAGTAAGCTGCTTGACTGCCGAATGACAAGGTAATGCCCTTTTATAGGCGGATGCTTTCTGATGGAAGCTTGGAATAGTCACCTCGTGGTGATTGGACGAACGCGCCGTGCATGCTTCACGTCTCTCACCTCGACAATTCCCTCGCCAACGACGTGAAACCGCGGAACGTTATGACTCGTCGTTGGTTCTTCTCGTGCATACCCATCATACAGTTGCAAAAGCTGACACTGCCGTGATGCGTTCCTGGATATGCGCCTGCACCCCAAGGGAATTGGAGCTACTACCAGGATTCATCGGCAAGCCCGGGACTGTATCAACCAAGTTAGCATCAGCACGTTTCTGAAGAACCAAGATACGAATTGATTGATTTTTATATGCCTGACGCTCATGACTATTACGCTAAGTATAAAGTTCACCGTGCCATGCGCTGGTTCGCGTTTACCCCAATCGACTTCCGCACAGACTGAGGCGATGTTTGGAGCTCTGCGACGTCGCTCAGAGACGTCGACACAGTCACAAACCACGTCGCAGGCGAACTCTGCCACACAGCCTCAGATTCGTCCCATCATGTTGCCGTCCTCAGACAGGACAACAACTACTACTACTACTAGTCTTGCTGATAGCGACTATGCACGCAAGCGCAGAGAGGTATACAAGCTCCTGAAGGAGTTGATGGATGTTGGGTACGGGGCTGCTCCGTTGTCGCTGTTCTTCTCATTGACTCGACCCGCAGTGCATCGTCGGAGATCGCGATACCCGAAATTGCCGTAATCGGTGGTCAGTCAGGTATAGCGCACCGTCTTTATTTCTATCCATACATAATCTCAGGTCTGGCTTAGCTGGCAAGAGCTCACTCGTAGAAGCGATCACCGGGGTGAGTCCTTGTTTTCAGTAAAACACCAATAGTGAATCCATGCTGAAAGCCGAGCAGATAAGCGTTCCACGAGACTCTGGGACTTGTACAAGGTAATCCATGATCATGTATCGTCGTAGTATCTACCTCGACGCGATTGACATCATCCGCGTTCCAGATGCCCAATGCGATGCAGGGTCTTCTCTGATACGAAAGCGTGGTCGTGCGACATTTTTCTTCAGATCAGCCCCGACGCCGGTTCTTCAAACACAAGAGAGCGATTCAGTCCGCCAATAACGTCGAAGGCGGAAGTCGAGTTATGGATCCGGCGAGCGCAGATCGCCTTGCTAAATCCTACTGCGCCCCGCAATTCCTTCGTGACCAAGACAGAGCAAGAGCTGCGAGCCGTGACCACGTCCCTCGAGTTTTCGAAGAGCATCGTTGAGATCGACATTTACGATCCTCGTGGCATCGAATTGGCCTTCATAGATCTACCAGGTGATTGTCGTGCGAACGTCAGGCATTTCAATTGCACTGAGCGCAAAAAAATCAGGTCTCATTCAGAACGACAAAGATGAGGTGATCGAGCTTGTGGAAAGCCTTACGGAAAGTTACATTGCGGAGAAGCATACAATCATACTCGTCACCCTCCCGGCAAGCGGTAAGCCGGTCACACATTGGAACTGTTGTACATGCCACTAATGTACACCGGACAGGGGACATGCGGACTCAACGGGCCGCCAATCTCGCGCAGAAAGCTGATCCGGAGGGCGCGCGGACCATAGGTAAGGATGTCATTTCTTCCTTGACCTGATACTGGATGTGTTCTCGATCCACAGGCGTCGTGACGAAACCGGATCAATTGCTCGAAGGGAATATTGGGGCCCACAAGGCATGGCTGGATATAATTCAAGGACGCAGCGAGCACGACAGGCTCAAGCATGGCTACTACGTGACCCGCCTGCCCGACGACGAGCAGCGGGGGAAAGGGATTACTCGCGCGGAACTGGATGCAGAAGCACAGCGCTTCTTCGCATCCAAGGCGCCGTGGAAGAATTTGTCCCCTGGCCGTCTGGGCCTTCCCAACCTCATCGCTTTTCTGAGTGAACTGCTGATGAAGGTCATCGAGGACTCGTGAGTATCGCGCAGATCAATTGACCACCCATGCTCACAAGTTTCGATGCAGTATCCCACGACTCAAGGCAGAGGCGAACGCGCGCCTTGCGACAGTGAAGCTCGACATCAGTCGTTTGCCAACAATGCTCACGATGGATCCGATGACCGAGGTCGTCGGTCGAATATCGGATTTCTGCACCGCGCTGCGCAACGACGTCCACGGGCGCAACGAGGACAGGAGGGACTTCCCAAGCGAAAGCATAGTGGCTCACCGACGTTCGAGAGAGCTATCCGGTCGACCTTACCGACTTCCGGCCGTTCGAAACGGTCACCAATCATGTCAGACCTCCGAGTCCAGATCACGCTGCTGGGAACAATGTCGCCCCTGAGAGCGGCGACCCGGACGACAACGTTGGTAGCAAGCCAATGGGTCTCATTGAGGTACGGAAAGTAATTGAAGAGTAAGTTCTCTATGTCCAAAGAAGTGCTGCGTTACTGAGCATCCGAATGCGTGCTAGCTTCATTGGCTGGGAGATGCCCCCTGCAATCCCGCGCGAAGCGAAGGAATACCTGATCGGGTTGTCTGTCAATCAGTGGCTTGGTCCAGCCCTGCTGTGCTTCAAGGAATGCACTGCGATTCTGCACCGGTACATCGACAAGCATATCGTCAAGCACTTCGGCGACTTCAAGGCGCTCGAGAACTATATGCGGTACATATGTCTTGGACGTCGCTTCAGCTCTCGCTGACTGTAGTCTGCAGACCAATCATCATGGCCGCTGTAGAACATGTCCACGACGACGTCGACGGTGCTCTTCGCGACGTCGTCTTACGGGAGGGCGTACCATATCGCACTGAGAACGTGCATTACTATGAGTCGATTTATCGGGGGTGGTTACACCACTACCGTGTTGTCGACCTCTACGCGGACTATTATGTTCTTGGCTTCTACAATCCCAGCATGACACGAGTGCACAGAACTCTACAGATTCCGAGCAACTACGAGAACGAGATGCAACTAATGGCTCATGTTCGGGCTTACGTCCAGGTCGCCTATAAGGTGTGTCTCCCGTATGCAGTGACTCGACGGAAGTGCTGCTGATAGATACTACAGCGTATCATCGACCACGTCCCGCGGACGATTCAACGGGATTTGAATCAAGTATTCGCCGACGGTCTCAAAATGGAAATGCTGAGCAAGTTGAAGCTGGACGACCCTGATACGTCGGAACGACTCAAAGAGTTACTCAAGGAGGACCCGGAGCGCGCCGCGGAACGCAAGCGGCTGATGGAGATTAGGGGTCGCTTGGAGATCATCATATCCAAGCTGAACAAATTTGTGGTCTGACAGTAACTTGCTCTGATGTAGTAGATGATGTACGTTCCAGTAGTTGTCGCCGACTCCCGAGGCCCTGTGTCATGTAGTGCATTTTATTCCGCCGTTCGTAGAAGCAATTGAATTCGTAGCATGTACATTGTATATTGAGTTGATGGTTCACGCATTGACCAGCCGAGCGACATGAATGCCCATTGGCAAAGATCTGACGTACGTCATGTAAGTAACTCATGTTCGCAGCCTTGCATAGCTGTTGTTTGCATATGTTAGGATCTAAAGCTCGCCTTTTGAGTCGATCACCTCGGCGCTCCGAGACTGGCTCGAGCTCGATCAAGGGGATTCAAGACGGTATAGTTGACAATAAGGTGAGAACTCGGTCTCATGCAATGCTACCTCCGTTCTGAACGCGGAGATGGTATCTGACACGATAGGACACCGAAGGATCGATCTCGGAGGCTCGTTATTGTCTTGGGCCCCAGCGTCGACCACGCCGTCCGGAACGCCTGAGTTCGGCCAAATGAATAGCTGGTCAGGACGGGAAACGGGAAACCTTACTCACCTGCCAATGCGCCGTCATAAGCAAGACAATAATCACAGTGAGAGTCGACTTCGCAGGATTCCATCCCGTGCAATGCCTGTGGCAGGCATGTGGGCACCGGCATTCGCAAAATATGCCGTCTCGTGTCAAGGATCGCGTAGTGCCTGAAAACATCCTAGTGTATGGATGTGCGTTCACGGTGAATATCCATCCTTCTCGTCAGCAGGACCTCGAGGCGGGCAAACACAATTGACGAATGACACAGCAGGTCTGCACTTCGGAACGGCATCCATGGCCCGGGTTTCTATTCAGTGAACGATCGGGATGCCGGAGGCAAAACCCTCAGGGGCAGGGACAATTGTCTTCGTCGACCGGAGGCAAGCCGCAGTACCGGCGGCACTCGTATAAATACTGGCATGCTGCCAGGAAAGCGGCCAAGCAAGCAGGACACCGAGACATAGGCAGACGCACCCGCCTCATCCTCTAGGCCTTCCTCTTCTTCGCGATCCAACAGCCCACAGGTCGCAATGGACGCCTTCTTCGACATCTCTGTCCCCGTCCCCTCCGAGGAGATCGAGACCTCGCAGGTCCTCTCCGACTACGACCGCACCAACGGCAATGCCGGCTATTCGTGCACGATCGCTTAGGCACGCTCTACTAATGTACACGATCGCTTCGGTGCGCATCCTTTCACCCCGCTTTGCATACCGCGTCTTGACCCGCTGAGCGACTCTCTTTAGCACATACTATCCGCTGCGATCACGAACCTTCTTCCATCCCATAAACTCCTTCGTTACGTTCTCTCGCAGGAGAGACGATAACTTATCCGCTTCGTTGACCTGTTGTATTATCATTCACTTGGGGATTCTTCAAGATTGCGGTGGAGCGGGCGTAGAGCCGTCAGAGACAGTGGTATGGACGGAAGAGGCGGTTGGGCAGGAAAGACGAGAACGCAGAGGAGAGGGGCGTGGTTCTGTTGAAAGATTGTCAGGATTGTCAGAGCAGAGGTTGACCTATGAATATGTTCCATGCCGCCCAAGTGCAGCTCAAGCCCGTCATTGACGTGAGCGGGAGTCCCTTCAACTTGTCAAGACTCCTGTACGTCGTGCGTAAGTTTCGTCTACGACTCGTACATCTCCCTATACTGTACAGAGTTAATGCACTCTCTTCCATGGTAAACCGGACGTACAACATTCAGGCCTCAGGCCCAGGCTCCGACTCAGCTTCAGACACATGAAAGAGCCATACTTACATATATATACCCGTGTAAGTCGCTGGTTCACCGGCGAACCTCCTGACGACGCGCAGAGAGACTGCCGGTCCAATGCCGGCCTTTTTCAGATTCTTTAGTGGCCGTGGTCAGTAAGTTCTCCTTTGGCATGCGACCCTCTCCGAGGGTGATCGAGGTCCGACATGCACGACTGAGCATATGGCAACGCCTGGCGGCTGTCACTGGCAATGCTACATATACACTGCCTCGGTACAGTTTGTAGATTGCCGTCCAACGCCGAAACCTTGCGTATTGCAGTACCGTGCCAATTGCAGTCCCGAAAATTGTGATTTGCACGGAGGAGAATGCGCTGGCTCGTAACACATCCGACCCGCACGCATGGATCGTTCCACCGCAATGTGGACATCAGGGCTCCTAGGGTGAGTTAGCCCCGGACACGACAACATCATCAGTCGGAGTAAAGTTTCCGCCGAAAATAGGTAGCGCGTCGCAGCGCGCGGGTGCAGATATTGGTCAAACCACGAGAGGTGGCTGACTGACGGCGCTGGTCGTGTGAAGAATTGGTGAGGAAGGAAGCCGGCTAAGAGGGCCACTCACTTAGAATAGCATAATATACCGTACCGGCTGCTGTGGGGCAGGATGTCAGGAGCAGTAGCCCAGTTTCCCGCACCACACGGCGTCACAAACAACCCGCGAATGCCGGTGCAGGAGTACTTACGACTGAGAGCCTGCTTCGCCTTGTAAATATAGGCGTCGTGCTTCGTATATAAGACCCCTCACATCGTGTGGGGAAATATGAGACTAGCTTCGTTCTACGGTGAACGGATGGCGCCGATTCCTGACCAGTCGATAAGTAGTTATCGGTGACGGCCACTGAGAGACGTAGTAGCCCGGGAAGACCAGCATGGGTCACCATGATTCTTTGCAGCGTCGTTGGGGCAGTCTAAGCGAGCGCAGTGAAAGCAGTGAACAAGTTTGGAACAAGTGAAGTGGGCGGCCACCTGCAGCCACATGTACTAGCGGCTTCGTAGATTACATAAGCAGTCGGGATCAAACATGTATGGTAACGACCCCGGAAACCGCTCTTCCTTATCTGGTGTCATATACTTACGGTCGTCGTGTGCGAGGAGGTGTGCCAGGCACCCCCATGTCCGTCCTCGTCCCCGACGACAAACCCCCTCCCAGCCCACGCAGCTCTATTGCAGAGAAGCTGGACAACGAGAAGCAAGGTACGAGCGAGTGCGAACTCCCCATGGCACCCCTTTGGCTAAATAGGCACCCGTAACAGTTTACGCTGTTCCAGTCGCTGAATTCGATGACCCGAACATAGACTTCGATGCGGTTGGCCTCGGTGAGTACCATCGTTGAACGTCCTCACATGGGCCTGGTGCACCTCGCTGCGGTCTCTTGGTCCGGGAAACTCGGAGGGCGTGGACGTACCCGCTGCGCAAATGGTTCGCGGATCAAGTACTTGCTCCGCGCCCGAGCTTTCAGGGTGGACGAGGAGAACGTCTGAAGGGCGCGGACCACCTGTCATGAAGTTAAGACCCGACGTCCTCCGCATGTGTGCAGTCATTTCAGAAGGACCCATGTCCTCAGTTTGTTGTACTTTGTGCAATTGCGGCGGGTTTCCTGCAATGTCGGCGGAGCGGTCGGACAATGCAGGCTGTTTTTGGTTTCCCGTGAGGCGCTCTTGTCTCTTGCGATCCATAGCCTTTATTCCCTGGTCCGTAGAGTGTCACCTGGGCTGGGTCGTCATACATGACATTCTACGCTAGGCACCTACTTCTGAGCTACTAAGTACCCGGACATGGACATGGAATTGCGCGCTGACTATCGATTCTATGCAGAGGATGATTCGCCATATCCCGAGGTCCGGTCTGCGGTCGCGAACACGGATGATCCCGACATGCCCGTCAACACAATACGGGCGTGGTGCATCGGCCTTTGTTGGTCGATCATCCTCCCTGGCATGAACCAATTCTTCTTCTTCCGATATCCCTCTATCACCGTAACCGGAGTACGTAGCAGCTCTTGATCGTGTCTGCTCTCAGTCTTACGAGGTGTTTAGGTTGTCGCCCAACTATTGTCGTTCCCTATTGGCCGGTTGTGGGCGAGGTTGATGCCTAGGGTCAAGTTCTTCGGGATGTCCTTGAACCCCGGCCCATTCACTGTGAAGGAGCATGTATTGATCACGATCATGGCCACCGTCGGCTATTCGTCTGCATATGCCGTGAGTTCCGTCTTGACTCGCCGTGATTATTGATGACCTGACGTGCGCCCAGACGGACATTATTGCGGTGCAGCGCGTGTATTATGACCAGGTCTACAACTTCAGCTACCAGTGGATGGTTGTGATGTCCACGCAGCTGGTGAGTTGCATGCGTCTGTTCCGTACCGTGGCTGACATCTGGCGGCAGATCGGGTTCTCGATAGGTGGCATCTGCAGACGGTACCTGGTGCAGCCACCGTCTATGATCTGGCCGACCAACCTCGTCACCTGTGCGCTATTCAACACGCTCCATTCGCAGCAGTATGTCGGGATGGGCAACAGAGCCGGTATCTCGCGGGAACGGTTCTTTGCGTACGCCTTCACTGCCAGCTTCTGCTGGTACTTCTTCCCGGGCTACATCTTCCAAGCACTGAGCTACTTCAGCTGGGTGTGCTGGATCGTACCTGACAATGTCGTCGTGAATCAGCTCTTTGGGTACGAGTCCGGCCTGGGATGTCCCTCATTACGTTCGATTGGAATCAGATTGTGAGTACCGTCATATTCGCCACGCGCCTTCGACCGATTCTCGCACAGATCGCGTACAACTTCTCGCCGCTCGCAACGCCGTGGTGGGCTGAAGCGAACGTCGCATTCGGCTTCGTGTTTTCTTCTGGTTCGTCACGCCGATCCTGTACTACACGAACACGTGGTACGCGAAGTACATGCCGATGTCCTCGCGCACATCGTACGACAACCTGGGGCAGGCGTACAACATCAGCCGGATCATCACCAGCACCGGGACGTTCAACCAGACGGGCTACGAGCACTACTCGCCGCTCTTCCTGTCGACGACGTTCGCGATATCGTACGGCCTCTCGTTCGCGTCCATCACGTCGACGATCGTGCACACGGTGCTGTACTTCCGCAGACAGATCTGGGTGCAGTCGAGGAGATCGTTGTCGGAGCAGCCGGACATCCATGCCCGGTTGATGAACCGGTACCCGCAGGTCCCTGAGTGGTGGTATGGTGCGATTCTAGGTGAGTGGATTGGCCGACACATAGTCCAGCTCTGTATTCACGCTCCGCGACTGTAGTATCTATGTTTGGGTTTGCCGTTATTTCCATCGAGGTTTGGGACACGGAATTCCCGGTGTGGGGCCTCATACTCGCCCTGCTCTTGTGTAAGTTCCCAGCTGTTCTTCAGGTCTACAGGATTGACGTGTCTGTCAGCGTTCATTTATACCGTGCCCTGTGGTATGATTCAAGCCATCACTAATCAACAGATTGCCCTGAAGTATGTCCGTTGTACTGCATTTCATGATGTGGACCACTCAGGCTCTCTTCAGTGTTATTGCGGAGCTCATCATCGGTTACGCCCTCCCTGGTAAACCCATTGCGATGATGTTGTTCAAGACATGGGGCTACTATAGCATGTTCCAAGCGTTGCAGTTCACGTCCGATATGAAGCTGGGGCATTACATGAAAGTTCCGTAAGTCAACACTGTAACATGATGCTATGTTTTGACTAAACGGTTCATTCAGTCCCCGAGCGATGTTCTGGGGTCAAGTCATCGCCACACTTGTCGCCGGCACAGTGCAGCTCGGCGTGCAATCGTGGATGTTCACCAATATACCCGACATATGTAATCTTGACCAGAAGGATGGCTTCACGGTCGGTCTGCTTGTATCTTGGTGACTGGCGCCATTGCTGAGTGTGCTGCTCCAGTGTCCTTCAACTCAAGTATTCGGGACGGCCTCCTTTATATGGGGAGTCATCGGTCCTGCACGGCAATTCTCGAACGGTCAGATCTACTAGTAAGCTTGTTCACCACGCCTCTTTCACGATGCCTGAGTACCTTTTTAGCGGCCTCGTCTTCTTTTTCATCATGGGTGCCGTCTGTCCATTAGTCTCCTACGCCATCTCGCTCAAGTGGCCGAACTCCATCTTCAAATACGTTAACTTCCCTGTGATCTTCAACGGCTCGCAATGGATACCACCCGCGTCCGCGCTCAATTACGTCCCCTGGACAATCGTCGGGTTCATCTTCAACTACGTCATTCGCCGGAGACACTTCTCGTGGTGGACGAAGTACAACTGTGCGTCAATCTACATCTGTTCTACTCCAGTCCTATGATGTTCGTGGAGCTTACATTCGGCATATCAAGACATCCTTTCCGCGGCGATGGACTCCGGCGTTGCGATAGCCGTCCTCGTTATCTACTTCACCTTACAGTATCCCGCTAACGGGAGCATTGGCAACGGCACAATACAGTCGTGGTGGGGCAACACAGTGTACAAGAGAACAATGGACGCCCAGTCTGTAACCTACTTCAACATCACAGGAATAAAGCCATTCGGGTGCGTGTACCGTTGTCCGCCATATTATCGGGAGGCCTCTAACATCTCAGCACCACAGACCAAAACACTGGTAGAGTTTGCTGCCTAGCGTTCCGTGTCATCTGTCACCGCATCTAGTCCGCCCTCGCATATCCCTATACTGCTCATTTATTGCGTTCTGCATACCCTCATAGATGTAGGTGGATATCAGTATGACATCCCTGTGCTATTGGTTTTGGAACGGTGTACGTGGTAGACCTGCCCAGAGGATGCTTTCTTGTGTACTTGTACCACCACGTTATATTAACACCCAATCTACACATTAAAATATCGTATTCAGCGTGTGCAGAGATACAGTATGGACCAATGTGGACTGCTGGTTGCGAGCCGCGGTCAAATCTTGTGAGGGAGGAGGAGGAGGAGGAGGAGGAGGGTGGGTCCATTTCGTGTCGATTGCTGACTACCTTGCAACATAGGTTCTTTGGCAGTGTTTGGGTACATTTGACGGTAAGTTCGCTGCTTCTGGGTCGATGATTTCTCAGCCGCAGGATGCTTCGCCCTTTCAGCCCGGTCCGCTTCCAACGCTCAGCAATGCATGTCATGGTGCTCGCTGGGCTGTACATGAATGCATAATGTCCGCCCATGTCGTTCGTACCACCCTGCAAATTTTCTCAAACCCTACCGGCCTCGGAGCTGTGATCTCAACTCGGACGCAGTTCAGATCCTCCCCAACATAGCTGGCCAGAACTCTTCTGTTTCCCATTGCCTAGACGCTGTTTAGCGGTCTGGACTGCTGATGCCGCTTGACGACGGTCGGATATGGACGATTCAGTGCTCCGCCCTGGTGGCGTACAACCGTCGAGGACCGTAGCGACTTCGGAGCGCGCAAGCCTAGGAGAAGCACCTACGTACCCGGACGATATACTCCTATCCGGCTGATCGTTGCTAGAGCGCACGGTTTCCCCAGTCATCGGACGATGATGGACGGCACGCATGCCCCCACCCGTCCTCTCCCCGCCCTGCTCATCCGCATTAAGTGCGCTTTTTATGGCGTATCAAGCTGTTCACCTACTCGCTGTCATCCGGGCGCATTGAAAGGCTTTGGTGGGAGCGAGTTCCCATTGTACCCATGATATCGCGCTTGACACACGGTACTATCCGCCTAAGCTCCTGCAACGTTCGTTAGGACGGATCATTCGAACCGCGGTGAACCGTGCTTGCGGTAGGTACTTAGAATGGCCGGATCATCTACCGCGTCAGCGGAAGGTTCATGCAGGGTCGGCTTCGAGTTCAGCGCACTCACTTATCGCCATTCTGCGGGCACGGGTTTGGTCCAGTTTTTGGCGGTAGGCGGAACACTGCGCTTGACGCAACCTCAAGGAGATACTGTGAAGGCTCCAAGGCGCGGGTCCTGGTATGCTTTGTCTGCCGTTAGATACCGGGCGGACCGGTGCCGACTAGGATGCCTCGAGGATGGGCGTGTTCGGTTATCTTGAAGTCCGCGCATGCACGTTTAATGGCGCAGTAGCCGCATGCAACTGCCGCTTCGGATGACGGGGATGTAGGAGGTGAGTATGTTTGAAGTAACGTGTCGTGCTGAAGCGGTATCAGCGCTGCTATTCGACAGAATCGAGTAAAGGAATGTCCATGACCTCTGTGACACAAACCCTGCCGCTTCAACAGAGCATGTTCCGCTTGAGTATCAGCCACCCGATAGACTAGTGTGTCTCGCAAGACATGATACGATATGGCAGACACATAGTCGCACATCGTCTGCAAGATGGTCCGCTGTTAGAGTTAGACACAGTCGGCGCTTTATGATCCCTGCCGTAATGCATGAGCGTGAGACAATGCGCACAACAGTGGACGAGGGCGGAGGGTAGCCTACGCCCTTCTCTGCGCACTGTACGCGATCATTCGGCGAAGCTGATCTGTGCGGAGCATTCAACGTTACACATTAATGCCTATCTCTGCAGAGTGGGAAGAGCGGAAGATCATACGTCATGATGCTTACGACATACCGTGCATTGGGAGAGATGTATCCTGTATTGGATGAGTGAGTGGGGCGTTACCCGCGAGCCTCGACGAGGGATAGCTGGAACGTGGTGATCCCTCGATTGACAACACCCGGGCGGTAGACACAGATAGACGCGCTTGCACCATTCGATATGCAGCGTTTACAATCGCTTTGCGCGCAGCTTCCTCAGACCTGCCGAAGTGGTTTAGATTACGGCTTCTTGAGGGCCGAACAAATCATTCGCGTTGCGCGAAAGAGTGAAAGGGCGCTGTTCACTGTCCACTGTATTTCGTTGTGACGACACAATACGGTGAAGATGAATTTTTGGATCGGGACGGGACCGAAGCAAGCAGACAGAGCATCGACGGTTATGTATGACGAGGCATCAGAAGCGTGGCGTGATAGTGTTGATTTAGAGGGTGCCAGAAGAGGTGATGGTGACCTTCTGCTTCGGCCGGCCCGAGTCGGTTCCAACGGCTTCCACCTTCTTCACGACATCCATGCCCTCGACGACCTCGCCGAAGACAACGTGCTTGCCGTCCAGCCATGACGTGACCACCGTCGTGATGAAGAACTAAGCGGCACACGGGGCAGACAAGTCAGTTGACACAGATTCATCACGTCTGAGAAGCCGAAGCGCACCTGAGACCCATTTGTGTTAGGCCCTGCGTTCGCCATGGACAGCAAGCCAGGCTTGTCGTGCCGAAGCTTGAAGTTCTCGTCTGCAAGCCACATCAGCTTCTGGGCCACATGGTATGAGTAGAGTAGCACCGACCTGCGAACTTCTCGCCGTAGATGGACTTGCCACCGGTGCCATTATGACGTGTGAAGTCACCGCCCTGAAGCATGAACTGGTGCATAGCGCAAGATGAGAAGACCTCAGAGAGTCTAGACGGTCGCCATGCTCACGTTGGGAATGACTCGGTGGAATGAGCTCCCCGCGAAGCCGAAACCGTGTTGCCCTGTCGCGAGTTCCCGGAAGTTTGTAGCCGTCCGCGGCACGACATCGTCGTACAGCTTGAAGACTACCCGGCCTGTGGGCTTCGCGTCGATAGCGACATCAAACTAGAAGATGCATTAACCCTATGAAGATCTGACTATGTTTTCCAGTGTACTCACGAAGACGTTGGCCCTGTGGTGGCGGGTCGCAGCACGGTGAGTGACTATCGAGTTCGCGAGAGGAATAGCTCTAGCTACATTGTTTTCCCTCCTGTTGATGCAGAAGTCGCGAAGCGGCGCAGAACGAGGCCATTTTGAGATACGGAGAAGGAGGGAGCGGAGGAGGGAGCGGTCGGAACGAAAGTCAGTGTCCGGAGCAAAGTGCAGTGCTGGCGCCGGGGAGTGTGTCTACTCACGTGACAGTGTTGCTTGATCGGGATGGGGGCGGGCTGGAAGACGTGAGTTCGAGGAGGACGGGGAATAGGTCTTGACACAGTGCGGCGAGCCCTTCTCGAGGACGGTATATATACGAACGGCCTGCTGACACCGTCCTAACAGGGGAGTCTTATGAGATCAGAGCCGGAAAAGGGAATGTTGTTGGCTGGGGCGTGGTCCAGTGGATGGGTAGGACCGAACGCACGTCAGGCTTCTGAGACATCGACCCCGGACGAACAACCAGGGTGCCTTCTCGAGCCAGCGAGCGCTCTGGGCCGCACGCTCAGCCATTCTCGAGGACGCGCACAGGCATCGCGGCACACTTCACGGCACGTGTTGATCCAAGATCCAGCGTGTTAGCAGCAGCGAGCCTCCGTCTGCCCACGGCTGTGTTTGATAAGTCAAACGGATGCAGAGAAGGCGCCAAGTGCGCGCGCGGAAGATGGTTTCGCAGGCTCGAGGTGCTCCCGTGGAAGGGGCGCTCAGCACGTAGTGCCGTCCCCCGCGCTCGGCAGAGATACACGTACTGGTTCGAGGAGCTAGACCCTCCGCTGCTCTGATCCATGAGAAACGGTCTGGGCTCGACGAGGGACACACCGCACACGAATATAGGAATCATTCCAGCGGGATCACTCCTATCCGATCGCGAGGACGAGCGGACGCGTCGCGAGATTGGCCAACGATAGCCCGGATGCACTGACCTGCCGCTGGTCACACGTCCGCGCGGGAGCCTCGATGAGCCTCAGCATCAACGCGATCACTCGTCATTCAAGCATACGAGGCGTCGTCCGCCCCCGTTTCCGAGTGGACCGGGCTACTGTCTAGAGTACTAGGTTATATTCAGCATGGTGCCCGGGTAACGACGAGGAAAGACTCACCAATTACTCAATGATCTGCCGCTAGGACATTTATGGCGGAGTGCATTCGACTTAAGCAGTGGCGCCGCCCTTGGTGCCTCGGTACGAACTCCGAGGACGTTGAGCCCTGCCCGATATGAGTGCAGTGGAACGCAGGGGCGGTCCCAGGCTCGCCGACGACCTGCACAATACAAACGCGAAATGTTTCCTCGCCGTTGGGCTGGTGCGAACAATAGTTAGGTGCCGCTCGATCCGGAGAGATTGCAATCCGGACCTATTTGTCAAAACAAGAATGCAGGACTCGGAATGTGGGAGTGCCTAAGTACCGTTGTCTTTAAGTCAGTTCTAGACCTACGTTTGGAAACGGACGCCGAAAACATGCGTACCGTTTCGTCAATGCACCTCCGCCTCCAATCAGCACCTGAGTGTGTCTGGCTGTGATCAGAATGTGACACGGACTTCTATGACTTTGAATGATAAACGGAGGAGTGGCTCTAGATCGTAGAGACGCTGCCGCATTCGGCTTGCATGAAGTTGCCTGCCGCTTCATTCAGGGATTCATGCCGAAGAGAAGGACATATCGTGAAGGATCGTTCTCATAGCGTCGTGGACGCCGTACAATAGCTCGACACCAGTGCCCCACTCGCACTGAGTACTACAGGCTCTGCCAACATGCGGCGACGTAAGCATTCATGGGCTACAAGGTAGATGGTTAGAACTTACTTCAGGCCCTCAGCTCAACACGACTTTCGTATTTTGTGTGTCGAATTTTCTGGAGCTTGATGCCAATACGTCGATCCGAAGAGAAGAGGGACTCGAGGCCGCCAAGAGCGAGTAGATTCTAGTTGCTGATTATTCGGAAAAACTGGACAGTTGCCGTGTCTAATCGATGCACGGCCGTCCACAGCAGGCTGAAGCCACACAACAAAGTATGCGACACTTCACACCTTGAACACGCACGTACGCAGAGTGCTAGCAACCTGCGACCCCTGCGTGAGAGCGTGCCGCAAGGGTGGAGCGCAACTCTAATTCCTTACCAAGAGTGGCGAATCAGCACACAGAGTCCGGTGCACGCCACTTCGAGGGTCGAGCATAAAGAACGGGTCATCTGCAACGTTGTTCGTGATGTGTGGCCGAGAAGCACTTCTCTATGAGGAAAACACAGTGCGAAGTCCGCGTTGACGACATACTGCACTGTATTGCATCCGTGCCCAGGTTCGCCGTGAGTCTATCGCTCCTGATCGTGTGTGTCGTAGCCAAACACGGTGCGCAGATCCTACGTTGCCGATAACTTCAGTGATTGTAAGAATGCACGCATCCTTAGGAAAGACTACGCGTTTCCGCACGGCCCGTCGCTGCCGTCGTGATGGGTGCGGCGACTTCATTGCATGGGATTATCCCCAACACGATGCGCTCATAGAGCCTTCGAGAATAAGAGATCACTGTGACACTTCCTGTGCCAACATTGATCAGCTTGAGCGGGACACGAGATGTTGTTCTCAATAATACAAGAATTGCCATTGAATGGGCATCGCACCCACACCAGAGCACTTTCATTCGGCTTGTTACGTCGTAACATTTCTTCTGGAGTGTGGTAGATGAGGTCTGGCAATTGAGGCGACGTAATATCAGATTTCGGCGAACTGCTCTTCTGAGAAATACAGACCTTCACGCTGCGATCACTCGGCCTGAGCCGCAGCAGTCGCATGCCAGAGTAGAACGTGTCCAAGGGAGGCGGTGACGTTGCCGTCTGTAGCTCCGGGTTTCTCGCGAGAAGACTGCGACCTAGACAGGTCACAGACGGAAAGTTCCCTGTCAAGTGACCAGTCAGCCATACAACGAACCACAGAAGCCAATTGCGACATGTCGGCAATGTTGAAACCAGAATTTCGAGGGCTGTCGGGGACATGGTACTAAGTAGCAATCACGGCACTGGCTAAGCAATGCACCCTGGGACCACTTACGCCAAAAGTGTGACCGTCTGTGCTGCTTTCGGCCAATATATGCGGGGCCTAATATGTATTCATCGCTAAGGGAATTCGAACCGCCACACATAGTGTGTGTCTCGGCGACGTATGTACCTGTCAACTTGGCATCTGCACATGAGCTTAAGCCAAGCTCAGCCTCGGTGCTTGCTGAGCCAGTAGAAAAGAGTCTACTGCAAATTCGTAACGAAGAGCATAAAGCAGCCATCCGTGAGAGGATTTGAGCAGAGGAGAATGCATCGACGTTGCATGACAGTCGTCTCTGGTCACTGAGTATAGTTGCCATTTTGAGAAGAGGTGGCTAGGATCACGTGCGACGGCGCTGATGCGCTTTCCATGGCAGCGGAAGCGCCGGTCTACGCACTGCTATGCCGGGCTAGGGCCCCACGGGCCAAACACCACGTCTTGTCTCATACCTTCACCAACGACCCCTCCCTCCTCACGATCTTCCCCGACATTTTCTTCATCTGTGATGTGTGCGTGTATGTATGGCTCCCGGAGCGGTACGAGGTTGCTGACTATCGTGGGCTGTGGGTGTAGCGAGTCACAATTCCCATGTTCTCCCGCTCCTGGCAGCGGCGTTGTTGTTTTTCTCGAATCTCCGAAGTGTGCGGGCACTATACTGTGTGGATACTGGGTGCGTCGTGATCTCATTCACTGTCGATCGCAGCTGTCTAACGCAGGTCATGATGATCATCAGACGCGGATTCCAGGAGTGTAGCGTCCTCTCTCCTAGCGCTCGCATCGGCATTGGCATTGCAATAGGCAAGCATTGTTCAAGGCGACCCATTTGAAGCATAATATAACCTCAATCTTTCCTTCAGCCGTTGCCGGTTTGCTCTTGATATTCTTTGTAGGCATTATGCGTCAACGCCGCATCAAGAGGAACAACATGGCCTACGTGAACAACAATATCGGGATGCAAGGCTCGCAGTACGCCGGGCCTCCAGGCTACTATCAATCGCAAGCATACGCCCCACAGTACCCGCAGTACCCGCCACCGACGCATAATAACGGGTGGGATCCGCACACTGGCTTTGCCCCCGTATGTCTTTGTCCTGTCTCCTGCTATCTGTCGCTTATCTGACAACGGACTCGGTACAGCCTTACCAGACGCAGCCTCCCCAGTACACCCCACCTCCGGGTCCTCCGCCAGTCGTGTCGGACAAGACTCGGCCGTTGAGCGGAGTGTAATCCCCAAGTAATGCCGCTGCCCCATCTTTGTGCTCTGTATCTCCACCCATCTCAGTGTTTCTTTATGGACTGGAAAACACTGGATGTAGCCATCACTGTACTGTACTAACACGGAATACGATCCACACTAATGGTCTGCAGGCTGACAGTTGTGCACGTCCCTGCACATCCTCGCAGCTTCCTTCTTTGCTTCAACTTGGCCCGTACGGTACAGGCTATTGCACTTCACTCACGTTGGCCCCAGTATCGTTTCTATATATCATACTGTAATCCCATTGCCCACTTAGCAATAGATACTGACTACGTGTTTCCAACAACCTGATGCATGACGAAGAAAGCATAAAGAACACTAGAATGCTGTAGATACGTGATATCAGCCAACCTCAAAAAAGTAGGACGGCGTATGGTATCGCACTAAAGAACACGGCCATCGCGACCTATGCGTACTAAGTACTGGCTAGACATGGCCGAGTCATGGATGGACGCTACGGATAGAGACAAGGGATTGGAGGGCACGGACTAACTGCGCAAGCCGTTAGGGTAACAAGAAAGCAATGCACGATAAGAGAGGCAGGAGACGCGGGTTGTAGGTAAAATATGTACGATGTACGAGTGTCTCTGCGGCGCGCGTCCAGCGGGCCTGTACATATGGTACAGGCGAAAACAGTGAGCGAACGGAGTACATACACGCCAGCTGCCGGGGCCCTAGTAGAAACGGAGATGAAGGCCTACCAGCACGCCGGAACTCTAATCCTCCTCTTCCTCCTCCTCCAGCACGTTATGCAACGGTGCACCGTGGATATAACGCACCGGAAGGTTGGGTTCCGGAATCTCTTCAAGGATAGACTCCACATCTGACTCTGATGGTTCCGCAGTGGGTTTAGGAGCGGCGGGGGCCGTAGGGGTCGTCGGTTCATCAGGTATCTTGCCTCCGGGAACGGCGGGCGGGGCAGCACCAACAGGCAGCTTGGGGTTCTGTGGCAACGAGACGGAGCGCAGCGGCAACTTGGACGGGGCGGCAGCAGATCCTGGAGTGGTCTTCTCGCGTTCGCGATACATCTCAATGAGGGAAGCCGTCTTGCTCTTCGCGGCGTCTGCAGCTGTTCCTGGGGTAGCAACAGGAATAGCACGTGGAGGGCGGGGCGGAGCTGGTGAGGTGGGAACATTGGGCGAGGGAGGGCTCATGGCAACGTACGCAGGCCTCCTAATCTCCTGCCCACCGCTATCCGACAGGTCCACCTGCGAGTTGCTAGGCGTCGTCTCGTACTCCGCCTCCGATATGTACGAATCCGACATTGCGTCGCCACGACGCACCCCATTGAGCCGAGGGCGCGTCGGCGATTCGTCGAACTGGCCATATGAGTCAGTGGAGAAGGCATCGCTGTCGTACGACTGCCGCTCATGCGACTGACCATCGATCGAGCGCGGCGGACGCCTATCGGGGTGGAGATCGAAGTACGTTGGTCGCCGTTGACGAGGTCTCGGCTCCTCTTCGGTCTCATCATCGGTGAACAGGTAGGAATCTCTTTCTTGTAGACCAATGGAGTGCTGGACGACGGAGCCGTCCATAGTGGTAGTATCGCCATCATCGTCGCGGTCCCTCTGCCGCATTGACACAGGCTCCATGCTCATATCCTCGTCGTCGGAGAAGGGTTGTCCACGTACGGCAGCCAACACTTCGGACAGCTCCTGGCTCGCCAGCTCCGGATCCGAGCGCCGGCTCCTGAGCCTCTGTCCATTGCGCAGCTCCGCGTCCTGACTCGCCATCCGACGGTTGTTATTCGCGACGAGGATATCCACCCACGCGTCATCCCGCGAGCGCCGCCGGCCGTGCTTGTCGCGACCGCCATCAAGCAGGTCATCGTCGGAGAAGCTGGTCAGACGTGCGTCAAAGTCGATACTCTCGTATTCGGCTGGAGGTAATCCCGACCTTCGTGCTCCGCCTGGACTAACAGGCAGCCCCGTCGGAAGCCTAAACCGCGACGTACGCCGGTGTATCTGGGTGGCGATGTCCAGGGCATCATGTCGTTTCGGCCGGGGGTTTGGAGTGGCCTCGAGCCGTATCGTAGGTTGGGGAAGGGTCGCCGCCGGAGTAGGGGAAGGAGCAACAGAGTTGGGTGAGGCGAGCGTACTAGGAGAAGCGACCGCGCTGGGAGAAGTTACGTTTCGAGACTCGGCGGGACGTGCAAGAGAGATAACCTTCGTTGCAGTGCCATTCTGGCGGAGCAAACCCTCGAACTCGACTTCGCGGTACGACGGACTGCTCGGTACGTGCCCGACAACATAGGGACGACCATTGAGCGTTGCGGCAGGTTTCCACTGCTTGGACTTTGAGCCGTTGCCGAAGAATGAAGGCATCCGCCGTCGCGCGCGCCCTGACGACGCTAGCTGCTGCCTATACTCAAGGGGGACAAATTCTTCAAAGAGAAACATAGTAGACGATGTGCGGGGATCAGCGGTACCCGAGACCGTAGATTTTGACATCGGAAGTGACTTGAACTCCACCTGTATGAACGGCCGATCAACTCTGTCACACTTCCATGAGGCTCATATATGATCACTCACCAAAGCCCAGTTACACTCTCGATCAACCTCTTCACATCTCTCAATGTCCAACCAACCTCCGCCGTACACGAGGTCGCAGAACACGTCAACGAATGCCTCCTCGACGACCTCCTCTGAGCCGAGCACAGGCTCCGTATCCCAGCCGAACGACGGTAGCGCCTTCTGCGCCTTCTTCAGCTTCCGATGTATCTCCACCGAATGCGCGGGCCAGGAGTTAACTGTATTTGTGACGGGCGTACTGAACTGGAGCGTGGCGTTGAGAGGTGCATCTGTCCTCGAGAAGCCCGACGAGGAGAAGTCCTGCCAGGTCAGGGTGGCTCGTTTCGCGGCGCGTGCCTGTGAAGAGCCCACCATCTATGAATTGTTAATCTGTGGTGCATCTCAGGAGCACTCACCGCCCGGGCGCCTTCCGTCAGGTCGAACTGCAGCTTCTTGCCATCCGCCACGTCGCCGAAGCCCATGGCCTCGAACTCGCCCCACTTGAGGTCTGTCAGGCTGCGGAAGCGGTCTTCGTCCATGCTGGACATCGCCGACGATGCGGAGGATACCGAAGAAGACAGCGACGGGCGCTCACGAGGACGAAGTCGATCCGGCTCCCGTGGCGGGATGGAAGTTCGGCGCGAGGTCCATTCGCTTGCGGTACGCGTCCGAGTAGCGTGGCGGCAGCTTCAGCGTCGGCGGCGCGACGCGTTCCCATTCCCTCGACCCCACGAACGCGCGCTCCGCCATGTTGGATGTTGGCCCACGCGGGCGCTGCGCCCAGCTCGCCGCCGTCTTGACGAGGTCGGGCGAGTACATTCGCACGTTCCGCCGCACGGCCACGACGCGCACCGTACGCGCGCCCCGCCGCGGCTCCGGCCGTCGGTCCAGCTTCCCGATCGCGGGCAGCATCGCAGGGTAGCCCTGGATCCACGCCTTCAGCCGCGTCGGCACGCCCATGAGCGGCGCCGCGCTCGCGCCCGAGCCGGGCTTCGGAGCGTCTTGCCAGCGGATGAACGCCAGTATGAGGTGCTCTGTCGCCGTCGTCACGCGTGAGTACGCGACGTACGCCTGGTGAAACGAGAGCGTCGATGGACCGAGGCCGAACAGCAGCGGTCCGAATAGCGGCGAGAGCGTAGGCGGCGTGTGCCCGGACGACCCTGAATGTGCGATGAACCGCGAGAGCAGCGTCAGCAGCCCGACGATGATCGAGCGCACGAGCGGTGCGAGCGGTGCGAGGAACGCCGCAAAGTGCGACTCTGGGTAGCTGTGCGCTGTGCTCTCTCCCGTTCAGCGCGCGGCAGATTCGACAGCAATGCACGCACCTAGTTCCGCGTCCCGCCACTCGAGGTAGTTTTCGTACGAGACAACCCCACGCACCTCCTGGCCCTTCATGATGCGGATAACGCGCGCAAGCCCCCACCGCAGGCACATCCCCAGCTCCTGCGGCCCCGCCAGCCGCGCCTCCTCGTGCCACTGGTGGTCCGCCTCGGGCGACGCCTTGCTGCATGTGCGCACGAACGCGCGGATCAGCCGCTTGACGGAGTTGGACGACACGTCCAGCGCGAGTGCGGAGAAGATGAACGGCGTCGTCAGGCCGCGCAGCGCGAGCTCGTTGCCGACGACGTCCACCAGCCGCGCGACCTCTTCGAGGCCGAGCACGACGTGGCGCTGGTAGGACAGGTGGCCGTAGTCGTGGCCCTTCTGCTGCTCGAACGCGGGCTGGTCCGCGGTCGCCTCGAAGCGCGGCGGGTCGAGGCTGAGCGGCAGGAACGTGCCATCGGGGACGGCATACTCGGGGCTGTCGGGCTCTGCGGCGGATGCGGTGCGCGCCCTGCCCTTGTCCTTGCCGTCCTTCTTGTCCTTCTTGCCCGGGGCGGGAGAGGCGGTGAGGCCGCGGGCGGAGCCTCTGCTGTTGACCCTCCCAAACTCGTCGGGGGTGGTAGTGTCGACCGACTTCTTGGGCGTAGAGATTGTGCGTGCACGAGAGAATATGCTGTGCATGAAGCGAGAGAGCGACTAGGGAGAGGAGGGAGCTTGAGACGACGAGAGGACGTTCGGTCGCCCGGACAACAGCAGATTTCGGATCTGCCACAGGTTTTGCTTGATCGTCAGGGTGGAACTGAACAGCCAGGAAGAGAGTGAGAATATCGCAACGACCAGAAGGTTAGAAATAACCAGGCCAGAAGAAACCCATTCAAGAAGTGGAATGAAGTGTCGGATAGCCTGAGAACAACCTGGGAACCGATCAGAGCGTGCGCTTGCAGTTGCACGCCCCGACACAACATTTGTACATGTTTGTTCCCTTCATCATTGGTTTTCTGCTGGAGAAATCAAATACTGAGACATATCGAATGCTTGAGAGGTAAGATGTAAAACACACCAGTTGCAGTAGTAAGTACCAGGGTCTTGAACAGCCTTCACTTAACAATTGCTTTGTAAGGAAATCTCTTCCCACACTTAGACTCTCCACTAGTAGTCCATTTATCTGGGTGAATATGACTTGATATTTTTGACCACCACTCAATTGGACAGTAGTTTCAATGGACTTATTCAGTCAGTTATTTAGAATTACTGTCAGAGCCAACACTATGACTGGTATTTAAGATAGGCTGAGATTTATTGGCTTGGCAATAGTGCTAGCAAGGATCCAGTGTCCTGCTCAGCAAATAGTGGCAGTACAGAGACAAGATGTACATGCTTCCAGTCAGGCAGCTCCAGCCTTAGATACCTCAGAATATGAGAATCTGGGGCAAGGAAAATACCCAATGACTGATACTCAGTTGTAGAAAATGCTTTCCCTGTGGAACCTAGTACTGTGCTAGTGCCATATGATTATGTTGTTCCTACCTCATGTGATCATCTAATGCCACAATTCATTCAGTCTGACAATCTGAGCAATGCCCAAGTTATCATTGCATGTGGTGTGGCATGTAGAACAAAATCATACACACTTCTAAAATGCACACTCCCTCTTCCACAACTTAAGTATCATCACTTGAGTCCAGTTTGAGTCCAGGATGAAAGCATCTGCACAAAGAACACTCTATTTGTCATCTTGAGCATTAGTACTTTTTATGCACAAATGTGATTGTAAGACTGACACTCAAGCCTCAAGGATGCCAGCCTTCAATATCTCTCAAGGAACACTGTAGTCAGAATTTGATCTCACACCAATATTCCTTTGCATGATGCCATGACTCCAAAATATAAACCTATTGGATGATAGGTGAATTTCACAAACTGTGGTATTTCAAAATAAGATAGGATTGTAAACAAGGTTGGGAGTGCCCCATTGTGGGAATTTAGAAGACAGTAATTGACACTTAGGTGGTGAGCAGCACTGAAGCTGACACCAGCTTGCATGCCATAACTCTACACAAATTTTCCAACACTTCAGAATATCAACAAAGACTTGCTAACAACTGAGTTGATGAATGGGAGTACTCATTTCTTATCTACTAGGGTATCTGCAAGGTAGCCAATATTTACCAGGCTAGCACAAGGTATGCAAGTATAGGGTCAAGATCATGAGTAACATGCAATAGCTTCACCATTTCCATGACACCATGGAGCATTGATTTATGAAGCTGCAGAAGTTGCCTTACTAGCTCACTGTAAGTGGCAGCTGTTAAGTGGTCAGCAACATCAGCACAAATCCTGATGTTGCATTCAGTATAACAGCAGCTGGGACTTTTGTACAGGAACAGGAAAACAAATACCAAAATAAGACACACCGATAGTACTCCTACCGGTTTCCTCTCTCCATCTCTATCTTATGCTTCTCGTAGCATTCTAATGTCACGCTCGCCAAGAATCCCGGTATGCACTGCTCTTGCTCGACCCAATACCGCATAAGCTGCGGCAAGTCTTCCGGTCCGCCGTCACCTTGAGCGACGAGCTGCATTCGCATCCCACCGGCACCGTCGTTGCCCCCTGCGGGTCCGGTCGGCTGGAAGACAAACGCTGCGTTGAGATCGAAGTGCGACGTGACACGCACTTGGCCATTCGGGTAGAAAGCGAGCTTCACGCCGAGGATGGAAGCGACGGCGTCCCGGAACTCGGCCGACTTCGACTGGAAGATCTGAGGGCCAAGTTGAGTCCGAGCCCGACTGGAAAAGCAAAGCAAAGTAATTCACCTGCTGCAGCCTCAATAGTCTCTTCTCCCTCTGTTTCAGCTCTTCCTCAAGGCGCATCTTCTCTCTGTTAGCAACCTCCCAGCTCTCCCTCGGGACCATCCCTTCCAACGCTGCAGCTTCTCCCGTGCCACCGTTCGTCGAGCTCCTAGCCCCCATCTGCCCGCCCACTCGCGACCCCGCATCTTCGAGCTCCTTCAATCGCTTCATCAGCGCTTCGTTCTCCTTCTTCAGCCGATCCATCGCCGCTTGACTCATATCTGCCCACTGCTGCGCGGGGTTTTCACGCAAGCTCAGCACGCGAACCCCAGGTGGGAGGTGCCGCCCCGCCCCGATCTCCCCGCGAAGCTCGAACAGCGTCTGTTCGAGGTTCTCGACTTGCTCCTCGTGCGCCGTGGACATTTCCTCGGCCTTCTCCAGTGCTGGACATCATTCTAATATCAGCACATGTGAGCGATCGTGAGAGACGAATACGTACCGGCTTGGAGCAGCTCCTTCGATGCACGTTCAGCCTCGAGCTCTTCTTGTAGCCGCTGCAATGCGGCACTCCCGCCTTTGACAGCGCCGGCCTTGCTAAGCGCGTCGAGCTCATGCTGGAGCTCATGCACGGTAGCCTTGTAGTCAGCTACAAGGGACTCGAGGTGTTCCAAACGCTCAGAGGTCATTTCATCGAGGTCGACGCCATTCTGCGCGGACTCCTCCGCCGTAAAACTAGCCTGCAACAGTGAGCAATGACGGTCAGAGACTGCGAGGAAGACTCGGAATGGCAGCAACCACGCACCACCATGGCCTGAAGGAAAGAGACTTCTCTCTCTGCAAGCTCTTTCTCGCGCTCTTTACGCGCCACTTCAGCCTTGAGCGTGCGTGCATCTGCCTGGAGAGCCTCTACCGAAGCTTCAGTCTCATGGATGCGTTGATCTGCATCTGCGATCTCAGCCTCACGCCGCTTCAGCGTCGCAGTCGTCGATCCGTGCTCTTCCAAGAGACGTGCATAGTTCAGACGTAGATCAGCAAGTGCTTTTGTGATGCCCACTGGTGTCTTGGAGGGAGTTGAGGGCTGAGCATTGTCTGAGGCCCTGCAACGACCTCATGAGCGGAGTCACCAACGATCCTGAATACCTACGCACCACGTCTCTCGCTCGCGCCGCGCCGCGTCCAACTCGGCCTCAAGTCTTACGACCTTCTCGCGGAGCTCCTCCGCACCCTGTGCCTTTCTCTCCAGCGCGCGCTTCTGCTCCTTCAGCACCTCGACACTCGCATGACGCTCGCGTAGCGCAGCAAGTTCTGCGTTCATCTTCATGTTCGCCGCCTCGAGAGCGCGCATATATTCCGCCTGCCGGCTCAGCTCTCCGCGTACGACCGCCCATGTCTCCTCGTCAGCTGCCTTCTGCGTGAAGCTCTCATTGGCCGCGCTCGCTTCGTCAAGCTCGCTCCGCAATGCCTCCAGCGCGTGCGAACGTTCCTCTGCGATCTGCCGATATTCGGTGAGCTCTTCATGAAGAAGCGAGACTTGTCGCGTGAGGGTAGTGATTTGTGACTTCTGCGCCGAGAGGGTTTGGGCGGTCGAACGCGAGAGTGAGTCGTGTTCATCCGTTAGTTCGTCATGTTGTTCACGGAGGGCGGAGAGCGAAGAACGCAATGCGCGTAGCTCGGCGTCCGCTTTACGCTGTTATCGGCAAGAACTGAGTTAGATTGTGTTATTCATATGGTGAGAATGTGACAGTTAAAGAGGCGACCATGCCACACGGTAGGGGGTAATGAATGGTATGCGACAAACCTTCTCTTCAGCACGCTCGGCACGCTCACGTTCTTTCTCCTCGCGTTCTTCTGTTTCTCGCCCAGCAAGCCACCTACGATCGCCCTCCAGGCGATCGATGACCACGTCCTTCTCACGTAGCTTCGTCTCGAGCTCAGCACGCGCCGTTTGCGCGGCCATGAGCTGCCGCTCTAGTGAGGCGTGTGCGAGGTGCGAGGCGAACGTCTGCGTGCGCTGCTGTCGTTTTGCAGTAGATAGTTGCGGATCTGGCATGGTGGGAGATGGGAGACCCGTTGGTGGGAAGCCAAGACGTTAGTGCTCGAACAAAGCAACATGCGAGTGGCACTTACCGCGCTCGAGCTCGGCCGCAAGGGAATCGCGCTTCATTGTCTGCGAGCGAGATAAGGACGTAGGCAACCGGCTGAGTTTGCTCACAGGCGTAGTAAACTTGTCCGCCATGCCGTGGAGTTATGTAAGGCGTGCAGCAGTGACGAGAATGTCCGATTCAGTGTCGAGGACAAGCAGCTCGAGCCCCGCCGCCACCGCGGCGGCGTTGTTGCAGGTGAATCACGTGCGCAGGATTCTTACCGGCAGCGAGCGCCTAACGCGCCTGTGGCACCCGTGTAACCGCGCTTGTCTTCTACCTCGACACCGCGACCTCGACGCGTACGAATCTGATTGCCGACTTTGTTCCAGCCTTCTGGAGAGTATCTCCGCGCTATACTACTTGACTTTGAACCATCACACATGGCCCGTGCTACCCGCTCTCAGCCTCAGCCCTCACAGTCTCAGCCGCGACATCGCGTAGGGCGCGCAACAAATGGCCGTTCGCAGCCTGTCGACGACGGTTATGACGACGACAAGGACGATGATGTTGATGCGGGAGACTACGACGATGGAATGGACGTTGACGATGAGGGAAGAGGAGACGATTCTCAGAAAGAGCTGGAGCGCAAGGCAGGCGATCTTGCGCGGTTGGCGCTCTTCGCAGAAAGCAGACGCGTGCCGTTGAAAAGAGACGAAATCTCCAAGAAAGGTGAGATGCCATGAATCACTTAACTTTTAAAGCATTACCTTCGAGATGTCTTCCCGCGCCATCAAATCCAGCTCTTGGATGTATCATGTCCAGACTGTGCTAACATACTGCGGCTATTCAGTCCTGGGTTCGAGTTCAAGGCAATTTGGCCTCGTTTTCGACAGAGCCAGGAAATTCTTCGCAAGACGTTTGGCATAGAGATGGGCGAGCTCCAAACCCGCGCCGCTCTCGCCCAAGATGCCGACGAACCCGAGCCCACGCAGGCAGCAAACGGGGCAAACGGGGTGAACGGGGCCGAAGCGGGTAAGAAAGGCAAGAAAACAGCGGGGGCTGGTAAGCGTGCCCCCGCAGGTGGCGCAAAGACGTACATCCTCCGCTCAGTCCTCGACCCGGCCATCATCGCGCAGGCCAACGCGCCCGATCGCGAACTCCGCCGGCTCGAATCGACGCGTGCGAACATCACGAACGAGGACTTTGCGGCCTTGTACGATGTCGAAGACGAAGATGACGACGCGTCCGTACGGGTCACAGGAAGCGTGCTCGGCTGGGAGCGGAGCGACGAGGTCGCGAGCATAGGCGTGTTGTATATCGTGCTCTCGCTTATTCTCGTGGATAGCAGGATCGTGCGAGACCGTAGGTCGCACTCTTACTCGGTTTGCTTCGTCACTAATAGGTCTATAGACGAAATGCGGCAGTTACTGAAACGCCTGAGGCTCGGTTCCGGCACACAGATGCCACTGAGCGCACGCTCAACTGCCTCGCTCTCAGTCGACCAGCTTCTATCTACTTGGGTTCGCCAAGGCTACCTCGACCGGCAGCGTGTTGGCGAACCGGGCAAGGGAAAGCGTGGGCGGGGCGGGGTGCCCGCAGCCTCCCAAGTCCCAAACGGCAACGCGACGAACGAGGAGCAGTGGGAGTGGCGCTGGGGCCCGCGTGCGCACGCTGAAGTCAGCGAGAAGGCCATGGCCCGATTCGTTGCGGAATTCATGGTGGATATGGAATTAAAGGGCGCCGCAGCGGAGAGTGATGAGGATGCAGAAGATGAGGATGCAGGAAGGGGTGAAGATTGGCGGAAGAGGGTGGAGAGGGTGTACAATGGGGTCGAGCGGGCTGCAGCCGGAGCAGCCCTTCAAGGCATCAAATAGAGAAGACTTCGTACATAGTTAGTTTGTGTTTCTGGCTGTTGTTTTCCACCTTTGTGTGCTTATGATCTTCCCTTCAAAGATGAGTGTATACGTACAGCGTTACTGCTTGTAAAGTTACATACAGTGTTCTTTTTCCCCGCTCAAACTCGCTGGTGCTTCGCCAGTGATTATGTAAGCCAACCGTTCAAACGTTCAGTACTTCAGTAGTCACTCGTAGTGGCAGTCGTGCACACCTCTACTTGAGTCTACTTGGCAAGAATATACTACTTGGGGGTCGAGGCTTCACGAACATCGGGACCGCAGGCCTGAGCGCTCCGGTTGCCTTCAGACCTGGACGTAGGCAGCACTGAGCTGCAGCAATCTGGCTCACCGATACCTCCGTGGTTGATACAGGGCCGCCCCATGAACGTCTTTTTACCTACCCTATAGGCTGTCCTGGCGACCCATCTTCTAAGCTAGTGCACAACGCGAGAATGTATAGTACGACCTGGCACCTACCGTGACGCATACAAACCCCAAGTACAAGACCACGCCGAACGCGTCTACCCAGTGGGTACCGCACATAGGAAAGGGAGGGAAAGAGGGAGCCGGGCGTGGTTAGGACGGGGGACATAAACCAGAACTCGATGGACGTAATTTCGACTACATCGAGGTTGGCACCCTGGCCCCGACACGTTCATGCGAGGTCTCTCTAAGGGTGAGTAGATATCGTCGGTGCGTAATTATGACTATACTTATGTGGAAGTAGGACAATTTGTCAAGGCACTGAGACATCAACGCAAGAGTGGTAAGTTATGCACTTTCAGTGATGATACCGACTCTGCACTAATATTACTGGCATAAATCTTGCCTCATGAGTGTGGAGTGACCTGCATTTCCCGTTCACCGGCGCATCTTTAACACCACCATCTGCCATGGAATGGCAGCGGCAAAGTATGGCGAGCGTTTCCCCGACATGCGCTCCGCGCCATGATCACTCAGCAGGCGCATCGCCCACCGTCTCCCGTACGCAGTCCGGATCTTTCACCTCGGCCTACGCACGTTGACCAATATCCAATAGTCTTCATGTCAGTGTCTGTGGCCGGTGAACTGCCATCACGAGCGCGACACTATTGTTCAACCCCTCGGTCTTGAGTCGCCATCATCGTATAAGCGTCCCCTGTTCATGCAGGCCGAGTAGGGAGCACTACGCATTCGGAGCGCAGCCCGATGAGCAACTACGTCTCCGCTGACGATTGATTGTGAGCGTAGTACAGAGACGGTGGAGGACAGCCACCGCTGATTGACCGGCTCTCACTAGCTCTCCTACCGAATAGGCGCAGCGCTCTCCTTGCGGGTGAAACACGACAGCAGACGCGACCTTATATGTAGCGCAAGGTCAGTACATTATTGCGTTGAGGCAGTGTTGAAGGTTGACAGCTCAGTAGACGGTTAATCGCTTGGTCTTTGCCCATTTCCGGTGTCTTCGCATCAGCACGTCAGTGCATATCCTCGGGCAGAGTGCTGACGTGGCTGAGCATGTCTGTCTTAGACGGTCCACTCCCGCTGCCGCCGTAGTCAGCTTTGCTGCCAACATGAATGCGATGACTCACGCGAATGTATAAAGTCGGGTTGTCTTTACCCTCGATTCCCCAACTGGACACCAAATATGCTAAGACAGCTGCTGGCATCTTCCCTTCTCATTCTCTGTACTATCAAGAGTGTGTTGGGAGATTCTCCCTCCCTTCAGTCAATCCTCGGCAACGACGACCTCGAAGTCTATTTCCCGGGTCAGCCAGGCTACCAGAATGCCTCGCGGGCATTCAACCTTCGTCTTAACTTCAAGCCCGTCGCCGTTGCGTACCCAAACAGCACGGACCAGGTCGCCGAGCTGGTAAAGGTTGGCGCACTGCTCAATATCCCAGGTGAGTATCGATACATCTGCGTCGGCGAACGGGTTGTGCTCAACTGTGCCGATAGTCACTGCCCGTTCAGGCGGCCACTCCTACGCCGGTTATGGTCTCGGTGGCGCAAACGGCCACCTTGTAGTTGACCTCACTCAGATTAACGCCATTAGCGTAGACAACTCTACCGGGGTTGCCACCATTGGCACTGGAAATCGCCTTGGAGATATCGCCATCGCTCTTTTCAATCAGGCGGGGCGCGCTCTGCCCCATGGGACGTGTCCTTTGATTGGCATAGGCGGCCACGCGAGTTTCGGAGGGTGAATCTTCATACGAGTCGCCGCTCGCGCACGTACTCACTCACTCTGTTCTGCAGGTATGGTTTTACAAGCCGCCAATGGGGCCTCACGCTGGACAACGTCGTCGGTGCAACCGTCGTCCTTGCAAATGGGACGATCGTTGAGGCTTCAGCTTCGCAATACCCTGATCTATTCTGGGTACGCCTCTGCCTCCACATGTACATTATCATAATGCTGACTATTCTTCAAGGCCCTGCGTGGTGCGGGCCCTTCGTTCGGTATCGTCACTCAATTCCAATTCACTACTTACGTCGCCCCGGCGCAACCGACATTCTTCAGCTACTACTGGTCTCTCCCGCTGGATCAGGCTATCACAGGCATATCACTTTACCAGAATTTCTCTTTCTCGTCCTCGATTCCCAAAGAGATCGGATTTGAGATGGACCTCACGAAGGGCAGCAGCGAGGGAGAGATCTTGCTCAACCTGGTGGGATCATACTACGGCAGCCCGGATCAGTACAGCGCCGTCGTACAGCCATTCCTTGACGCCATGGTACGACCGCGCCATCATTCTCGCATTTGACGCTCTCGTTAACGGACCATTCACCTTTCGCGGCACACAGCCCAACCAGACGGCTCCGGCCCAGGTCAATGTGACGTCGTGGCTTGACAACCTAGTGCTTCTCGCTGGCAGCGCGATTGCCAGTACGCCTCAAAGCATCGCTGCCGAGAACAACACTTTCTATGCGAAGAGTCTCACAACGCCATCCGATGCGCCTATGTCGCAGGAGGCCATCACCGCACTTGCGAGCTGGATGTCCGTAGAAGGATGGTACACAGACACGGTGCGTCCTACCGGGGTGGCGGTGGCAGCCGCATCACATAGGAATCACTCACAGAGAACACAACCAGAATTGGTTCGTACAACTAGAGTTGTACGGCGGCAACTCTTCGCAGATCGACACAATCCCTTCGAACGCTACGGCGTACTTCAACCGACACGATTTGTGGACTATACAGGTGGGTGTGCGCTTACGGGCTGATGTCATGTCGCTCACTGTCAGCGTCCGTGGCAGTTCTACACCTCGAGTGCTGACGCCGAGCCGCCCTTCCCCAGAGAGGGCTTTGCGTTCCTTGATGGCCTCGTGGCTTCAATCACAGCCAACGAGCCGGAGAGCTACAACTATGGGTGGGTCATGAAGCTCTACTACCAGAGCAAACGTGTGATTGAATGATCGTTAGGGCATACCCTAACTACGTCGATCCACGCCTGCCTCCGAACGAATGGCACGCACTCTACTTCGGGTCCAAGTACGTACTTTAGCAGTTCAGCGTGCAGTTGCGGATTGCTCACATACGGTGCTCGATTTAGCTTCGAACGTCTCCAACAGATCAAGACGGAGGTCGACCCGACTGGAGTATTCACCTTCCCACAATCTATGTGAGTCAATGTACCCGGTTTCCGTCGTGTATGAACTGAACGTCGTATGTACTGTGCATCAGCCCCCCGTACGAGTCTTAGGCGTGATGAAACCGGTACATCAACCATTTGACACTGACTGAATGAGTCTGAATCTTGATGTAGTAGTGCGTATTACACATCCCCGATTTTCAAGGTCGTGGAACGTTTCTGTTGAGCTTTATCGTTGTTAGCGCTGAACGTTGATCTACGGAAATCGCGGTCCAAACCTTCTCTGCATTGCAGTCTCCCGACATGTATACATAAGCTCATGCATTCTAAGGTGAACGCTGCGATCTCGGGGCGCTTCTTATCTATGCAAATAGATCACGATGATGGGGTGCGCGTTCTCGCGTCGTTGCCCCCGCCTCCGATGTCCACCGCGGAGCTCATGATCACACGTGCATTGTTGATACTCATAGTGAGGTTGCAGCGAAGCCATGTGTCTACAGACGGCATTCATTCAAGATGACAATGCGATTGCTCTATGGCTCATTGGTCATCCCTGCCGCGTACTATCCCATGCCATTTAGCTCCGGCAAGCCATCATGTTCTGTACAGTGACAGTGAGTACGATCACCGAGGACCACTGTCCATTCCTACAGCCGTCCAAGCGTAGATCTTAGCATGGCTGTAGCCCATACTTGTGGTCCTACTTTGGGAGGCCGCATCGCACATGCGTATGATGTACGTGGCCTGCGGCGTTCACTGCATGATTACTGAACACATCCTCTATAGGGTCCCCTTTTCACTCAGCGTTATGGATAGTTTGTCATTGTGCGATCATGGGTCATTCCCGGTGAAATCTATGACTCGCCATAGTGGCATCATTGCCCTGGGATTCGTCCGACCCATGTCGGCTGTCATCTCCTTCTAATTAGGACCGACATCTTAATGCAAGGCTGCCATTGCCGCTGAGCAGGGCGAATCGTTCATTCATGGTGTCCGAGGCGCTCTTTTTCTTCATGTTGTGTGGCTGATTGAGAACTATCTTATCCAGTTAGCACCACGCTGCCTCCGCAAGGTGACGCCGCACGCGGCCCATATCCGAAAGGTTCAGTCTTAATCTCGATCATGTCCATCTTTCGTGCAGGTTCACATTCAGTTGCAGTATAGCATACACACACTTGAGTTGAGAGGCCCGCAAGATGCTGTTCTCACCGTTGAAGACACGTCTCGGTGGACATGAATGCTCGTCGGGCACTGGCAGTGCCTGTGCCACGTATCAGAAAATATCAGAAGGATCTCGGGGACTGTAGCCCAGAATAATGAAACTGGCTCGTGCCTATGGGAAAGGTAAGATTGCGGATGGGAAAGGACTCATTATCGGCTTCCGTGGGACAGTACTAAGACATCAATCCGTGACGTCGGATGATGAGGTAGTAAGGTCTGCTACTTGACTTCCTCTGAACATGTCGACCTGATCATTGACAGATTTCTAGACTCTATTGAGGACCATGTTGCGGAACGCGCGCAATGGCACAACATACAAGAACGACGTGTGTTGACCACTAGACTTCCCACAAGTCCCATGTTCATGATCAGGAACATGTTCAGACACTTGTCGGGCCTTTCATTCGGCCTTCTCTGCATCGCGAACACTGCTTTTGCGGACGTCTCACCCCTCCAGGCTGCCCTTGGTAGTGACGGTATCGAGGCGTACTTCGTTGATCAGCCGGAATATCAGAATGCTTCACAGCCATTCAACCTTCGTCTACCCTTCAAGCCCGCTGCGGTTGCGTACCCAAGTACTGTTGAGGAGGTCGCCAACGCAGTCAAGGCTGGTGCTCTGTTGAGCATAGCTGGTGAGTCTCCGGAGACCTCAGCCAGTGAAGGAGCGAGATACACTCAGCATGATCGACTCGGTTAGTCACCGCCCGCTCGGGCGGCCACTCTTATGCTGCCTACGGCCTTGGAGGCGCGGACGGACACCTGGTCGTCGACCTATCCAGGCTCAAGGACATTCATGTCGACAATTCCACTGGGATTGCCATTATTGGGACCGGCAATCGGCTTGGGGATGTCGCGATCAGTCTCTTTGATCAGGCGGGGTGTGCGCTTCCGCATGGGACGTGTCCCCTCGTCGGCATAGGCGGGCATGCGAGTTACGGAGGGTAAGCCATTCCTGTTTTCATGAAAGGTCTGGTTCATAGTGACCGTTGCATCATAGATATGGATTTACAAGTCGTCAGTGGGGCCTTACATTGGACACTGTTGTTGGCGCAACCGTCGTCCTCGCGAATGGGTCGATTGTTGAGGCTTCAGCTTCAAAACAACCTGACCTGTTTTGGGTGTGTATCGGGCTTCCTACTTCTATCTTCTAGCATTGTGCTGAACTATGGGTGTACTCACAGGCCCTGCGCGGTGCGGCACCTTCTTTCGGTATTGTAACGCATTTTCACTTCCAGACCTTCACTGCTCCGACGCAGCCGACGTACTTCAATTACTACTGGTCCCTACCGCTGGATGAAGCCATTGCGGCTATATCACTCTACCAGAGCTACTGCTTCTCTCCCGCAATTCCAAGGGAGATCGGGTTCGAGCTGAATTTGTTGAAGGGCAATAGCAAGGGCGAGATTCTGGTGAATTTTCAGGGATCTTACTATGGAAATCCGGACGACTACAGCGCCATCGTACAGCCATTTCTCTCTGCTATGGTAAGCGTACAGTGTTCGCATGATATATTCGCTGACCAAGTATCGTGCTATACACCCTGCAGCCGAATCAAACCTCTGAGCCGCAGGTTAATGTGACATCCTGGCTTGAAAACCTAGTCCTCCTCGCTGGCACTCCGCTCGCTAGTAACACTCCGACACTTCTTGCCACTGACCACGATACATTCTACACGAAGAGTCTCACGACGCCGTCCGACACGCCCATGTCGCAGGAGGCTATAGCGGCTCTGGCGAGCTGGATGTCCACCGAGGGGTGGTACACAAACACGGTGGGCGGCGCTGGCACTGGCAGCATTCGTGGCGCTTACGATGCATGGTACACGCAGAACTGGTTTGTCCAGCTAGAACTATACGGTGGTAGCTCTTCCCAGATCAGCATGATTTCCTCAAATTCGACGGCATACTTCAACCGCCAGAGTCTCTGGACCATACAGGTGCGCGCGCGCAACACTACTGATCATGCGTTTCGATGGTAACTTAGGTTTCGTCGATAGTTATACGCATCCAGTTCCGGCTATGTACCACCCTATCCACGAGAGGGCTTTGCGTTCGTTGACGGTCTCGTGGCTTCCATCACGGCCAACGAGCCGGACACGTATCATTATGGGTCAGTACTCGGTTAATTAGGAAGCCTTTCTTCCAAGTCGAAGGCGTGGTTGACAGGTGATCAGGGCGTATGCAAATTACATCGACCCGTGTCTACCTCCACACGAATGGCAGACACTCTATTTTGGGTCCAAGTACGTGTTCGACGTTTGCTATGTTGTCAAGCATTAATGAAACGTCGCGGTCTTTGGTGTCGAAGCTTCGATCGCCTGCGAAAGATTAAGACGGAGATAGACCCCAACGGTGTGTTCACCTTCCCACAATCTATGTGAGTGGACGTGCATTTTTGCTACCATTCCGTATTGACTGGTAGAGGATGTGTGCATTAGTCCACCGGTATGAGTTTTGCACGCCCGGGAAGCCAGTTGGATAACCAAAATGGGCGAGGACTCGGAGCATGATGCGCACACGTTCAATACACCGTCGACTTGCCATGAAGCTTGAAGACGAGCCGTACTGAATCATAGTGTACAGCAAGTGTCGAGTGTGATGTTCTGCTGAAAATTCAGCATCTCGGTGGGTCATAGCCGCTCGCCTGTTCCTGCTACCATCTTGTCAGTACGACTTCAGGCCTTCAGGTTGCTGTCTCGACCGACTGAGGGTGGAAGTTGCCAGTACTTGCCACTGCGATCGAAAGGGCATCTTACTATCTTATCACATTGCCGTATACGTCGGGGCCCGTCATGAATTTGAGGAGCGGCCCCTCGTCCAAGGCTCGTCCGATCCACCACGACCAGTTCTACGTTAACTCGACACTGTGGTTCATTTCCTTCCTATGCTGCGCTGGAAGATGCTGTTTCACGTTCAAAGCATGCATCCATGAACTTGCTGCCTCTCCGGCTTTCAGCAAAGATCACGGTGGCTACTGTAGCGAATAACGTATACGTGTTGCCACCGAGTGGCCGGAAACTCACTATGGTCGTCGTGCATGAGCGGTAGAAGAGCGCAATCCGGGCCGGGAACTTTGGGACGCACTACCAGTAATAACTTCTCCGTGGTTCCGCATAATATGAACGAGGTTCATCGTGTTTGGCCATCTCTGACGTGACCGATTCAGACTTTCCAAGATGTTTATCATGGTGCGTCCACTGCTTGACCATGTAAGAATGTCGTGGCCGCGTAGCATTTAATCAAGAATTTCAGCGGGCGTGCCGTGAAACCGGTAGAACTATAGACTGCGATGAGAAATCTCACGGGACTTATCCAGACACCCTCAAGATAAGGGGGGAAGGAGTTGACCGGCACCGTCTACATGTCTGGCCATTAGCACGTACTTCAGTGCGTGATTTCTGGGATGACCTATACATAGGCCGAAGAAGCTCGAGATACACTTGGAGTGATTGACCACGGCCTTCCGGAGAAGGCCTCGCTCAAAGGCAAGTGGTGCGCCCTACAATCTCTGCAGAGATCGCACTGTTACCATGATGCCCGTCAGTTGTTCAATGACTAGTCCTCGATTCAGCATGGCGAACGGACTTGTTCGACTACTGATCTACTCGCTCGGTGTCCTCTCCATCGCGAATCGGGCTTCAGGAGACGCTCCCTCTTTCCAGTCGATCCTTGCCAATGACAATATTGAGGTACATGTCGCTGGTCAAGCGGGATATCAGAACGCCTCGCGGGCGTTCAACCTCCGTCTTCAGCTCCAGCCCGCCGCCATAGCATATCCTGGCAGTGTCGAGGAGGTCTCGGATCTAGTCAAGGCTGGTGCATCTCTAGGCATACCCGGTAAGTCTTCATACATCTGTCTTACCGATTAAAATCCACTCAAGTGTACTATCAGTATCCGCTCGGTCAGGTGGACATTCTCATGCTGCTTACGGTCTCGGTGGTACGGACGGCCATCTGGTAGTCGATCTGGCTCATTTGAATGACATCGAAGTCGACAATTCCACTGGTATTGCTATGATCGGCACTGGGAGTCGGCTAGGGGATATCGCAATTAGGCTCTTCAACCAGGGAGGGCGTGCGTTGCCACATGGTGTCTGTCCTCTTGTCGGCATAGGTGGCCACGCTAGTCATGGAGGGTGACATACTTCCCATACCAGACATCAGTGCGCGTGTTTATCGTCGGTCGGACAGATATGGCTTCAACAGTCGTTTATGGGGTCTCACAATGGACAACATCATTGGCGCCACCGTTGTCCTCGCGAATGGATCGATTGTTGAGGCCTCAGCTACACAGCATCCCGATTTATTCTGGGTACGCCTCATTGTCAGCTATTAAACCCAACTTGTTACTGATCTCTGAACGTCCTCGCAGGCCGTACGTGGAGCGGCGCCTTCGTTCGGTATCGTTACGCATTTCCAGTTCCAAACCTTCGTTGCACCGACACAACCGACGTACTTCAGCTACAACTGGTCCTTGCCGTTGGACCAGTCCATCGAAGCTATATCCCTCTACCAGGACTTCTCTTTCGCTCCCTCGATACCGAAGGAAATTGGATTTGAACTCAATCTCTACAAAGGCGTCGAACAGGGCGAGATTCTTCTAAACTTCTTGGGATCATATTACGGCAACCCGGACGAATATGACGCCATTGTAAAGCCCTTTCTTGACGTGATGGTGTGTACGCCTCGTTGCCATGTTCAAAGAGCATATGATCACTCGCTGCCGTGCATTCTATACTGTCGTACAGCCCAATCCGACGTTTTCGCCGCAGGTTGAAGTGACCACATGGCTTGAGAATATGGAGCTCCTTGCCGGACCTGGCGTACCTCTCGCAAGCACGCCGACCAGTATCGCCGCCAACCATGACTCGCACTACACCAAGAGCCTCACGACCCCATCGGATATGCCTATGTCGCAGGAGGCTATAACCGCACTTGCAAGTTGGATGTCGGCGGAAGGATGGCGCACAAAGACGGTGTGTAATGCATCTAGTATTCGCGTGGATCCGCGATGATGGATGGCGGGCCGATGATTGACATGACTGCAGTACTGGTTTGTCCAGCTAGAGCTGTACGGCGGCAATGGCTCGCAGATCGATGCGATGCTCTCGAATGCGACGGCATATGCGAACAGAAACGCTTTGTGGATCCTACAGGTTCGGTTTGTTAAAACCGTCGTTCGACGGGTTGTTGCTTACCAACCCGACATCAGCTCCGAGCATCAAGCCCGACTCACCTGCCACCATATCCGGAAGAGGGTTTCGCATTTGTTGACGGTCTCGTCAACTCAATTACGACCAATGTTCCAGACAAATATCAATATGGGTATGTCACAATTGGACTGAAAGCACTCGAACACAAGGCTGAACGACAAACAGAGCGTACCCGAACTACGTCGACCCACGCTTGACTCCCAAAGAATGGCATAAGCTTTACTACGGGACCAAGTATGTTGCGACCACAAGCTTGGCCTTGTCACTGTCGGCCATCGCTAATCTCACCGTGTTCTTGTTGCAGCTATCGTCGTCTCCGGAAGATCAAGACGCAGGTTGACCCGAATGGCGTGTTCACCTTCCCGCAGTCCATGTGAGTGTAACCACCGTCTATTTCACTTGATGACTTGACGCAGACGCCTTCCTGTAGTCCTCCCCTGCAGTAAATGATCGTGCCGAGCTGTGCCCTTTCTAGTCGATGCGGTTGGTTGTGGTACTACCAGGAGGAACCGAGCACATATCGAGTGTTCACCGACAATGAGAATCCGATACGATCGCCAACTACCAAATGCGCTGACAACCTGTGTGTGTTGCGTGTACGACCAAGAATCATGTATGAATTATCTGAGACTGTTCGATCCAATCATAACTTGAGTATTTCAACGACGCCTTGAGAAAAGGCTGTAATCGGAAGTCCAGTCAGTAATCCGCCAATCTCTTGTCGTAAAATCCCTTCGCGTACTTGTCACTAAAACTGAGCATGAAGATGGTGACGCCAATGATGCTTGCAGCAAAATTCGCAGCCGATATGGTGTTGAAGTTGAGGTCGGAGGCTTGAGGGTCGAGTACGCGCGATGCGCACGAGGGGAACGCGATCCAATCTCGGAGGGTGGCATCATCTTATCTTATCTGCAGCGCCCGGGGAACACGTCGCGCGCGCGCACTTGAGCTAGTCTCCCCTAGGCAGACCCTAAAGAAAACCTCTTTGAGTGGGGGAGAGGACGGTCTTCTAAGGGTCTGCTTCAAAACGCGCCCCCAACACCGGGACATCCCCTTTGCTACCCATTCTGTGATGGCCGAGCAATGCCGTGGCCACGGCGACTCGGCGGGTGGCAGCGGCAGATCGGCGGGTGGCAGAACTGAGATCTATCACGATATAATCTAATATCTAAACTAATGATTTGTACTCGTTCGGCGTACACCTGCTTCGAGATCATCACTCTCGTAGCCCGTATTTTCGTTCGCTCATACACGCTTTTGGGTCTACGTGCAAGTAGGCGGGTCCACAGGGCAGTGGGTGTGTGAACGTGTGGACAATCGCATGGGCGATCGTGCAGGTGAGTGGGTGGCCGGCTGGCCGAGTAGATGAGAGCGCAGGCGAGAGGGCGCGTGCAAGAAGAACCGTGGATGAGAGGCTGTGCAGGTGTGGGTGTAACAGTCACATGTATGCTTTTGAAGTTGTGGTTCTTACTCCGGGACATTGCGTGAGACAGCGAGATGGCGAGACAGCAAGTCAGCGGGCGAGTGAGACAGTCGGCGAGCAAGACAGTCGGTGAGCGAGACAGTCGGCAGACAGCAGGCGCACGAGATAGCAAGCGAGCGAGACAGTGAGCGAGAGGGGATAGAGGGATGACAGGTGGTGGGCAGGCGAGACAGTCAGCAAGCGGAACAGGTGAGCAGTACACAGACAAGTGTGAGGCGGGCGAGGGGTACAGCGAAATAGCGGGCGAGCAAGGTAAGGAGCAAGCTGACAGTGAGCGCTGGCGAGCGAGCAGGAGGGTGAGTTTGCAGGCAGGCGTGCTGGCATGATGGGCGGATAGACAAGAGCAGGTAGGCGAGCGAGTCATCAAGGCGGAGGCGGGCGGACGAGAGCGGGCAAGCGGGTGGGGAGTGGGCGGGCAAGCGTGTGAGACGGGCGACGAGAGCAATCATGAGGGCGAGGGCTGCCTGGCAGGTAGAAACGGGCGAGCAGGTGAGAGTGGGCAGTCCCGTCGACGTCGAAGCCGTCCTTCGCAGACATATTCTTGAGCTCCGAGTCGTACACGATCCTTGTAATCGCCAAACCGAACGACACACCGAGCTGCAGGACCCATTATATTAGCCATACGCACACAATACGGAGACATCACACACACCTGAGTCATGCTCTGGAAGAGCACACCGAGCCGCCGACGCTCTGGTCGTACGGAAGACACACTTTCGCAACGAAAGCGTGCCCGCTGCAAACACAAAGTCCGCGCCGAACGCCCAGTACGTCGCCACGGGGTTGATCAGCGCAAACAACAGGTTCGCCACGCCGCCTGTCAGGGCCATACCCATCGCTGCACAGCGCACTGATCAGCACACGCTCAAGATCCGTCGACGACGAATACTCACTGACGAGGACCACGAGCAGCACCCGGCCCACGAGCAGCGCCACGATAACGTTCGTGACCGTGATGAACATCGACAAGAGCCTTACCATCGTCAGGCTGGGGCTCGAGCAAAGGCGACGCGTCGAGCGCGTCGAGATTTGCGCACGCGTTTCGGAGATGAAGTGGCTTATGTAACTCCGCTAACGGGCTGTCCCAGTGTAGGGCCGTCATTTTGAAGCAGACTACACTTGAGCGCTCCTAGCCACCGTGACCACGACCACCGCAGAAGGACGAGTTTCCTAGACTCAACGACGACCACACCATGGTACGTCTACTCGTCATATCAACTTCCACACAAGACTAATGTGAATCTGTCACAGTCCGCACTGTTCAACTTCCAGTCTCTCCTCCTGGTCATCCTTCTCATGATCTGCACATGCACGTATGTACGAGCCGTCGCGCCGCGACTCATCGACAGGAACAAGGAAGGGTATGTCCTACGTGTGGTGAAACGGGTAGAGCGAGAAAGGCTCATTCGATCTGCAAAGGTTCCTGGGTCTATTTTGGATGTCTGCGCGTGTCGGTATGTCCGCATTGTTCGGTTCTGTGTCTACTCGTACTGAGAGTAATCGTGTTGGGGCGCAGGCGAGCGGCTCTCACCATGGGTCTCTATGGCATGTATAGCAATGGCCGTAACGCTGCTTGCGCAATGACCACGGACGTTGTCCTCCCTTCAACCCGCCAGCTCGCCCGACCGGAACCATCAATGTTCATCGTCATTGTCGACGCGTCGTTGCCACAAAACCGTACAGGATGTCGAGGGCCCTTGACGGGATCGAGTGTGGTTGTTATGTTACTTCGCCTCGAGGGTCTGGGTATGCTAGCTGGAAATGCTTGTATACGTCACCGGACCTACCCTGCATCTACCCCCAGACCTCGCCCACGTCCATGTAATATTATTACGCTGTTAACCTACTTTCTGTATATCAGTATGCCTCAGATGTTGTGGCCAATACGTGGATTATGCCGTATACCAGGCAACGGAGTGAACGGCACTATCACATACAGATAAATTGCGTTCTAAGTTACAACGAAGGTGTCTAGTATCATATGCACTAAAGAGGGTTTCTTGTAACAATGCCAATTCAATCGGACCGCAAGCGCAATACTGCCGATTAGAAGCAGAACAGACTGTACGCATACAGTGCCAAACTGAGGTTAACGTACGGAATAGTACCGGGTATGACGACAACAGGGAAGACTTAACGGGGAAAGAAGACAAGAAGCTCAACAGAGAAGAGACATTGCCAACCCGTGTCGCAAAACGCCGTACAGCACCTACTATAGACTGATATTGATGTCAGTGTCCCGTTCAGCACGGCGTCCACGCCTCGCGAGCCACATACCTTAAGCTCGAGCCACACATCAAGGCCAACCCCGGGGTGCCCTCACCACCCTCGCGACCAGCCTCTCCCTCTCCCTCTTCCTCGCGCTCCCCGCCAGGACCAGTCGCGATCCCTCTCCGACCTCTCCCTCTCCCAGTCGCGCATACCACCTGAATCCCGTCGCCTAGGATCCGCGGACCTATCCGGGCCTCGCCGCGAGTCCCATCCTCGGTCTCTATCCCAATCTTGCTCCTTGTTCCATTCTCGCTCCCTGTCGCGATTCCGATCCATGTCCCAGTCCGCAACATCGCGGTCCTCCCACCCTCTACCCCTGCTCACGGAGCTCTTAGGTGAGGCGCTTCCACCGGCACTATATCTGTCTCGCTCGGACATAGGCCGGGCCAGCATGTTGCCTGAGCTGGCGCTCTTTGCGCTCAAGCTCGGGGATACAGGTAGGGGTGGGGGCGGCAAACTCGGGACAGGGGGAGGTGGTAGAGAAGGCGGAGGCGGCGGGAGCGACGACGGCGATGAAAGCTGTGTGATCGTACCCGCTTGGCCCATAGTCGACACTGAGGGGCGAGGGCCAGGCGGGGGTCCTGGAGGCGGAGTCCTCATAGCAGCTGGTTTCGTGGGGGGCATCGTTTGAGCTGGTGTAGATGGGCTGCGTTTGAGAGCTTGGTTGTAGCTCGGAGGCTCCGGGGCTGTTGATGGCATGCGCGAAGACATGGAACGCGGGAAAGCCGTGGGCACCCCGGGATTTGGAGTGGAGGGAGCGGAGGCACTCTGCTGAGCGTTTTGGATGGCGTTGATGACATTGGGTGGGATGGAGCTGAGCATGGCTGCCACCTGCTCCGTAGTCATCTGCGGCACGAAACTGACCTGGAGGTGGCGTCAGCCATCACCACGTCCTCCGTACAGATCCATTCGCCTCGGCGTGAAACATAGGCTTTTGGTCTGGCTGGGGTGATTGGTTGGCGAATGTCCCATGTTATGCTTCTTCAGCAGAGCTTCGAGGCCTCCAAGGTCCAATTCGGACCCGTTGAACCGGATTGTTCAGCGTCCCATTGGTCTGCTGGTTTCAGGAGGAGGTACGGGAGGACATATAGCGTGCGGGCTTACGAGAGGTGTCGTTCGGGTGGAATTCGCAGCGCGGAGGAGGCGGAGTGCCGGTGTAGGAGCCTGCTGGATGAGAGAGGAAGGTCCCTGATGTGCAGTCGGAGTCTGCGCTGGGTGTTCACAATGCTCGTATCGATATGGGTAGCCGTGGCCTCTCCTGCTTGGAGATAGGACTCACGTTGTCGAGGATATTCGGAGGGAGTCTCTGCTGGCCGCCCTTCGATATCGACTGACCTGCTGCTGGAACAACAGGCGACCCCGCCGAAAAGCTTCTAGTACCCACACTAGCCTTGGCTGCACGAAGGACGGCCAGTCTATCATTAGGTGAAGCTGCCGCACCTTCGCCACGGTTGACGATCGGACTCTGGAAGCTGCCTCTGACCAGGCTCTTTCTTGACAGACACTGAGGTGATCGAAACCGTTGACCTCCGTTCCATTGGCAACAGGTGTCCTTCTGGGAGAGCGAGAGGGGCAGGTGAAGTGGACGTGCCTCCCGAAGGGGATGGCTTGGCTTGCGATGCTGTCATGGTGTCGACGGGATAGTCGGAGTGGTAGGTGTCCTATTCAGCGGGCTCGCAGCTGATGCTTCCTTCTCTTCCGGCGGTAGGTGACTGACTGACGACAGGGATAATTTGACCGACTTGGCCGAGGGGCCAGCGATGACTTGCTTGACTGTGACCTTGCTATTACCACTGTTGCAGGTTTGGACGAGCTAGCAGCTGCCGAAGATTTCGAGGCCGAGGCTTCGCCAACTTGCTCGTTGCCTTCGTCGTGGTGCTCTTGCTGGAAGACGTAGTGGCCGCAGGCTTCGCGCTAGTCGAGGACTTGGATACGGTCGTCGTTTTCGAGGTAGTGACCTTCTTCTTGGCCGGCACTTTCCTCCGAAGTGGGACATGATCTTCATCATCACTGCTGTCTTCCTCCTCGCTACTGGACTCGATGGCTCGCTTTCGTTTCGTAGTCGCTGTCCCACTCTCCCCTGGTTTGTTTTTCACGGCCGTAGTTGCAGGGGTGTCGCCCTTGCCGTCGCCCTGGAACTCGGTCGTCTTCATCTTCTTGATGAAGTCGAACATAGTCTTGCAAACTTTCGTGTTGGCGCGGATATCTACATGATGCGAACGGACATCAGCCCTCATCTGCCAGATGGCGTTGGAAAGCTGCAGCAGGGACAGTTTCGACCGATTCTTGTGTATCAGGACGCCAATGAGTGTGAACTCGATGGGCGACACCCTCGTCGGCTTCGAGAACGGCGTGTTGTAGCGTCTGTCGCGGACCATGGCTAGCCAAACCTGGAACGTCTCCATAACGTCGCTCTCGAACTTGACAGGTAGCGCGGCACGGACTGAAGCCACTTGTCGAGCTGCATTGGAGTGGGGAACCCGAGCGGTTGTTGTTCTATCAGATATACTATGGACGCTAAACATTGGAAGTCGCGACCACGTCCGTTGGCCCATTCAAGGTTACTTCCAAAACCTTGTTCCCCGAGGACTTTCGCTTGGATCTCTCTTACGAGAGTTGCTCGAATGCCAGTGAGCGCTTGCAGCCGTTCTGTATACCCGTCTTTGAGCTTGTTTCTCCATGAGGGCACAATGGAGTCTACGTACCTGCGGCCGTAAGCGCGACACCAAGTTGTACGCGCTGTGATTCGTGGTCAGCGGCTCATGCCATTCAGCTGGCAACGGAGCTTACCTGAAAATTTCCTTTCCTGATCATCCGACAGAGACTCGTACTCAACGCAGGTGATTTGTTTATTGGCAAACACTTGCTGATACTGCCTTGGTAGTACCTTGCGTTTGGGCCCCGATTGGGCCTTCCTTATACCAATACCTCGTATTCGATTTCCTGCACAGAGTAAACAATTGCCGCAGTCACGACTAATAGACTACTTACGCATCTCTGTCTAAAGGGAAATGAGCTTATGGGCGACATGGAAGACAACGGGCCGGACTTACGGGATATCTGCATCGCCACACAAAATAAGTCATACCATTAATCTACATGCCACCTAAGACGACGCGATTCACCCACCACACCGTTGAAGAAACTGCAGCGCCCATTAGTAGGTCACACGCACAAGTATTGGACTTCGGACTTACTTAGCGATTGATGTCAGTCTTTGTTTACCGTCGATGCAGGTACGAGTTTCTGATCCGTCTTCTTTGGCAGTTACAGCTATGAGTGCGCGATCATCAGTCAATGATGTCGATCCCGGGAATGTCGGACCTCACCAAAGATGACGGGCGGGATATAATAGTTTCTCAGGATCGAATCAATCAGCCCCGACTGCTTGGACTCCGGCCATACGATGTCTGCACGAGTGGCGGCGAGGACGTTAGCAACACCTCACACATAGAAAGTTGTTCTACTGTTCCGGGAGAGCCACTTAGGCCCTTCCACATCCAGTGCCTTCGCAGCAAGGATCAACTGCGTCGGTTTGCTACCTGCACACCCAGCGGTCCGAAGACATGGCGGTCAGGCGATTGGTGGCCCGAGGTGCGAAGGACTGCTGCAGAACGGATAAGGCTGGGATGACCTTGTTTACCGGAATTGCGCTGCTAGAGGCTGTGGAGAGATCACACAGAACTTGTCTCCTGGAACAGTAGTCCACCAAGCAGATGGTGGTCATCGAAGCGGCAAGACGACTACGCACCTCGCTGATATTCAGGTTCGAGGTCAATGGTGCTATCCACAATCTGATCTGTGATACATTGTTAGCCTGAAAAAACTACGATACGAGTGGCGGGTGGAGCTACCAAAGAGACTCTTCGCAGTGTACTGAGTCGTCCGTGGTGGTCGTAGAGTATTGGTGATCTGAAGGACAGATATTGAGATCGCTGAAGGACGTAAATATAACGGTGTGGCTCACCTTGTAGTCGGAGCCAGTGTTTCTGGTCGTGGTCTTCTTCCTCTGCGTGGGCGGGACATATTCCTCCTCGTCGAGGTCGGAGGATAACTCGGTCAGGTCTGACTCCCAGTCTGAAAGCATGACGGTTAAGAGAGATCAGAAAGGTTGCCAGTGGCTGTAAGAGGCAGAGCCGCGGGCCCTGCCGAAGCTACGAACAAAAGGCCTTTTGAGACAGGTTCAGAGTCGAGACTCGGAAGAAGGCACGCACGCCGTATGCGGCTATGCCCTAGGCGGTAGGTGATCACGTGACGGACGCGACATTGACCTGCGCGGCGCGCCTCGCGACGCGATCGCGTTTGGCGCGACTCGAACCTCTCCCTCAAACGCCCAACATGCGCATAGAAGAACTCGTCCTCGAAGGTCACTTTCATCACCAAGCTTGGCTGTATAGAAGCTTACAGCTATATAGGCTTCAAGTCGTATCCTGTACGAACTCAGATAACGGGCTGGGATTCCTCCTTCAACGCGATCACCGGTCTCAATGGCTCCGGCAAGTCCAACATCCTCGACGCGATATGTTTCGTTCTGGGTATCACCAACATGTCCTCAGTGCGTGCTTTTTGGGTGCCAATACTCCGGCACGCTGACAGTGCTTCTAGATGCGCGCGCAAAACCAGCAGGACCTCATTTACAAGCGTGGGCAAGCAGGCATCACAAAAGCAAGTGTCACCATCGTGTTCGACAACTCTGATCGCTCGACTAGTCCTGTCGGACTGGAGAACTGTAAGCAAATTACTGTTACGCGCCAGGTGAGTGTGCACCTTGTGTCACAGGAAACACAGAACCTGCGGAGCGCGACATTCCGGGAGACTGGGCATTTCAAAGTTTCATGCATTGAGCGACCGAGGCATTTGATTGACCCTCAGCCCTGGTACTCTGCACATTTGAGGACAGCGAGGCCCGGTGCCGTATGGCGCATGGAGGGTCAAAGGGGCCGCGCTCGATGCCTTGTGGTCATGCATATCGCCATCCGGCCGGCCCTGAGTGGTCTGTCCTGTCTTGCAATCCCTCGCGGCTTTGCGGCGCAGCGCGTTGCTCATTGTCGCGAATGCTCCTGGGAAGGGCTCTAGGTTGCCATTGCAAAGGCAACTCGGTGGTTTGGTGGCACATTGCTGATGAACATTTATAGATCGCTCTTCCGAACATATCTAAATACCTCCTCAACGGACACAAGTCCCAGCAACACACCATTCAGACCCTATTTCAGAGCGTGCAGCTCAACATCAACAACCCTAACTTCCTGATCATGCAAGGGAGGATCACCAAGGTGTGTTGTCTTTGTTCTCGCGTTTTGCGTCGACCTGACCAATGCGACACAGGTACTCAACATGCGGCCACAAGAGATTCTCGGCATGGTGGAGGAGGCCGCAGGCACACGCATGTTCGAAGAACGGAAGGACAAGGCCAAGAAGACAATGGGCAAGAAGGAGAAGCGCGTGCAAGAGATCACCTCGCTCCTCGCGGAAGAGATCGAGCCGAAGCTCGACACCCTGCGAGAGGAGAAGCGTTCTTTCTTGCAGTGGCAGAAGTCGTGCTCGGAGCTAGAGCGCATCGGGCGCGTGTTGCGTGCATGGGAGTGGACGGAGGGTCATGAACGCGTAGCGAAGAAGGAGGCGGAGATTCAGGCGAAGGAGAAGGAGACGAAGAGTGTGAAGAAAGGGAAGGAGCGTTGCGGGAAGGAGATCGAAGCTGCCGAGAGGGATGCCAAGGAGGTTGAGGCTCAGCGGGAGAAGGAGCTCCGCAAGGGGGGCAAGTTCAAACAGCTCGAGGATGAGGTCGCAGAGTTGGGGAAGGTCCTCGTGAAGATCAAGACTCAGGTCGAGATCAAGATGGGCACCATCACAGACGAGGAAGAGAGAATCAAGGAGCTAGAGAACGAGCTCGCCGAGGTAACCAGTAACCCACACTACCGAACACTCGCTCATGTTGCGTAGTTGACAGAAAACCTCGCTCAGAAGAAATCTCAGGTCGAGGAGTTGACGGCAGCACATTCGAACGTGAAGGATACGCAGACAGCGCTGCAGACGGCTCTTACGAACTCAGAAGAGCTGTTACAGACACTGCTCACGGGTTTGACATCCAAAGGAACAAGCAACTCTGGCGGTGGCTACATGGGGCAGCTCGCAGACGCGAAGGCCCGACTGGCGCAGGCCAACACCGAAGAAGAGCAGGGCAAGCAGAGGCTTGTCATGAGTCAGAAAGAGCTCAAGACGTTAGAGTCGCGGTGGAAGGAGGTCGAGCGCGAAGCAGGTGAAGGGCAGAAGCGGCTCAAGGCCATGCAAGCCGAAGTCGAGAGTTTCCGGAGCAAGGTCGCCCAGGCTGGATGGAGCCAGGAGAAGGAGCATGAAGGCGAGCTAGCGCTGAGAAACGCCAAAGCGGAAGTCCGGCAGGTGACGGAGGTCAGTGTCTCTGCATAGGCACTCACCGCCGCCTTGACACCGCATTCTACAGGACCGTGATAGAGTGAGGAATCGAGTGTCAAACTTGGACTTCGAGTTCACTTCACCGTCACCGAACTTCGACCGCACCAAAGTCAAGGGCCTTGTAGCGAACCTCGTCTCCTTGAGGCAGGAGGATTATAACAAATCTACCGCTCTCGAGATCACAGCAGGTGGTAGGCTTTATAACGTAGTCGTGGCCACCGAGCAGGTCGGCAAGGAGCTTTTGCAGAACGGTCGGCTGAAGAAGCGCGTTACTATCATCCCGTTGAACAAGATCGATAGCCGCACGATATCTGCCTCAGTCCGTCTTCACGTCAGTCTCCGTGCTTCAATACTGATTGTATCCTCGCACGCAGAAAGTCCAAGCCGCAATGAGACTTGCCCCTGGCAAAGTTCGTCTCGCCATGGAGCTCGTCGGTTATCCTGATGAAGTCGCCAACGCCATGGCATTCGTGTTCGGCAATACCCTCATCTGCGACGATGCGGAGTCTGCCAAGCTGGTGACCTTCTCTCGAGAATTAGGTGGCGTCCGATCTGTAACCCTCGATGGCGACGTCTACGACCCCTCGGGCATGCTCAGTGGTGGTTCGGCGCCAAGTGGCAACGGCACTCTCATCAAGGTTCAAGAATTACTGGAAGTCGAGGGCAAGCTAGGTGAGGCGCGTGGCCGGCTTCAGATACTCGAACAGCAAGAGCAACGGGACAGGGCAGGCCGAGAGAAGTGGAAGAGTCTTGCACGGGAGCTTGAGATCAAGGAGCATGAAATGCGACTCCTTGAGGAGCAAGTCGGTGGCAGCAACGCGGCGAGGGTAAGTCTGATCATCGCTTCCGAGATGAACATCACTTGAAGCTCTCATACGTAGGTTGGCGCTGAGGTCGAGAAGATGAAGGCCAACATCGCAGAGCTCGCTGCTGCAGTAGAGACCGCGAAGCAGAAGCAGAAAGACGGCAAGGATGAGATCAAGAAGCTCGAGAGGGATATGGACGAGTTCAAGAACAACAAAGAAGGAAAGATTGAGGAATTAAAGGTTCGTCAAGTGTTTGCGTTGCTTTTGTCGAAGCCCACCTTCATGTCTTCCTCAGGCCGATGTGTCGAAGCAGAAAGCAGCTCTCCAGAAACACTCAGTGACGGTGAAGACCCAGCAGAAGGAACTTCAAACCGCCTCCTTGGAGCTTGGTATGCGTATCGCTATATGAGAATGGCTGCAAGTCTGATATAGTCGGTAGAGCAACTTGAAAAGGATATTGAGTCCTCAAACGAGAATATCGCTGAAGCACGAGCTGGCGTGGACAAGCTTGGACGAGAGTTGGAGAAACTCAAGAAAGAGCTGTCGAAGAGCGAGGTTCCTCTAGTTTTGTGCATGCTAGTGCACTAGACTGATACCTCGTACATAGGACTCCTTCAAGAAGGCAGAACGGAAGCTGCAGGAGGAACGTGCTACCTTGTCGCGTTTCGACAACGAGATCAAGGAGCTCGAGCGTGTGGTGAAGGAGAAGAAACAAGCCATCGTGGACGCGGATTTGCAACTGAAGAAACTTGAACACGACTTGCAGGCCCTTGCGAAAGAGAAGACGGCCGCTACCAACTTCATCGCCAACCTGGAGAAACAGTACGACTGGATTGTTGAAGAGCACGAGTGCGCCAGTTGTGTCATACGCACCGGCAATATCTGATAGAATGTCGCAGGTCTTTCGGCAAACCCGGCTCTCAGTATGACTTCACGGACGTCGACATCAATCGCCTGAGAGAGAAGGCGAAGGAGATCGAGTCGCAACAGAAGGGCATGAAGAAGAAAATCAACCCGAAGGTCATCAATATGATCGATACGTGGGTCTGAGACTTGTCAAGTGTTGACCTAACCTAACACATGTGGTGAACAGCGTCGAGAAGAAAGAAGCGGCGCTGAAGAAGATGCTCGGAACTGTACTGAAGGATAAAGAGAAAATCGAACAGACCATTGAAGAGTTGGATCGCTACAAACGTGACGCTTTGGAGAAGACATGGAGTAAAGTGAATGGGTATGGGAAAGCGATCCTCGCTCCAAGCACTCGCGTTGATTATGTGCTCTTGCAGTGACTTTGGTGGCATATTCGCTGAATTGTTGCCGGGGAACTTTGCCAAGCTGCAACCTCCGGAAGGCCAAGATCTAACGCAAGGCCTCGAGGTTAAGGTACAACTAGGCTCGGTCTGGAAGCAAAGTCTCACAGAGCTAAGCGGTGGACAGCGGTACATTGTCACTGGAGCTTCCGATGCTCGTTGTGCTAATCATGGCTTTCACTCAGTTCGCTCATCGCACTTTCCCTCATCATGTCGCTACTGCAGTTCAAGCCCGCCCCGATGTATATCCTCGACGAGATCGACGCCGCGCTCGATCTCTCTCACACGCAGCACATCGGGCAACTCTTCCGGACAAGGTTCAAGGGCTCGCAGTTCATTGTAGTTTCGCTCAAGGAGGGACTGTTCACGAATGCGAACGTGCTCTTCCGAACGAGGTTCCGCGACGGCACCTCGATCGTCGAACGCACTGCACAGCGGTCGACCTCTTCACTCTACTCAGCAGGAGATGGCGAAGACGACGATGGGCGAGCACCGCGGCGCGTGCGTGCTGGACGGTAGTGTTGTGTGAGCATATGTACTCTGTAGCTTGTGTTGTATTGTTTCCTGTTCTACTATCCTCCTGGTGTATCGCTTGCCCCGTAACTTATTGATATTGGCGGTTGTGTTGGCTCTTAGTGCCGGTGTAGGTATGGATGTCCCGCCAAGGCGCGATTATTTCGAGCGTAGCACCAACCAAGTACGAGCCAACGCCAACGCCCTGCAGGACTCCATCATCTCCTGACACGACTGATGCAACTGTCATAGCACGCAACTACAGATTACAATTATTGTTTTTCGAACATATGCTGTAGCTCCTGGGCTGCTTGGCGCCGAAGCTTGTACAACGTAGTCGTCGAGATAGACGGCCGGTACTTAAGCCATGCACGAAAGTACAGTTAGTCAATATTAGTTAGCTGGGGTAAGTATATACGGGCTCTCCAAGGTTGTTGGTAGTACATCAGTGAGTTGTGCGGTCTTGGATTGGCAACGACCACCAAGGCTTGACATGCAACAGGTGCAGCCAGCCTCAGTACTCGCGGCCTACTATGTCTGCTCAGACGGGACTATTGAGCACCCCTTCCGCAGCGACGACCCTTAGCTACAACCCACCTCAATCGTCCGACATGGCGTCGAAGCTGAACGCCGCCTTGTCGGCCGCGCTCCACTTGTCAAGATCCCAGATGGGTGGCCCACGCAGAGGCACTGTCTGGGTCTCGGAGAGATAATCCTTGTACTCCTTCCACACGCGCGCCAGTGCGAAGTCCCCGTCCTTCTTGTCCTCTGCCAGTTCTTTTCCGCCGTGCCACCAAGGTTTGTCGTCTTCCTCTTCATCATCATCATCGTCGTCGTCATCTCCTTCGCTGAAACCCTTACGATCTTCTTCGGGGAGCGTCATGAGCCACGCCTTGTGACGCGCCTCATGCAGAGCGCGGGCCTCGGCGCGCGGGGTATTATCAAAGAGCCGTTTGCCAATGCCCTGGCAGACCCGGTCGAATGCCGAGCCCGCGTTGATCCCCTGCGTCGCCTGGCAAAGGCTCGTCGCAGCCTTGAGCAAGTACTCCAGCGAGGGGTACCTCTCGGGCGTGAGCTCGCCGTTCTTCTTCAGCGCGCGAAGGGTGGCGACGAGGCACGCGCCGTACGCGCGGACCATCAGGTCTACATGCTCTCCGTCGTCGGCCACTGGAGAGGTAAGGTTAGCCCGCACGCAGGGTAAGAGAGAAACAGTACGCACTGCCCCATATATTCTCCATCTCCATGAACTGGGTGAGCGCCTCGAGGTGCGCCATCGCATTGGGCCAGTCCTTCTTCGTGATGCGAGTGTGGAGCGTACCAAGACGCCTATCAATAATATCTATCACCGCATACGCGTAGAAATCTGTAGAAAAAACCGTGTCAGACACGCCGGGAGGTCCTCTCAAGGGCGACACCGACCGTTGTAGATGTACATGTCGTGCAGATCGGGGTTGCGGTTGTCCGCCTGCTTGAACGCCGCCATCGCGAGTTCCTTGCCCTACTCGGAGATCAAAGTGTCATTGTTAAGGAACGTGTACCCCGCGGGGAGGACGGACGTCTGGCTTTGCTGTCGTGATTGGGTGGTTAGCATGGGTGGCACGTTCTGAATGCAAATGAGCTGTACATACAGCTGTAGACATATCGACGAGAGAAAGTAGCAATAAGTATCGCTCGCGTTGTTTTCGAGAGACGGGGTGATGGTCTTGTCTGAGAGGCACGCGAATATTCTGGCGCCTGTAGGGCTCCAAATGATGTCTTGAAATACGAAATGCGCGTCGCGCTCGACGCGAATCAGCGATCAAACACGTGACCGTATCTCGAATCTTGAGCCTGGCAGTGGCAACATCCTGAGAGCTCAGAGCAACACAGGTCGGACTGTCGTAGTCTGCCCAGGCTAGTCAATGCTCATTTTTTAACGTCTCTCGAGCGTGGTCTGATGCGTATGAGCAGTACTTGCTCTCTGTGGGGTCCGAGATCCGTCAATAACAGTAGATGGGCATCGCGACTTGCCAGGGAAATTCCCCGTCCTGAGACTGCATAGGCACGTATGGCTGCCTGAAGTTCAAACGTCACTGACATCCCACCGTCAGAGACTCTACATAAATCACTCCGTGACACTGAGATGGACCACACCCCTTTCTACCCACGGTGCGAGTATTGTGTTGAACTCAGACTCCCATCCTCCAGAGCTCGACATCACAAGCATACTGAAATTAGCCCCGGTAATGCGGGCATACGCCGGGCTCCTAAGAGTCTCATGCAGAGGTTTGAGAGCGGTCGCATCGGGCACTGGCTGATCCTCCAGTAACGCTAGCATGTGGGTGATGCCTGTAACAGCCTGAGAGTGAGTATAGACACGCTGCAGCTCAACAATGACCCACTAATGCTTGTCATGCGTAAACTGGGAATGCTCTTCAATACGCCCCGTAGCCGGTCCGCAAATGATTGCCAGCCAAATGCTGGGAGCAGCGCGAATTCGACGTGCGTCAAATTTACGTTGTGGGACAGGTCGTATTGGCTTATGCATGCTGTCGACATCGTATTCGCCATCGAGATTAGTACAGATCACGGAAACAATATGGATTGATCGACAGGACGCACCGTCAGTGAGCCTGAGCACTTTCAAGGCTGGTCCAATAGTTCGGAGAAGATGGTTGACCTGCTCGACGAAGTCTTCCGCAGTACGGCGTCGGCTCATCGATTCCGACAATGTCAGCTGTGACAGCGATTCGCAGAGAGAACTGTTGGCAAGCCAGCGGATGAGGTAATTTTCTTTGTTGGGCTGACCGCCCATGCTGCGAAGGCTGATCCACAGCTCTTGAAGTCGGGTAGAGTTCGGGACAGACGTCTGCCAGAAAGGCATATCCTCCAGTGGGGTCCCAAGTGGAGACCCTTTGCGCCCGAAGTTCACGTTGGTGATCTCCAGAGACTTGAGATTAGGCAACGCAGAGATAAGGCGTCGCAGTTCATGGAAGTTGACGACCCACAGCGTAGTCAGATCCAGACGATCAACGCTGCTGAAACTCCTCAGCACCCTGATGAAACTTGGATGGAGTGGACCACTGAGTCCGGTTATAACAATCTCCGTCAGGGACGGAAGCACCTTTGCGAAGACGTGCGGAAATGTCGACAAGAAACTATACTGGTGGAATTCCGCCTTGCGTGTCACCGCTAGTTGCGCCTTTACGCGCGGATTGGTGAGCACCAGCCGCATGAGTATCGCGACTCTCCTGCGGCTCCAGAACAAGACCTCCTCGTAGAACACCTTGATCGCAAAGGGGTACCATGCGCGACAGACCAAAGCCGCCGCATATGCACCGCTTGAGCCCGGTTTCATGAAACCGGCAATACGCTCCTGCACCTCCACAGGGACTCGGGTAGACGCACGCGACGAAACGGTCTGCGTTGAGGTGGTCGGCACTGCGCGATCGGCGGGGAATTGTTTCGTTGCGTCAAGCGCAGCTGCTCCCCGCATCAGTGCGCCCTCTTGCAAGTCTCGGCTGAGCACGATATCCATGCTTGCGTGGGGAATCGGAGACGAGACCGTATGTTGTTCGGACCTACGTTGATAGAATTCAGCAAACGAAGGACTCGGATGGTCATAAGTACCTAGCGATGGCGTACATGGATTCGATGTCGAGCGTCGGCCAAACGAGAGGTGGGTCAACGGCGGTCGTTGACAAGCTATGAATCTTGAGCTGAGTCCCCCATTGCGCGCATGATAAGGATAAGGATTGAGAGGAAGCCGAGCCATAGTCTCACAGGTACCATGCGGCAACACTTCGAGGGCCAGAAGTGCAAAGTATTCGTCCAGAACAGCTTTGTGGACGAGTTCTCAATCAGATACGCCAGAACTGCAGAGTCGAGACTCTCGCCGCGCCGGATGAGCAAAACATATCTGCGCAGACCGGTTACAGCATAGGAGCTTCAGGCATGTAATGACGACCTGGTATTTCGACCATCAGCACCAAGCAGCAAGCAAAAGTTACAACATATGCACTGGCGCACCTCCAGTGAGTATGACAGGCAAACGACACACGACCAATTGGAGCCTCAAATCATCTGCGGCTGTACTTAACATCTACATCGATACGTTATCGTGAGGAGAATCCGCAACTTGCACTGCATCACGGCATGAACGCCTTTCATCTGGCCATGGCGGGCCATCTTGGGTCGCGATGAATGGTCATCCATCCGGAACTACTTACACCACCACGCACGGAGGAGTTGAGAAACGTATGTGGGTCACATCCGTCAGAGGGTCTTCGTGACGAATCGATACTGATATTTTTGCAGCGTAGCTGATACTATCAGACAGCGAGTCCGTACACATCTGGCCAGACACATTCGACGTACAATTTAAGCCTCCGAGTCAAATCTGCTCGCGCGGTGTACGACACCGTGACAGCGGAGAACTGAGTGGCTGGGACATCAGGTTGGCCTAAGGACGACGAGTGGTCAGACAAGGCAATCCTGATCAGAGGTGCACTGGGGTGCGACCGAACTCAACACGGACAAGTGCCAGACAAAGGCACGAAGGTCGAAGGAAATTAGGAAATTGTCTAACTTACTTACGAGTGTGGCCTGGCACGAAACGCCCGGCCCGGCCTCGGACTACATCCATATCGGGCAACCGTAGTAATTGGGGTTTGAACTGACGTTCTACAGCCAGCTAAGTACAGGATTCCGGCTATGTCGACTGGTAAGCACTTCATCGACACTACCATCTCTAATGGATTCATCCCATACCGAACCCACTAGTACTATGCTACAATCTGAGGGACAGCCCGGGGCTCATTCGGCACACTTCCTCGCATCGCTCGGCTTACCAGTGTCCGTTCAACATGGTTCCGGCAGCTCTCGGTCCTCTGCAGACGATTTCAGTACCATCCCCAGCTCGTTCTGGCGTCTCCTTTCGGCCACAACTACTCAGCCAGACGTTGAATTGCTGCGAGGCTATTTCGAAGCAATTCGCCTGCTGCAGAAGGTCTGGGTGGAGGCTGACCGAGATGGATTCGTCGTGAAGGTGAAGCTCTCCTTTCCTTTGTCTCGAGTTGCAGTGTCATTATGGGCTAATATACAGAACGTCAGGTCATTGAGGATATCGATGGACATCGCTTTTGGTTGTTGCAGGATCGACTCGACGACAGTTGGGAATGGGAATTAAGCGAACAGGACCAACGTCTCAGGCAGTGGGTGGCGTTCATTAGGTGCATAAGGTGCGTGATGCGATATCTTCTGCCGTGTACAATGGAGCTTACTCGCTGCAGGATGGATTTTCCAGGCACCGACCTTTACAGAGGACTGCTGCTCCATAATCACGCGGCACATGGCGCAGGCTGAGCGACTGGCCCGCAGGCCGTGCACTTCACTCGTCGGCCAGGACCATAATCAAGGGCCCTGATGTGCAATCCTGCATGAAGTTCTGTGTCGTGGGCAGCGATACAGTTCACAACGAGGATTATGATGGACCCGTGTTCACCACCCCTGGAACGGAGGTCTTCATGTGTGTAGTAGCTCAATCGAGGGAAGAATTCATCTACCAATTGAAGAAGGTATGCAATCCCGAGTCGTGACCCCGTCGTGACCGTAAGTTTGTGCTGATGCGCAGAACAGATCTCGCATGTTCTGGGATCCCTACCTAAGCTCCAGGGGGTTTTCGTTGCCCTCGTCGCTCGCGTCGGGCGCGATATAGCCATGGATATTGCCTTCCACACTTCCAATAGGCCGAATGGCGGCCATGTTGCCCCTGTGGAGCTTGCTGTCCTTGCATACCATCGTGACGAATTCAACACCTTCAAGGAAACTGCGACCACATGCAAGAGCATGGAGGACTGGGAGCGGCAGAAGAACTTCATGGTACGTCTGCTCACCGGGTATCGGACTCCATTTCTGGCCTTCTGACGTCCAACCAGAGGTTCCAACGCTTCTCCGGCCGGGACGAGATGGACACAACTCCTGTCGAGGGCTGGTCTCACTTCCAGAACTTCATCAAAGCTGTCGTCGAGTCCTACTCCGACACGACCCCGCGACCCTTCTTTTCCACGGCCAAGGCACAGGATTGCGCTCGCCACTCTATCTACCAATGGCTCCCTTCCGACATCGTACTGCGGCTCAACCAGGCAGTCGAACAGACCATGGAGGATTACACGGAGGGCTATCCAAGGGGACTCGGTAAGACGCATTTGCTGTTTTCCCAGCCCCCGTACTACGATGATGGTCTGTTTCGTTACGAATTCTATGCACCCTTGTGATTGAATGGGATGTGAATCTATATATGCATACGATCACGAGAGGAATTTCGATGGATGGACGACTCTAGTGGTACGCGTGGCACGGACTCCATCGCATCCGCCCCCAGTGACTCGAGCATCGCGGCCAATTCAACAATGCTTCACCATGGTCGAACGGCAACCACGAAGCTCTCGGTCAAGACCAGGTGAGAAGCAAGCGGTATCTACTCTACAAGAGGCGTGAACGTGGGAACGCGAGACAAACGCTAAGACAAACATTGGAGACAAGAAGACGAGACAAGAAGCAAGAGACAAACGCTAGAGACATTCTCATTGGCTGAGAGACGGACGCCCGAACGCTGCCCGAGCCTCTCAAGCGCTCCGAGCTCGCGCTAGCCGCAACACCTACCGGTTACCTGGCATCCTTCCCCTTTCAAATTACACTCAGACTTACACTCAGACGCACTTAAGTTGACTTCTCGCTCTGGCATGGGAGGGCGCGGACCAGCAGGGCAGCTGTAAGGCACAGAAATCAACGAGCAACGGGCAATCAAAGAAGGACGAGGATGACACAGACAAGCAAGGTGACGAGAACGAGGGGGTCAGCCAGTGCCTTCACGAGTGACATGAGGGCACCGAGCGCAGCGATGGAGACGGGTACCGTGAGTGCAGACACAACGCGAGTGAGCTCGCTAACTGCAGGTACAGGACGCGGTGACGTGCAGCATAACGCACGACGCCCGCAGGGCCAATGCCCCATGCAGACATGGCCGACGAACGGGCCGCGGGTGCATGACCGAAGGAGTCGTAGGGATGGGAGAATGGGCAGGCGCAGGGCGCAGTCGCCGTGGCTTCATGAAGTGCGACGCACACGCCGACCGCGAGCGCACCGGGCGAATGCCCAGCACGCAGACACGGCCGGCGAACGCGCGCAGAGCGAGCCGCCGAACAGGTGAGCAGGCGTGGACAAACAATCGGACGGGCAAGCAAGCGAGTGGATAGGCGGGAGAGCGGCCGCTCGGGTAGGCGAGCGGGCAGGCGACATCACACTGGCACACCCTAGACCTTGAGCGCGCCAGGCGGACACCCACTGCGCGCAGACACGGCCGACGGACGCGCACACAGGCGGGCGACCGGGCTCCCAAGCGGGCCGCGACACGCACAGCAAACGCGAGGGCGAATGCCCGGCGGGCATGCAGGGCAGAAACACAGCGGACTCGCGGATCACGGGCGCGCGCCGCGGGCGTAGGTACGAGCAGAGAGGGCCAGCAGACGGCAGGCGCGGACGAGAGCGAGTGGGCAGGGAGGGACGAACAGCTGACAGAGACGGGCGAGGATGAAGGGATGAGATGGGCGAGGATGAGGGTGAACGAGCAAGGTCGAGCGAATGTCAGGTACGACGCGGCGCGGCATTACCGATGATGCAAGCACAACGCGCACGAGTCCGAGTTAGAGAGTAGCCACCCGGAGGCCATGAGCATAGGTGCGCTGCAAGTTTGAATATCCTCGAAGGTCTGCTATTGATCAATGGCATCGTGCTCTCCCTTACTGCTGTGCGGAGAAACAGGGGTTGAACGTTGAAGGCATATTCATTACAATAGTACCACCCGAAAGTAAGAGCGAGCTTCGGGAGACAGACAGACTTACTAGCTTGCCAGCAGTCGATGGGGTAGTCCGACTCGGAGAGGCCATGGGCATGGGTGTGCTGCATATCACCCATTCTGTGTTGCGCCCCCCTTACTGCTGCTCGGCCGGGGAGCCAAGTGTCAGTCGAGGCAGATCCACCCGAACAGTCGGTATTCCACAGACTGGCATGGGGCCACGAAGCCGACTCCCGAAGGGAGACGGCTGAGTGGCCTTTCAACTTCACTCTTACAGAAGTCGCCTACCCTTGCAAATTAATACAGTCATAATATTTGAGTGCTTTCGCCTCGCCGTGAGCTCGAAGCTGTAGATAATGTATCTGACTCAGAGATATACTGACAATCGAACCGTGACGCCGCACACCTGTAGCGGAGCACGGGCATCGGCTAGTCTACTCTACAAGAGGCGTGAACGTGGGAACGCGAGACAAACGCTAAGACAAACACCAGAGACAAGAAGCAAGACAAGAAGACGGGACAAACGCTAGAGACATTCTCATTGGCTGAGAGACGGACGCCCGAACGCTGCCCGAACCTCTCAAGCGCTCCGAACTCGCACAACCGTTCAACGTTCAACATTCATATTCAATATTCAATATTCAACACTGAATCTCTATGTACCACCCTTCACCACTAGACTCGCGCGCGACACTCGAGTTCAACTCTCGCTCTGGCATGGGAGGGCGGGACCAGGAGGTCAGCGAGCGCAGTGATGGAGACGACCATCGTGAGTGCAGACACCCGCGAGTGAGCGGGCTAACTGCAGGCATAGGACGCGACGCCGTGCAGCACGACGATCGAGAGCATGCAGGCATGACCGACGAACGAGCGGCGGGCGGACGAGCGAGCTAGCGAGCGGCACACGCCGACCGTGAGGGCAAATGCACAGCACGTAAACAGGGCCGACGAACGGACGGCGGGTGCATGAGCGAAGGAGCCGGAGGGAAGGGGGAATGAACAAGCACATGGCGCAGTCGTCGTGGCGGCATGAAGGGCGACGTGCACGCCGACCGTGAGCGCGCCGGGCGAATGTCCAGCACGCAGACACGGCCGACGAACGCGCACAGAACAAGCGGGCAGGCGGGCGAGCCTGTGGGCAGAAGAGCAGGCGTGGATGGGTAACTGGACGGGCAAGTAAGCGAGTGGATGGCCGGGAGAGTGTGCGGGCGAGCAGGTGAGTGGGCAGGCGACATCACACTGACACACCTCGACCGTACTAAGTGTGCTGGGAGAACACCCACGGTACGCAGACACGGCCGACAGACACGTATACGCAAGCGGGCGAGCGGCCTACAAGTGGACTACAACATGCATAGCTCAGACGAGGGCGAATGCTCGGCTCCCATGCAGGAGTACAAAGCCCCCACGTGAAGTGCAGCTGACTTGCGGACCACGGGTGAGCCGTAGCTACGTGCAGGGAGGGCCGGCAGATGGCGGGCGCGCATGGGAGCGAGTGGGCAGGGAAGGGTGAATGGCTGGCAGAGACGGGTGAGGACGAGGGGATGAGATAGGCCAGTATGAGCAAGGACGAGCGAACGTCAGCTACGACACGCGGCAATACCGAGGATGCAAGCACAACGCGCGTTCGAGTCTGCTTGAGCCCATTGTGTCGGACGCGGCGCATGGGAACGCTCGACACACCATTCTGCATCTCACGTGGACGATGACGAATAGCGAGCAACAAGTATGTGAGCCGTCAGGTTCCTTTAGTCCGAATTATGGTTCTGCTTTGGTTCTGCTGAACTTACTGTATGCTTCTACCGTGACAACCGCCCGCATCACCACACCGACACGCTGACTACGATTCCGCAGGCATTCCTACGCTCCTCCCGCTCTGGGTCATGATTGCATGCAAAGTACATGCCCATATCGGGGCAACACCATCCACTCCTTACCTACCACTGCAGTGATGAGGCACTTCCCTGGGTGCATTGATATGGTCTGCGAGCGACTATGGCTGTCGATCGGTGCGTCTGCGTGGTCTAACAGCTGCTCACGAAGGCGAATTTGTATCGCTGACATATACGTTCGACCTAAGTTAGTGATGTTTGTTTCGGGTGACTCGTGGAGTTCATCGCCCACAGACTGTACCGAGTGCTACAGCGGGTGCAGTTACCAGCGAGTATGCACCCAATGAGAGGAGCACGGCGAGCAAGAGTCGCGCCGGACGAGCGCGCGAACCCAGAACCCCAGTGACTAACAGCATGACGAGGACATCGCCGACTCAGCGAGCAACGGCACGGGCGAATGAGAGGAGAGCAAACATGGTATGTAGAGCGAGCTTCTGGAGGCAGACAACGATTCACCAGCTTTCCAACACCTGATAGGGTAGTCCGACTCAGACTCCGGAGAGGCGATGGGCATGGGCATGCCGTACGTGACATCTGCATATAACCCATTCTCTGTTACACTCTCCCTTTACTGCTGCCCGGGGAGACAGGCGCCAGTCGAGGCAGATCCACTTACCTCCGAGCAGTCGGTATACTATCACACAGACTGGCATAGGGCCGCGAAGCCGACTCCCGGAGAGAGGCGGCTGAGTGGCTTATCGACTTGCAGTTTTTTTTTTTTCACAGAAGTCGCCTACGCTTGCGAACTAATGTCATTCACTCGGAGACATATGTACAATTGAACGCCGCAGACCCGTAGCGGAGCACGGGCATCGGCTAGTGGGCAACATATTTTTACGCATTTGCAAACGCACTTAACGTTCAGATTGTGATCTGACATGCCGCGGCGCTTATAGTACGCTCACAGTTCCGGCGCTACAGCAGTACCCGTCAGTCACGGTACCATCATCTCAGTATGACCAAATCGCTCACTGCTTCCTTGCGAATAGTGGCTGCCGACACTCCCTGACCTGGCGCTGTGGATCTGCTAACGTCCACCTATGCTCGTGGATTCCACCTACCTGGATGAGAGGATACAGTGCGCTCCCACTGGCGCGGCCGGCCCGGACCGCACTCTGACCGTGTCACGACAGACCTCCCGTGTGTCCACGCCTCCGAGGACGACGATTCAATTCATGATGCATTCTCACAGACGGCTGCTGCAAAATCTGTCGTGTGGGACCCTGCCGTACTCTCCTGGACGCTATATAATGCGAACAGAGCTCCCGGTCCGTCCGGCAACAGGAAGGGCGTTCTCCTGAGTCTAGGTATGATCATTATGCCACCGCTATGCTCGATGACCCTGCGATCTCTGGCTTGCCTCGGATTCGCGTGTCTTTGCCTTTGCGCGTCTCTTGACTATAATCGTGCAGCATGCCAGTACCCCACGAGCGATCCTCTCGAGGGCTGTCCTGCCGGGACGATCCTCGCAGGCCCTTCCTCCAACTATACCACCATCCAGGCGGCGGTTCGAAGTCTCCCGGACGATACAACGCCACAGATTATCCTCGTCGCGTCCGGAAACTACACGGAACAGGTCAACGTTACGCGGCTCGGGCCCGTGACAATACTCGGGCAGACCACCGCTCCCAACGATCGCACGCAGAACACCGTCGGCGTTTACTGGGCAGAGGTCGCTGGCCCCAACGACAATGCGCGCACGAGCACGTTGACCGCTGCGCCTGCCGGTGCGCCGTATGGGAGCACGGACTTCCGCGTGTACAACATGGACTTCATAAATGACTACGCGCCGTACTCGGACACCCCCAGCCTCGCTCTCGACGTGAGCTATGCGAACGCGAGCTTCTACTACACTGGATTCTACAGTTACCAGGATACGGTAGGGTGGACCCACGTTGTAAAATCGTATCCAGATTGACCTAACTGCATTGTTCTTAGATCTACGTCGGCGAGCTAGGGAACGCGTACTTTTACGACAGCGAGATCGCTGGACAGACCGACTTCTTCTATGGCTACGGCACAGCGTGGATCCAATCGTCGCTCGTCACGATGCGCTCGTGCGGCGGCGGGGTGACCGCCTGGAAGGGCACGAATACGACCTTCGTCAACAAGTATGGCGTCTACATCCACGACTCCGCCGTCATGAAGGAAAACAACACCCTTAGCATCGCCGGCGAGTGCGCGCTCGGGCGGCCCTGGGTACGTCCTCTGCCCGTCCTCCCCCTTCTCTTCCTCCGCTGACGACGGCGACGCGCAGAACGCGCAGATGCGCGCGATCTTCGCGCACTGCTACCTCGACGACAGCATCCGCCCCGCGGGCTACATCCAGTGGCAGCCCACCGATCCGCGCATCGACTACAACACCACCATGGCGGAGTACCAGAACTTCGGGCCGGGGTTCAACCTCACGGGGCGCATCGAAGGCAAAGTGACGCTGCTCATGACGGAGCTAGAATACGAGCCGTATTCGACCGTCGAGCAGGTCTTCCAGTATCCGCCGGACGGGGAGTTTGGGAATGTCGGTTGGATCGATGTCGAACCTTGGAGCTACCGCGAGTAGACGTTCACTGGCACGGTCGTCCGTACAACGGCGAATTATGCTATGGCGGTGTTCAATATTCAACCAAAGTTGGTGCGATAAAGCTAGTGCTCAGTCGGTTGGAATTTTTGAAGTACTTGGTACCAACCAATTGAACAAGCCGCTTCTTCGGAATGTATTCCGACTCATTATATTATTCGGGTGCACGAGGTACCAACTGAGGATGTCAAGGAATGTAAAATTTGTGTCGTACACATCGACAAATCGTAAGTGTGTGCACATCGAGTCGTCGACCTCTTCGGCATGATTGCACCACCAACCGACAAAATGAAATGCCACGTACCCGGGTCGAACGAGTGACCTTCGCATCTCAGCAGGCAAGAGAAGATTGCAGTGCTACAAGTGCGACGCGCTACCACTACGCTAACGCGGCGTTACAGCATTGTTGCCAATTGGCCATTACAACTTGGGCAAGTGGGAAGGTAGCGATTGCACCGACGGTCAGCGCTTCAGCGCCAAGTTAGCGCGTTGTGCCGTCTTCCGACTCTTCGTCGACACCCATCCTCGCGAGATGTTTGGGCTCTGGATTCTATTTTCTCAAGCAGTTCGCTGTGTGATTCCACCGCCGCGGCACACTTGTCACGCCGAGGTCCCATCTGATTTGAAGCAGTCGTCGCATAACGCAGCCCGAATCTCCTGTTGAGGTCGCGCCGCGATCTCGATCTCAGCCACCGGGCACGTGACATACCGCCGGGGGCGGTTCGTCTTCTCGTCTCTCCTCCTCCCTTTCCCTCAGTCGATGTTGTACCGCGACTGAGGTAAGGTCTCTCACATTACTATACGACGATCTAGTACTGACTACCTACGCAGCGTCTGACCGTCTGTCTAGGTAGATCAATCTCAGTCGATGTTGTACCGCGACTGAGCGTCTGACCGTCTGTCTAGTCTCTACAGGTTATGAGCCCCGGGCGGTATTTTTGATCCCGCCCGCTTACCTGAGACTTCGTTTCGGCTTTTCAGACCCGGAACAACCTCGAGGCACCCATCAACGTGTGCTAACCCCGCTTTTACCCCGCATATAGTCGCTCTGCCGGCCAATGACAATTACCCCGACCTCGAGTCCCAGGGTATCGGTGCCCAAAACGCCGAGAAAGCAATCGGAACTATCTCCGGCGCCAAAGATGGATCTCAAGGCGACCCCCAGAGAGAAGATTACGCTCCTCCACGTCCCGTCGTCCCTGCTCAGCGGCGGAGTCATCCTCGACCGCAAAAAGGACAACTGGTACGACTGGAAGACCTACATTGAAAATTCTCTCAAGATCTGCTTCGCCTGGGGGTACCTATCCGGTGATGAGATCGCTCCATCTGTCGACGACGACCCCAGCTCCGTCGTGAACTTCCGACGCAACGAGCAGGTGATCATCGCCTTGCTCAGCTCGAAGGCGGTAAAAGAAGAGCAACGCTTCATCGCTCGGTTCACGGACGCACGCGCCCTGTGGGTCGCCCTCTGCGCTCGACACGAGAAGCAGCCTGGCGCATACGCTCAGGTCCGTCTTCTTCAGGACTTCCTCGCCTGTCGCTATACCGCCGAAGAGCACTTCTCGGAGACGACCACACGCCTCCAGGAGCTGGCCGAGCGTATCTTTCATATCGGCATCCCGAATCTCGAGGTCTTCATGACCATCGGCATGCTCAACTCCATGAATGGCTACCTCACCCATCTCCAGTCGCAGGTCGGTTCGTCACTCACGGCGTCAGCTACTTCGGGCATTCCCTACACGTCCTTCGACATCGCTGCCCGCCTCGACCTTGAGCAGCGGCTCCTCTCCGACAGCAAGGCATCCTCGTCCGCCACGGCTCTCGCCGCCTATTCGAAGCCCGGGAAATCGACGTCGTCGCAGAAAACGTGCACTAACGCCAAGTGTCCGCGTCCGAACGGCCACACCGCTCCTGTAACGTGGATACGTTACATTCACGTATTTACCATATCCGGACATATCATGTATCTACGATCGCGTGCGTAGGCGCCGTCCCTTAAGGGCGGCGCCAGCGAGTGTGGGAGCCAGCTCTCTTACACTCGTCACCGATACCGCACCACTCTGGAATAGAGACTGGGTGCAGCGTATCACGGCGTGAGTAAGGGGGCGCCACACTTTTTTACGCTCCTTCGAAAGCTCGAACTTCTACACAGAAGTGCGTGCGGTCGAATACGACGTTGAACACGTCGAGCGCGATCAATCAACCAATAACCTCACTCCATCACGGAGTACGACAGAACAGGCAGGCCGCTACCGCAACGAGATAGCCGCGGCCGCTTTCAACGGAAAGCATCAACAATGACGACGAGCCCGTCGTCACTGAATGCCCCGAAAGGCAACCCCAGTGATGAAGCCTCGACCAGTAAGGTCGAGACATCATCGCAACCACATGGTGCCTCTTCGTCCCCTTCTATTAAGAAGGAGCGTGAGGACCTAAGGCCCGAAGAAGGGAAGAGTGCGCCTGTGAAGGAGCACTCTGTGGGTGCGACGGCGGAACCGCGCAAACCACGGTCACGAACGTCCAGTGCGACTGGCTCCCGCGCAGGATCCCGTAAGGGATCCCGCAAGGCAGGACAGACACTGGACTTTCTCGATGGGTTCAGGAGAACCCTGGGCGAGCTCCGCGAGGAGCTGCACCAAAAAACCAGCAACTTAGAAACTAAGTTGAACGCAGCCTTAGGTGAGGCTGATAAGCAGATAGCGAACATCCGCGCCCAAGAGGCGGCCGCTGACGACACCGATGTCGTGAGCGACGCTGAGTCTATACAGACTCCATGGGCTGGTGAAGAGGTACCTCCAGAGGAGGTACCCCGACCAGAGGACCAAGAAGACCCGGTCCTCAAGGCAGCGACAGAGGCGCTTAAGTCCCCTCGACAGAAGGGTGAATCGGAGGAGGCATACCTACGTCGTCGAGCGGCAAGCGCACGCATACCGTCGGCGACGACGACTACGACCTCAGGTAGTAGTCGAAAGGTAAGGTCGCCGTACCGAACGTCGGGGCCGGAATATGATAGTATCCACTATCACTACCGCCCTCACCACCCATCGTCCCCGCCGACGAGAGCACCACCTCCGCCATTTCGACGACCGTCGGTGTCGAGCAGCGACGAGGAAGCTGAGGGCACAGGCCCAGCCACCCCATCGCCTGCGGAACGGAAGCATGGCACGCATGTTCACGCGGAGGGTTTGCGTTCGCAGGCTAGTGCCTCTCAAAAGGCCCCTGTTCGCGAATCTTTCGGACGGTACTTCCGCGAGGAAGTCCCGACGTCCGTGAAACGACCCACGTACTCCCGGGAGGGCGTACGAGTGTCGTTCCCACCAGGCGTAGGTGGCTCGAGCCCGTCCTCGGGGCAAACAAGCCATGAATACGACTACCAAGGCATGTACTCGTACATGCAAGGTAGCAGTATTCATGACCACGGCCCATCCATCTCCGAGAGGGACATGGATGGCCCATCGCACAATACCAGTCGTTCTCTCGATCGATGCCTCGGCATGATCGACGAATTGGTGAGCGATGAACCAGATGGCGAAGCACCTGGTTATTTGAGGTCGGCCAAGATGGACAAGCCGTCCACCTGGGCCGGCACCGATGACCTGTACCGGTTCGAAGAGTGGCTCTTCGAACTGCTAACGTATTTCTCAGTGCTCCGAATAACGGGTCCACGTCTAGACATGGACCGGCTACGGCTCACTGGGAATGCGCTGACGGACAGTGCCAAGGATTGGTACTTCCGTCACGTACAGTCCCCTCGACGGACGAGGCGACATTGGCGATTCGCGGAAGCGATCGCCGCACTGCACCGGCGATTCATTCACCAAGATGGTGAAATCAAGGCTGCAGAATCGTGGAACAAAGTGACCTACCACAAGAATGGTGGGGTCACCGAGTTGCTCGATAGGATGTCCCAGTACGCCGACCGCATGACGGAGCGTCCTGGGGACTATGAATGGAAGCGGCGCTTTTTAGCGGCACTACCTTCGGACATGGAGGAGACCTTACGGAAGGTCTCCTACATCTCTCCCGAACGATCCTCGTTCGGCAGGATGGTGAAGGCAGCGAGCGACTACGAATTCGCGATGTTGTCGGCGGCGGCCTCTAAGGCGACCCCGTCAACCACCACCACCAGAGATGGTGGTGGTACATCGAAACCTGCTGCTCCAGCAGGTTTGGCCGGTCGTGCTAGGACGACTGGCCCATTCGCTCGATTCATGACCCGACCGAGTGCGGGGGCCGTGGTGGCGTCGAAGCCAACACCACCGCTGCCTAAGGCGGTGGTGGTCAGCGACAAGGGCCCGCCGAAGTCCACACCAGCACCAGCAGGGAAGACGACCACTGGTGCGAGTGGTGGCACCATGTTGTGCTGGAGTTGCGGCGAGCCCGGACACACTTCTCGAGAGAAGGAGAAGTGTAAGAACGGTGGTAGACTGCCGCCCAGCAAGACGGGCCGCATGTATGCCGCACGGATTGCGGAGGACAGTGGGGAGGACCAGGACGATGGATTCGTCCATGTCCAGCCCGAGCCCACCGAGCACGTCGACCAGATGGTGGACGTGCAAGACTACGACAACGGGAATACGATCGACCACCCTCAATCTGAGTATGGTGGATCGCAGTACGCCTACGACGACCCAGGAGACGAGTCTCCTGTGGACGAGTATGACGATGAAGACGGAGCTGTAGCACAGCTCGGACTCATGACATTCCGTGCGATGCGTGTCGAACGCAGATCGTCGACTCGGGTGAGCCAGGAAAACCTGGCACACCCATCGTATAATGCCGCCATGACGGACATTACGCGAATGAGCGCGATACAAACACTACCGCCAGCCCGCACTATGAAGGCGGCCTGGCTGTACGACTCGAAGATCCGTAGGACCTCCGAGCCGGCGGATCAGCCAGAACGCAGTCCCGAGGCAACTCGGACACTCTGCGCTGAGATCGATGTCAATGGCGTGAAGGCGTACACGCTGTTTGACACAGGGTGTACGACCGACGCCATGTCTCCAGAACTAGCGTTCCTATCCAAGGCCGACAGGGTAGACCTGAGGGAGCCCCTCAATCTACAACTAGGTACGAAGGGTAGTCGCACCACCATCAACTATGGTGCACGCCCCCGTATCCAGGTCGGTCCGGTGAACGGTGTCAACTACATGGATGTAGTTGACATCGACAGGTACGATGTCGTTCTGGGAACCACGTTCTGCATCAAGCACAACGTGGTCCTAGACTTCCGCACCCACCAGATTTGGGTTGATGGGGTGGCGGTGCCGGCCTATACGGTGGCCCAGGAGGCGGAGGTCCTTGAGCATCGACGGGATACACGGAGTGCGCGACTGACGGCACAACTCCGTCTCGCGTCCTCCTCGAGACAATAGGGTTGCACGGCGAGAT